GGGTCGAGGAGGTAGAACTCTACTCATTTTTCATCGGATATTTCCTGTGTATTGCTTGTATGGGGGCATTTCAAATACTGTAACAAAAAAGAACTTTTTTGAAAAGGGAAATGACAAACAAAAGGAAAACAACTTGTAACAATTGTATCCAAGGATTATGAAGGATGGGGAGGGCTTTAGAACACTATGAGACTAGCCCACGCCGGATGCACCATATGGGTCTATTTTTGGAAAGAGAAATGGCGGACTGAATTGGAAGCGGGGATATTTCCCAGTGGTGACATTTCGGAGAGGGAAGCATTAAGAAGTAAACGTGCGCGCATGGCATTGCTTCCCCATAAGTCAACTACGTTCTGATAGCAATGAAACTTCACGAGTCGTGGGCGATTCATCTCTTCACAAAACCGCACGCTGACTCAGAGCAGTATTTCAGGAAGTGATTTAGAAAATAGGTCAATTTCCCAGTGAGATCCATTGAACAGCATGCCATGAAGAAACAACTGACTCTCTTACCGGATTATAACATTCCTAGCGTACTCGAGTTTATTCTAGTTGCAGATTGATTCGTAAGCTGGATGCTGCTGCATTATCAAGAAAAATGATTTTACAATGTACTTAAGCCCTATTGTGTCCTTTGTGTTTGTCTACGTTAAAAGTCGTCATTTTCTTTGTGTGTGCTAATCCGAGCAAGGTAGATTGAACCATGCAAATAAATTCACTTTGCTCGCCTGGCCGGCAATGTAGTTGGTTTACATAATCCAAGTAACATTTGTAATACCGGAGAAAGTTTGTCACAGTTCACCTGAAACAAAAACGTTTTGGTCCTCATATCTTCCCAGTTGACAACACGTTTCGTCACAGCTTCGTAAGTCACATGTTTCGTAATTTGTTAAGTAAACCCTCCAGTACCATCGCGACATGCTAAACTGTTTTGTTCACCTCTCTGAAATTTATCCACAGCCTTTCATTTTCTGTCATACTAATAACTCATGAAAAGATTCCCCGGTGGCGACAGACTCAAGTGCTTTTGACTGTTAATTATTTAATTATTGATTAGGAAAAGGATAACAAATCCATTTCCAGTTTGTATTGGTCATGTCTCCAATCTGATACCAGGAGCTTGGATTGCTTAATGAGACAGTTGATCGAAGGTTGTATCGAATCCTGAAAGAAATGCACTCAATTTGGACACCAGTGGGCGAACTCGAAAAAGGAAGTCATGTACTTTCTAGAAGCTCGGGGCTAAAGCCCTTGACGGGGATTCGGACAGTTTGTCATTTGGTATAAGTGGTTTGGGGTGGTAAAGTAAACAAATTACCACAAACCAGACATAGAACCAGACAGACATGATAACTACAGACATAACTGTCTCATGTAATACATGTTTCAGTTTTATTTTAATATTTCATGACCCCTTGTGTGTTGTTTGCATTCAGATCAGACAAGCAGGTTTCACTGCGTAAGCCCAAGCTAATTGAGTTCTTGTCTATCATTCGACAGGTAAATCAAAAGTGATCATGGCGCTGGAGTTATTGGCACTAGCATTTGTTATGATATCCGCTGTACTTCTTTACAGCGCATACTCACACGTTACTGAGAACGCAAAGTTACCACCTGGACCGATGCCTCTACCCCTCATTGGTAACATGCTGCAAATGGGAACAAAACCTCATTATGGTCTTACCAAGCTTGCAAAGAAGTTCGGAAAGGTTTTCCGCCTCTCTGTCGGAGTTCGACGCATCGTGGTAATCAACAATATCGATCTCGCTCGTGAAGCCCTCGTTAAGAAGTCGCACGACTTCGCAGGCCGTCCTAGACTCTACACAGCTGACCTTATCTCGAGAGGAGGTAAAGATATAGCTTTCAGTGACTTTAGCCCGACCTGGAAATTGCAGAGAAAGATCGCGCACTCCGCGCTAAAAATGTTTGGGCAAGGTATCAAGCCGATCGAAGAAAAAATCTGCCAGGAGATTGACGAACTTATCTCCCGCTTTGAAAGTGTGGAGGGACGCGCGCACGATCCACATAAAGATGTTGTCTTGGCTGTTATCAATGTTATCTGTGCGTTCGTGTTCGGCTCGCGTTACAACTTGGAAGATCCGGAATTCAACACCATCTTGCGTTACATGGAGCAGGTTGTGCAGGGTTTTAGGGCTGGAAATTTGGTCGACTTTTTCCCTTGGATGCGACATTTTCCGTCCAAGGGATTGAAACTCATCAGGGAAGCTGTGAAAGACCGTGATATCATTCTACAAAAGAAGTTCGAGGAGCACAAGAACACTTACCAAGACAGCGTGACGCGTGACCTTACTGATGCTTTGATAAAAGCAATGAAAGATTCCCAGTCAGAAAACCCCGACAATGTGTTATCCATCACTGAGGACCATGTGGTGTTGACCATATTTGACATTTTTGGCGCAGGAATGGAAACTACTTCCACGTGCGTCCTCTGGGCGCTTGCATACTTAGTTCGCAATCCCAAGGTGCAACAGCGTATTCACCAAGAGCTCGACGACGTCATAGGACGTGATAGGATGCCTGAACTAGCAGACAAGCCCAACTTACCCTACTTGGAGGCTACCATTTTGGAAGTGCTGAGGTATAGCTCGATGGTTCCATTGTTATTTCCCCATTCCACAACTGCAGACACCACTTTGAATGGATATGAAATTCCCAAAGACACTATGGTACTGTTCAACGTCTGGGCCATGCACCATGATGAAAACGAGTGGGAGAGACCCTACGAATTTGACCCCTCGAGGTTCCTTGATGCTGAAGGAAAAGTCATTTGCCCGGGAACCAAAAGTTACCTGCCTTTTGGAGCCGGTAGGCGCGTGTGCCTCGCAGAATCCCTGGGGAAAGTCCAGCTGTTTCTCTTCGTTTCACGTCTGCTTCACAAGTTCCACTTCAGCGTTCCTCACGGTGCTAAAGAGCCTGATTTAGAAGGGATTTTTGGTTCAAGTATGAGTCCCAAGCCGTACCAATTGTGTATTGAAAGGCGCTGTTAGTAGCTAGAGACACGCCTTGAAGGCGTGAACATTGTAGAAGTGTGTTCTTGATCAAGAACACTCATCCGTTCCAAAGTAAGCCGGGAAACTTAGGATGAATTCAGGAGAGGACATTGAACTATGGATGAACTGTTTTGCAAAAAGCAGCCATTAAGTAATAACACTTCAGTTTAACTAAGTGAAACCGCAGTCAGTTATAAGATCGCAAACCATATATTCAGAAGACCGATTAAAAAAGCTCCAAAAGATTAAGCCCTCTATGATAACAAAAATGGCTACAATATGCCTAGGCGAGGTGTCAATCGAATGATATGAGACTGTTCCAGCGTCCAATACCAGTTGCAGCAAAACTTCCTCCTTTATAAATTTAGTAAAACAACGAGAAACTCTTCTAACATAGAAGTGATATAGTCAAGATCAAAAGTTGTTAAGCAACAACAACACTTCGAGAATTTTAGTAAACCACTACCAAAATTTCACAAGTACTACTACAATTGAGTTATTACCTTATTCAGGAATGTGTATATTGTGGTTCAATTTTATCCTTGGTTTAAATTTTAATGTCTTTTGTTTTTGGTATGGTAATGTATGATAATGAGTTGGAAACAAAAGAAAGTAAATTTTTTAACCAGGATAAAATTTAACCACAACATGTATATTGACTATTTTGCCAAAACAACAGACGTTAACCAAGATGATAACGTACAAGTAAAGCAACTCGCAAAGTTATAAATACAATTTTCTTACATCATACAGTAACTTCATACAGTAACTGCTGTAACACGGGATCCCATAGGCTCCTATGTAACGACATTTCAAATGAAATGATATTATATAACTAATTTATTTTATATAATTTATTTTTATTTCTACCATTTTTTTAATTTCAAAACAATTATGTTACAAAGAAGTGGACAGGTATACTCCGCAATGAAAACTAAGGTTGAAATATATTTTACATTTAATTCTTCACGTGACTCATTCGTGTCTTGCATGTGAATTGTACGTGCAAAGGTGAGCAAGTTATGCAGACAAATTTAATTAACGCAAACAGCTACATTAAACGCTATTCTATAAAAATTTTCGCTGGCAGTGTTTTTTTCTTTTTCTTATAGCTCACCTGGCTGGGGGATGAGCTACAGGTGATGAAGTCTCCTCAACAAATACATTAATAAAAATTATCAGAATCGTTTTAAACAGTGGATGCAGCGGCACGCAGTCACATCAGAGAGCGGGAAAAAAATAACCCACCTCTCCTCACCTTTCGTTGTTTTTCCCTCTCACATCTATGCGCCATCTCAAAATCTGAACGCCTTGAACAGGTTATTATCGGGTCGACTCGAATGTGGTTTTCCCTTTCCCTTTGGCTATTTTGTCCATGTATAGAGCGAGTGCGCCTCCGTACTTTTAGAAAACCGCTACTTTCGAGGGTCGCTACTTTCGGGGGAGTGGGGGGGGGGGTCCAGTACTTTGGGAACTTCACAGTAGTTTAGAGAAAATCTTGAAACATTTTCCTTGACCTTTGACTACAGGGATCGATGTCCTATAACAATTACTGGCCGGCAAAGTACACTGAACGACATGTGTATTATAAGCATTGTGTTTAAGCTTCATAGCCTCTCTCCTCCGCGTAGGCCTCTTCGTTTGGCGTTGGGAAAAAAGAAACCAAGCAGGGGATGATGGGAAGGGACGCAGAGCGCTACATAGCATGAAGAGCTAGAAGAAGCTAGCAAGTCCTAATTTTCCTTGATTTTTATAGGCACAATGGTAATCATCCTGGAAAAGACATCCTTAGAGCATTTTCAACTGAAACTTCATTTCTCTCAAAAAGTGATAGTGAACTAAATAATGACATATATATTTTCAGTTTTTCTGGCAATATTTTAATTAATTTCAGTTTCAATTTCGCATTAAAAGTTACGTCTGTATATTTGCTGAGAAAAGTTCAGTCAAAACTGCTGCTCGACTCTGTAGCATCAGAAACAGTAAAATTCCATCCAAACTTTCATCTCAGACCTGATAACCCTCGGGATCTATCCCGTTTCTCTCCAGCTCATAAAGTGCTTTGTTAAGCTCAGCCTTTTCTGGTATCCTATTTCTCTCTTCCTCTATCGCTGAAAGGAACTCTGCAATAAAAGTACAAGAAAATATTACAAAATGTTTTACCTGAAACGGTCTCAAACGGCTGAGTCGCAGACAGAAGTCGATAACACCGGTTCACTGACTCAATAGAGTGACTGTAGAGTCTTCGATCGAGTGCCGGATAGCTCGGGAGGACTTTACGGTAGTCTTCTTCCATGTTTCGGCTGTGCTCTTTTTAGACATGAAAATTCCGTGTATTCACTGACTTTTATAGAGCGAATCAACTCCATACTGAAAGAACAGAGTGAAATTTGAAAAAAGATCATCTTATATCCGGCGTGGAACTGAGAGGCGCGGCCACTCCTAACTCTTGCGCTCAAAGCACGTGTCTTTGTAACGACTGCAATTAAACTCCTGAAGTCTGTTCTTTTACGAGTAAGATAGAAAGGTTTCGACCTTTCATTGCTCGTAAATTATTATCGCCGGAAAAAATTGTATTTGTTAGGTGAGGCACGAATAGAACCCAAAACCGCGATGGAAGAAAACTGCATAAGGCGAAGAGAATAACAAAACTTTACTGAAACTTACGATCAGTGGAACTGTCCGAGTTCAAATATTCTTCAAGTCTTCCCCAGTCGTCGACAAATCTCTTAACCACGTGGAATTGATTAAGTGGATTCCCCAGATATTCTCCTACTTCATCACCAGATAGTGTCTTTAAAACAGAAGTACGATTGAGAGCTTCTTCGATCTCCTTCAAATGTTCCTCTTTCTGGGAAATAAATCTATTTAAAGCGGGGAGCAGGCGTTCTTCAAGTTTATAAAGTGCGGTTGGGCTGAATTCTCGAGCACTTGCAACCATAAATAGGGTAGAAATCATCAAAAGTAAAACGCTCGCAAACGAAACCATCTTTTTTATATTCCGCTATGAATGTCCATGGTAAATTCAAAACAATATTAAACTACAGTAGTTCCACTTTCAATGCGCTGTGATTAACAGAATTAAATATTTATGGCAGCTTACAAGTGTCTATATTTTTCTCAAAAAAGAACAACCCGCAGCAATCATAAATTTGGTGAGCAATTATGTGACTCTCCCTCAAACCGACTATCAGGACTCTGTAACTGTCGCGTCTGTAGTAAATCCTAACTTTTATCAACGGCAGAATTTACCACAGTTTGGTGATAAAAAGTAATAGTTCTCAGACGCTAGTTGCCCTTTGTTAACGATACCAGACTCCCGATTTGATTGCACAAGAGATTTTTCAAAAATAACCTTCAATAACACATTTGGAGCATCAGATTTGCTGTCGTTTCAGGTAAGCTGAACGCCAGCTGTAACTTGTTATTAATTCTTGGAAAATGTAAACGCAGCTTGTGCATTAGCCTACGAACGCGAACTTTTTTCTGGTCGTCGCTTCTCTTACTTTTCGAGTGGCAAGCTACGCTACGACAGTACCAGTACCAACGGCTCCTGGGTGACCTGTGGTGTCAATCAATTCTTCGGTTAGAAATAACGAGCCTATTAAAACGAGAGCCTGTGAAAGTCAAATAAGTAATACCGAACGTCCTTCTGAGCCGATGATTATTTTGCAACTGCAAATTAATAGTGATGAAGCGATTACTGAATTAACAGCGTATGCAGCTCCCAAACGCGCCCCAAACCGGCTGGTACACCGTGTGTACAGATCTGTGCGCTTGTGTAAGACCATTCATTTACGATTTTTGCAATTTTGCAAATACAATTTTCTAAAATTAAGGGATAAGTATAGAAATATTACTCACCACAGACAAGTAATGCTTAACTAAGCTGTCATCTACACTAGACACGTTTAGGTATTTAAATTTGCCACAGGACTCTCATAGCTGCCGAGATAGCTCAGTTGGGAGAGCGTCAGACTGAAGATCTGAAGGTCCCTGGTTCAAATCCGGAGAGTTCGCATGAACTCTGAATAATCCCGGGTCTCGGCAGAATTTTTTTTCCTTTTCTTTTTTTCCTCTTTTTCCTTTCCCTCTTCCTCCTCACTCATTGATTTTATTCTCATAACATGAGCTTATAAGTAGAGTATCAAAAGTGTGTAAATAGATGTTGCGCGACATTTATAGGAATAAATATCATTTGCGACAGTAATCTCAGATAATTATCATTGGCAGTACAAAATATGAAAAAAAACTACAATCTCAAAATCGTTTCGTAAAACATGACAAACACTTAGTATATATGAAAAAGTAGATTTGGCGACGTTTTCGATGAAACTTCTGTTTGTTTTCTCTTGTTGGGTCGGATGGTTTGTTTTGTGTGCACTTCAGAACGAGGCCAACCAGACATGCGCACTGATTCAAAGGCAAGCAGACAAAGCGTGATGATCATGATGGCGGCGTGTTGATGTTGATGTAGGTGAAGTTTGTGTGGCGTATTCAGGTCTGTTTCATCAGACAACGAATAATTTTGAGTCTAGATTAACCCCACTTGAGTTTTGTTATGCCGTGACCCTTCGTTTTGTTATTTTTAAGTCATTTTACGTGGTTTATCAAGCGCTTTTTATGGTACATATTTTTATCATGTTTTCTCCGGCTCTCCATGTATATAAAAATAACTACTCAGGGAAAGTTTCACTCTTGGTTGTGGTGCTGAAACATTGTAGTGAAGCAAATGGACTTGCACAGCTGACTTAAAAGTTGTTAACTTTCTACTTACGACAGAGATAATCGTTTATCGAACTCTACTTTGTGCTAATTTTGGTCAATGTTCCGTTCACATTTTGCAGATGTAAAAGATCTTTAGAAAACGCAGCCTAAGGACATGGCTTCCTTGGCAGGATTCCAGTATACACCTGAAAATGTGCAAAGACTGGAAAAGGTAATTTGAAATCTCTGTAGTTATTATTAAGGATTAACCTACTAGCAAGCTCTCCCGGCTTAATTGCAGAATATACCCTGCAACTTTAAAGCAACCCCCCAAAATAGGTGGATATGCGGATACTCAGCCACTACGTATCGGCGTATCTGCATATCCACTTTTTGACACAGTGGAAAATAACAAATGCGTTTTTTGTTGATGCAAAATTTTAAACAGAATGCAGTAGCTTTGCAATATTGAAGCGACATGTTCCCGCTGAATTCAAGAAATATTGTAGATCCGACTCAGCTTATAGGCTACGATTCAGACCAGAAAGTCCATACAAACAACAATTTTTGTTATTTTCTTTTGGTGGTCTTTTCTTTGTGCAGAATTATAATATTTTGCTCCTGGAACGCTAGTGTAACAGTTTTCATGCTTTGTTGTTTCCTGCGCTTTCTGGGGTGAAAATGAAAATGTATGAGAGATCGTCGCAAGCTGTCTTTTTCTTTTCCCACCCCTCGCACTGGTGTCTCCTTTCGTGTGCTGCTCTCACGTGACTTCTCGCGACTCCCCCCAATGGAGAGCTTGCCCGCAGGCTAATTTAGGAAGTATTATTAAAGCGGTTGAACAATTCAAACCAGGGGAATTTCTTTTTTTAGCCATAGCTTCCTGAAAGGACAGGGGCTTGAGCAATTGTTTTCTTGAAAGAATCAAAGATACAAAAAATTCATAGGACCCTCCAGCCATTTTTTTTACAGATGCAAACAAAAAAAACTTCCTTTCACATTGTTTACTTTTATAACACGTTTTTAATTTCCCTGGGCTTTTGATATCTTTTATTCAGCAATTGTCGCAAATCTTGCAACCTGTGAGACATACAATGTATTTCCCACCCTGGAGAATTTCTGTGGTGTCACGGACACTGCGGAATAAGCCTTGCACCTACATGTAATTAATATTGAAAATGTCAATTTGGATTGAATTATCATAATGAACATGTATCATTAAATGTGCAGTTTAAATGCATTTAAATGCAATTTAAAGGAGTTAACAACTAAGAGTGCCTTTAGTGCGTGAGGTCAGTGGTCTTTGGCATGCGCATACCCAGTAGCTGGCTACATCGATCATGTGATTCATTGGCGCATTCAGTTTTTCTTCGTGCTAGGTTCTGTCAGCCATTTTCTCCCCCCCCTCCCTCTAGGCTTTGTTGGTTTTTCTCCACTGATGTTTTTTTCAGTGTGATGGGTGCCTGTTCCTTTCCTTTTGTGTGGGGGCTCATGGCTGGGTTACGCTGTTGTGCCAGTCATGGCGGCATTATTTCAATCTAGGGGCTGGCTGCCAATAGTGGAAGCCCCTGAATACTCCAGGCACCCAACCTCCATTTTAGCGATGCAGTTGGTAACAGTCCAGTCCACTTTTTTTAGGCTCTGCACACCATGCAAGAAAGGGGCATGGAATCAGACCCTCGTTATGCACAGCTGATGTCATTAATGAGAGCAAAACCACCAAATATTGACATGTCAGACATTGGACAGGGCCACCAGCTACCACCGCAATCAATGCCAATGGGTATGGGATTAGGTGATATGCAGTCACGAAGCTCCCCAGCTCCAAACATGATGTCTCCTTCAACGCAAAAAGTGCCTTCTTTCACCTCACCCCAGTTATTGCAGCTCAGAGCTCAAATCATGGCTTACAAGCTCTTAGCACGAAGTCAGCCTCTGCCAGAACATATTCGCATCGCCATTCAAGGCAAGTCGTCATCTGTAAAACCAGGTGGACTGGGTATGCCGCAACCTGGCCAGTTGCCATCCATGAACCAGAATCAACAGGTTAATCAGGCGACCCCTCAGAGCCCGTCTCCCTTTGGTAGTGGAGGCATACCATCTTCTTCTGCTGGACCTGTACCTAACCAAACTGCATATAATGTTCCTGGAATGACTACTGGTAGGTTAACACATGCTTTGTTCTATGTCTTTGTTGCCCAGTTGGCTGCATTCTTTTTTTTTTTTTAATAGAGATGCAAAATGCTGACCTAATACTGTGTGTTACAGATATAATGGTAATTGAACTGAGTGGAATGCAAATTGCTCTGAAATCGTTTGCATGATTTTAAGCACTCATCCAATTTGAAATCACAAGTATGATTTCAGACCAAAATTGTACTACTCTAATACACTTTATTACAGATAATTTTTTTTGGTTTACACAGTCTGGTTTTCCGGTGAATACCTTCTGTTTATCTGGTTAGCATGGCACACATTTGAGTCAAATAGTTGAACAGACTGTTCTTCAGAATAATAACCTTGCAACTTACTTTGTCATTAGCTCAGCAACTTCAGATCAAGCCATCTGCCAGCTCAAGTCAGGCATCAAACTCTGCCTCCATGGCAGCAGCTAAAGGTGCTGCTGCAAGTGCTATTGCCGCAGCTTCCCAGCAGCATAAGCTGAAAGAGCAGCAGCGTCAAGCGCTGGCCCAACAGCAGCAACAGCAGCAGCAGCAGCAGCAACAACAACAACAACAGCAACAGCAGCGCAAGTTACAACCTCAGGGTTCCACACAAGCAGGGATAACAATGCCAAGCAAGCCTAGACTGGCACCAGTCGCTAAACCTACTGGTCTTGATCCTGTCACTATACTGAAAGAAAGAGAAAACAGGTAAGAGGCATTAAGTTCAATTTTTTGCAGTTAACCATGACTTTCTCATTTTGTTACTTCCTCATAGATGAAGTGGGGAGAAGATGATTCATATTTACATCTGGGAACCATTTAAACAATATGTTACTGTAGATCACCAAAACAAGACTTTGGAGCATTGAATTTCCCCTCATAAAATGGCTGCTTTTTATGTTTCTTAAAACACCTCTTCAACCCTTTTTAGGATCCAAGCACGTATTGTACAGCGTATCGTGGAGCTGGAGGCACTTCCAGGGAGCATTCCTGATGACCTTAGAATGAAAGCCATGATTGAATTGAGGGCTCTCAGACTGCTCAATTTCCAGAAACAGGTTAAATGGCATATTCAATCTACCACCCCAGTTGTATTCTTCACCTGTGTGACCAGTTTTCTTACGTTACTTGAAATAAAAACTCAAATATGAAAATTTAGGGCATTTGTATGTATTATGTTTTTATTTTCACACACTCTTTCTTTTGCATGTTCTTTGGTCAAATTTTACAATAGCCTGAGAAAGCAGCCAACATTTTGCAATGCCACTTTTTTCCCCCACAAAGTGACATCTAAGGATCAAGTGCAGCAATTCTACCTTGTTGTATACTGATGATGTGTAGTGCTTTGGAAAATTTGCTTCAACCAATCAGAAATAACTACTTCACAATTTAATGTCTTTGATTTCAAAGGTATACTGGAGGCTAAACAATTTCAGACAAATTTTCCAAAAATTATGTATTGTTTGCAAGTAATGTACAAAGAGTAAATTAAACATGTCGTTTAATCATTGTTACTTTTTACCTTTGATCCTTTGTTTAGCTGCGAGCTGAAGTAGTGGCATGTACAAGAAGGGACACCACACTTGAGACAGCATTGAACTCTAAAGCTTACAAACGAAGCAAGAAACAGTCTCTTAGGGAAGCAAGGTATTCACACAGCATACATTCATTCTCATATTTCTTACACTGTATTCAATCTCTGTCTTTGGACTTACCTTCAGAAATTCCAGCTCTTGCCACCCCATCCATTTCCAAATGTAACAGAAACTTTAATAAAAATGTTTTATTTTTCTTAGGATCACCGAGAAACTTGAAAAGCAACAGAAGATGGAGCAAGAGCGCAAACGGCGACAGAAGCACCAAGAATACCTGAACACAATCCTCCAACATGCGCGAGATTTCCGTGAATACCACAGGTCTATCCAGTCTAAGGTCGTGAAGCTCAACAGGGCTGTGATGAGTTATCACTCCATCACAGACAGAGAGAAGAAAAAAGAGGAGGAGAGGATAGAGAAAGAGAGAATGAGGAGACTTATGGTTTGTCAAAATGATTTTTTAAGTTTTTTCATTGTTCTTGTTAGAAGTATTACTGTTAACAATTTGAACTCAACACTCATTTCATAAGTAGGTTGAGCATAATCGTCCAGGTGATTGTAGTCCTGAATAGGACTGTTGTTGACACTGACTGATGTTTCAACAACCTGTGTGATAGTCACCTTGAGAGTCAAAGTGAGTTGTATCATGTCAGTTGATCGTGTTAAACTCTGGTTATTGACTTGATCAGACAATTAAGTTGTGATGTTATTGGTCTTCAGCCAGTTACGCCATGATCACATATCACGATTTTTCAAGTTAGCTCAGTTCTTGTTATCCTGTTAGGTCTGCATTTTGTGATTGAATGGGTACATAGGTTAACCTCCTATACATACAATGTAGATAACATGACTCTCACTCTCATGTCCAATATTTGCTATGTTTTACAAGCAAGTACATTTTGTGGTTATTATCACAGGCTGAAGATGAAGAAGGCTACAGAAAACTGATTGATCAGAAAAAAGACATTCGTCTGGCATATCTCCTGGCACAGACAGACGAATATGTAGCAAGTCTCACTAAGATGGTCCAGCAACATAAGAGAGAACAAAGAAAGAAAGTTGCAAAGGACAAAAGGAAACGGCGCAAGTCTGACTATGATGATGACGAAACGCCAGAAGGTGACCGGCATGTTCCTGTAGTGGACACAGAGACTGGGGTTGTGTTGAAGGGAGATGATGCTCCTATAGCAGATGATTTAGATGTGTGGCTTCAAAGTCATCCAGGGTAAGAAGGAGTATCAAAATGATGACATAACCCTTTAAGTCCCAATATCCACATACAAATTCTCCAAACTGATCTCTACATATTTGTTTAAAGAATTAGTTGATAGAATTTGATAAAAGATCAAAGCATTATTCTCTTGGGTGATCATTTTATTAATTCTCATAACGTAATCTCTTGACAATGTACTGTATGGATATCATTAGGAGAAAATTGATGTTGGTCACTATTGGGACTTAAATGGTTAACTCCAGAAATTTTCGGTTGCTAAATATTTTTTCCTTACCTTTTTTCAAAACAAACACAATCTACATTTACTGCAAACGTTTTAAATCTGATTTAAACAGACTAATTTAAGGATTATTCATGTGTGTACATGTACATGTGGAGGCTAAGTTGCATTGAAGATCACTCTAACAATGATCATCATCCTGGATTTGAGCTTTTTGAGGTCAGGAGACTTTCACATATTGGAACTGTAGCTACTTTATGTTTCTGTCATATAGCATATATGTGCCAGAACCATGCGATCCTCATCAGAAAGACCAAGTGATAAACCATTTAAGAAATATTAAATTACTTTTTTCTTGTGTTGATTATTCCATGATGACTCCACAATTTGTGAAGCAGAAGTCACACTTACTTCACCCGCAATACAATTTGCAAACCCTGCCTATCTCTGATTACTATTTACTACTAGTTACCAAGTGGCCCCACGTCAAGAACAGGAATCTGATGACGAGGATGAAGATGAGGAAGCTGAGGGTGAAGCCGATGCTGAGATGGATGCCACTGAGAAAGAAGTTGCTGAAAAGAAATCAGAGAAGGAAAAGAAGAGAGAAGAATACGGAAAGGATGATGAAGAAGATATTGTAGAAGAAGAGTAAGGACTTTTTTTCTGTTAAGTAATGCTCACTACAGATACTTGAAGAAAAATTAATAGTATAATTACACATCTTCTAAATGAATGAATTTAGTTGAAGGCCACTGGCTTATCAGCTTCTGCTGATGAGGGTTAACACATAACAGCAGGAACTGATAAACCATTGGCGTTCCAACTAAGGGGCTGTTTACATGACACGGGGGCGACTTTTGCCCCAGAGCGAGTTCACTCCGGTTCCCTCTCGTGGCTCTATATTATTTTGTTTACATGATACCACCACAAAATGTCATGCCGGTGTGAGACACCCCGGCGTGAGTTCATCCCGGTTCTTGTACCGGGGTGAGAATTTCACTCCGGTACGAATCTCACAACGGTATCGTGTAAGCGCGAAACGACCACCCGTTTCGGTGTGAAATCGGTCTGCCGGTAGACTGGAAGGGGTAGCGCATGTGTAATGTTTGCAATTTTGAATCACACATGTATTTTATCAACATAAAGTGTACCTTCAAATAACGAGATATGAAATGACCCAGTCATCATGTAAACGCGATACAAAATCAAAAAGTCATCCCAGTATGAGACTCATGCCGGTGCGAGTTTTCTCAGTAAACACCCCCTAAACTAACTAACCTAAAAATTACAGATCCTTTCATGTAAGCCCTAGGGTGGTTGCCATTTACACAAACAACTCAGTTGGAAATCTTGTGCATAAGCATAAAAGAATTAAATTTGACACAGTGAGAGAGTTACTTGCTACAATGTATATCCAGATCAGCTGAAAAGACTAAGAAGATTAGAAAATTTGCATCCCCACAAATCACAGTCCACGTTTTCTGAAGCTCCCCAAAGAGAATGGTTTTTCCAACCAGTGAATACACAAACAGGATCTACATCCCCTGTTCCTTTCAAAAAGTGGTGTTGCAGCCGTGTGTTTCATAGACAAGTGCCGTGGGTTTTCAGTGTAGTCTGCAGTACATCACCTTTAAACTACATAATGTTCGTTTCAGAGTTGAAGATAAAGCTGCGTTAGAGAGTCGTCAGTATTATCACATTGCTCACGACGTCAGGGAAGACATCACTGAGCAACCAACAATTCTGATTGGCGGTAAACTGAAGGAATATCAGGTAAGCTGTAACTGTTGTTCACCTAATAATAGTGTAATTGGAGATGTTGAACAGTTGGTCTGCAGGATGGTACATTGCATGGGTTAGCCAAAAAGACATCACAAATAAAGTGATATCTTTGTTGTGGGCAAAATTTGCATGCTACTAGACTTACTGTCAAATTATGACCCAAGAAATTATTGTCTGTGTTATCTCCGATTAAAGCCAAGATTAGGACACACAAGCAAGCAGGCCACAAAACTACCATCTGGTTTTCATGGTTTTTTAGTTTCACAGTAACAATTGCCAGCCTAAAATTACTGTCACATATAACACCAGCAATGTTCAAAAGATATACTAAACCTTTAAGGTCACAGGGGACACCTTAAATGTTTCTGAATCGCATACCCCTGAAAATTTCCATTTTCCTGTCTGAGATATTGCTACTTTTCCCACCTCCTCCTAAAATCCTAGCATTAAAAACCCTTACAGTGAATCTGACCCAAAGACACTCACATTTGCCAGTACAGTTTTTGGTTTAAAGTTGAGTGTTATGTTTTCATTTTCAGATGCGAGGCCTGGAGTGGCTTGTGTCACTGCACAATAACGCCCTGAATGGCATCTTGGCTGATGAGATGGGTCTGGGAAAAACCATTCAAACTATTGCCCTGTTTGCTTACTTGATTGAGGTCAAGAAACTCAATGGACCTTTCTTGGTCATCGTGCCTCTCTCGTAAGTCAGCTGTAAATCCCCCATGACTTATTGCCTCTACACATGCGCATTCTCCTTTTAGCTGCATGATGACATCACAGATTAATTAACCAAACTTCAGAATTTTATCAACACCTTTCCCAGGTGAAGGCTGTGGTGTGTTGACTCTTTCTGTCCTTATTTCAAAACAAAGTTTGCGACAGTGACTATTTGCATGGTCTTTTGTTTTCCTACTTTCCCACCCCTTTCTCCGACTGTTTGTATGTCATCTGCTACATTCAGTCAACTTTAGCAGGCCAGTCCAGGTTCTTGCTATCTCCCGCTCTGAGCAATGACGAGGAGAGGTCCCTGGGAGGTCAGAATGCTTTGTCTGTTTAATGGTTATTATTTTATCCATTTTCTCAAAGTTATACTAGCTCACCTAACTTTATTTTGCAGAACACTTTCCAACTGGCTATTGGAATTTGAGAAGTGGACACCATCTATCATTGTTGTGAGCTACAAGGTGACCTAACTACTAGGTTTAAATGACTCAAACTGAACAACAGGGCCCAGTTTTTTAAAGGCCGATTAGCACTAACCTAGGGTTACACTTTAATCCTGGTTTATTTTTCTTTTGTTCAAAAGCATTTCCAGGATAATTTTCTCACTTATTTTTGGAGCATTCAATTAAACAAGTTATATGCAAAAAGAACTAAACTGAATGTTTTTTTTTTTTTGAGCTTCCATATCTCAATTCAAATTTTGCACCAACCTGGGGTTATCTTAACCCAGCTTTGAACAACCCAGACCTGTACTACAATGCATTATGTATACATGCTCAATGGAGGGTGGTAACAGTGTTTGTTTAGTTCTACTGTAGTTATCATTGTACAGTGGGATGAAAAGTTCTTTTCTTTGTGTGGCTTTGATGTGTCAGTAATACACTGACCATGATATGGCAAATGATGATTGGGTAAATCTTGGAATTTGCTGCTAATTAAAGTAAAAAAATTATCATTGACAACAACATCAATAAAAGTGGCATGATATGAATCATTTTGGATAACATTATTCAAATTGACAGTTACAGTGTATGTACAAGGAAACATCTTAGAAGACTGCACACTTTTTAAAACCTGTCATGAAATTTTCTGTGTTTGTCAGGTGTCGGAGGTGTGCAACAGTAAACCAGGGTTTCGCTAACACCACTAAAGATTCAGTCTTGATGAGTGGGGTTTGATAGTAGAACTTGGAACATAAAGTTAATGTTTACAGTTAAAGAGGCTATGTCGCCACTGTGGATTTGCTTTACTGATGTAGACATAATGTAAGCGCATGGCATCTGGCAAAGTTGTGCCGTGTAAATTGTCCTTTAGATAGAGGTTTGTGCTCTAAAACAGGTTGGCTCTACAGGTTAAGTGGGAAGCCAAGGCTTCATTGCTTAAATTCTGTACTGTTGTTGCAATTAATGAGAAGTTTACAATGTACTTATCATCTTGATGTAATGTTTCTCTATCAGGGCTCACCTAACATGCGTCGATCAGCTGCTTCTCAAATCCGTGTAGGAAAGTTCAATGTGGTACTCACCACTTATGAGTATGTAATGAAGGACAAATCAGTGCTGTCCAAGGTATGTCTAGATTTGTTTATTTATGCAAAAAAGAAGTCCAATGGACATTTCTCTATTACTGACGCTTCTTTCCGTTCCATATACACCAAACCACTTACCTCTCAACAAATTGCAATATTATGTGAGCATGTACAGGATAGTAATATGAACACCTCTGTTTAAGTACAATTGGTTCTGCCACTTTGGAGTTTGTGTAGCGAGGTTTCACTGTACACAATTCCAGATTTTGTGTCATGCATATAAACCTTATACTTGTTGAATTTTGTTTTTGTTGTAATCAGGTACGGTGGCGCTACATGGTCGTTGATGAAGGACACAGAATGAAGAATCACCACTGTAAATTGACGCAGATCCTAAACACACATTATGCAGCACCCCACAGAATTCTTCTAACTGGAACACCTCTGCAGGTACAAATGACTGCTATATTGCAGGCAACCAGAGGAGCCTGCAATCCTTGTCTTCAGTTTGCTATTACACATGTGTTGCACATACATTTATGTAGCCAGCATTCACTTAGACCTCCACTAAGAACGAATGGAATGCACAGAATGTAATCTGATCATGTGTGTTTGGACAATGTATCACTTGTAATCTGATCATGCGCATTTTCACCTTCTATGACATGAAATTGACACAAAGCACAGCATTGGAGCAAGAGCATTTACATCGATCTTGCCCACACTCCCTAACCTTTTGGGATACTCGTCTCTCAAGACAAGACACTACTCTTGTGAGAAACGAGACAACAATGGTACACATAACTTACTTTTGAGTCGTACTGTAGTTTTATTTATAGTTATTCAGGGATATGGGCAGGAGCTTTTTCCCCTCGACATGCATGGTCAAGCAGATAGTGTGGGAGATGGTCGGTCAGTAAAAGTTCTCTATCATTTTGTGATTAGTGCACACTTTTTATGACCTGTTGGGCAATACACTGTTCATGTCAGGTGTCGGAGGTGTGCAACAGCTGCAAATCCACCAGGGTTTCACTAACGCCACCAAAGATTTAAAATTATTTAATCTTGATGAGTGGGGATTGATAGTAGGACCCGAAACAAAGAATTGGAAATGTTGCGTAAGTGTGTTTTGTTTAAGATCATTATTTTTATAGATACATGGTTATGTCATAATAATTTTTGTTTATGCTTTTTTGATTTAGAACCGTTTGCCAGAGTTGTGGGCCTTGTTAAACTTCCTTCTTCCAACAATCTTCAAGTCTTGCAGTACTTTTGAGCAGTGGTTCAATGCTCCTTTTGCAATGACAGGTGAAAAGGTAAGGCCCAGCAAGAGAAGAAATACAGTTGAACTTCTCCACTGACAACAGCCACCTTGGGGACAGAAGAAAGTGACCACTGTAGAGAGGTGGCTGTTGTTGAGAGGTTTAAATGAGAGTCAATGTATGGACTGTCTGTCTGTCTGTCTGTCTGTCTTTTAGTGGAGGTTCGACTGAACCACAAGTTTATATTGCGCGACGACTTCCATGAAAGTGTTACATGTACATGAATGAACTATCTCATGAAATAACAGAATTCCATCCACAAACAAACCAACCAGACAAAAAAACAACAAGCTCTGACATTCTCCTCTCTTAGCTTACCACAGTCACATATTTCCCCTCATGTGCCTGTTTAATGACGAGAGGAAAAGTAACCGCACCCTTAGGAGGTTATCCTGGCAGTATAATCCATACCTCACCAGGTCGTTTGAAGGGTCACATCCACACAATGTATTTTGTTACATTTCCTCTATATTGCACCTGTTATTAATTTTATAGGCAGACCAAACTGTTTTAAACTTTTTTTTCTCCATGACTTCTTGACTGCCAATGCTCAAGCTTTGGAGAATTCTTGAGAAATAAGAGTGTCCATAGAACCGTATAAAAGTACCTCTAAACAGGTCTCATATGAGTGGTCACACCATAAGAATTCATGCACAGACTCAAAAGTTGAATACTGAATAGCACCATGTGAAAGTACTGCTGAACTGGTTTCATATGAATGGTCACACCATAGGATTTCATGCATAGACTCAGAAGTTAGCTTTGTCATGTCTCAATATTTGACTCTGGGAGTGAAAGAGCTGCATCATTCTTTGCATTCAGTAGCTACATGTATCTGAAATATGAGCTGCACAAAAGACAGTACCATTGTGATAATTTGATTAATCTATAATCTTTTGTTTTATATAGGTTGAACTAAATGAAGAGGAGACCATTTTGATTATCCGTCGTTTGCACAAGGTGAGGTGTAATTTATTTTTTGCAGTACAAAGACAGTGCTCTGTAAACTTAAAAATCAATATCCTGTCAACTTTTCAATTCGTATCAGTGTGTGAAATACTTTACTCTCCTTGACAGGTCCTACGACCATTCTTGTTGCGCCGTCTAAAGAAAGAAGTTGAATCCCAACTGCCAGAAAAGGTAAGAACACTATTTAGCTCAAATACTGCTTACAGGTAGGAAACATACACTTGGTTGTTCAGTTCTAAGTAGATGTTTTTTACAGCAATAGTATATTGTATTATTGACAAATTGGTAGAGAAAGAAAAAAAATAAAGTTTCGTTTGTATCCCATCTATTTAAAAACTTTCATGCTGACTGAACACCCAGTCAGGCTTAATCTGCACATAAATAGGGATCTTACGAAACCTCGATGACAACAGCGATGGGAATGTCAAAAAACAATAGGATAAATGAGCAAAACACCAACTCTGCACATGCATCACGCTTTTTTGTACATTTCTTTGCCCTCACTGCATAACTACAAGGTGCAATGACCAAATTTTATGTATGCTTGGGAATGGGAACGGCAAGGCGATAAATTCTACCATCTCTGTCTGAACTCGGGTGCATTCCCCTCTCTTCAGCTCCAGCCAAAATCCCCTTCTTTTAAATAACAGTGCGAATTGGGATAAGCACGAAAAAGTTTAAAAGGATGCGAAGTCTATTTTTCAGTGACGTTTTCATGAGCGTCGCTGTTGTCGGATCGTAAGTTCCCTAATATATTATATACAGATTTCTTTATAGACAAGAGATTATAATAGCCAATGACATTTAAACTTGATAATATCATTTATGAAAATGTAAAATTTTTGTCACTTGGTTTTTGTATATATATAAGTTGCTGACTCGCATATTTATGTTTCTGGTAGGTCGAGTATGTTGTGAAATGTGACATGTCATGTCTTCAACGCATTCTGTACAATCACATGCACAAGGCTGGTGTACTGCTGACAGATGGCTCAGAAAAGGACAAAAAGGTCTGCTACAAATCTTTTCATAATAATGATGCAGTCAAACCCTGTTAATACAGAAACTAAGGGGGCCATAAAAAAAGTGTCCATATTGACGGGTGTCCTTATTAAGCAGGTTGAATTTTGAAAAAAATTAATGTAAGGGCTTTCTTTCTCCAGGGACTAGCCAAACTGTCTGTAATAATTATTGAGGATTCTGTATTAAGCGGGTGTCCATAAAACTGGGTGTGACTGTAAAAGTAGCCCTTTTCAGAGCACATGTAACCATGCTCCTAATCATCAGAAGCTCATACAGGATGATCATGACAATGTGTTGTCTTTGTTGTCAACTTACCACTGTCATTGTCATTGTTATAATAGGGCCGTGGAGGTACAAAGACATTGATGAACACCATCATGCAGCTAAGGAAGATCTGTAATCATCCATTCATGTTTCAGCATATTGAGGTGAGACAACAGCTAGTGTGCTGTTAGAGACTTGAACCTCAACCTGCTGATTAATTTCGCTGTCCAAGGTGGAAATCAGTTTGGCATGGTAGCAATCATACGTAGGCAGAATAAAGAACTCAATGGTGTGGACATCAATGAAAGAATAATATTACATGTCAACTGAATTCATGTTCAAAAATTTATGCTTTTTTTCTAAAATTTCAATAGTACATGTACTGTACTTTTATAATCCATTCCGAAGCGTTTCAGCTACAGCATAAAATAAAGCTTATTGTGACATAGACAATATTCACATGATGTCATGGCAGCCATATTGGTGTTCCGAAACAATGAAGTGGCGGCCATACTGGTGTTCCAAACAAATCCTGTGGGAGTTGGACTCTTTTCTTTTCTAAAAAATTTGTTTTGTTCCCATAAATTTGCATAGATGCTGGCCACATGAGTGAATGCGCTCTATAGCTGGAAATTTACTTCGAGATCACATGACATTGAAAACTGAGCAGCCAACAATGCAAAAACCATGTCAGAGGGTAGCAGTGCACTGTTACCCAAGAATATTGATCGATGACTGCCATCACAGTGAGGTTTAATGAATTTCCAGCTTCAAAATTTCCAGCTATATAACAAAACACTTAAATGCTGGTCCCTCAGGAAACGGTTAATTTTGTTTCCCTCGAATCTCAATGTTTCCCTTGGCTCCACCTCAGGAGAATTCTCGGGAAACAAAATTAACTATTTCTCTCAGAACCAGTCATTAAGTCTTTATTATTATTGTGTTAAATTTTTAATTTTTTTTATCTCTACATTTCATCAAAGGAATCAATTGCTGAGCACCTTGGGTTTGCAAATGGAATTGTTCAGGGGTAGGTGTTGTTGCATTAGAGCAACATGTATAAACTACAATCTTGGACAAAAATATAGAGAAAATTGGACGTTACCATGTCTAGTTTCAAAATAAAGTGCTTGAAAGCAGTGGCAACTACAATAATCCCCCATCCCCGCAAAAAATTAAATTTTGAAGCCCGGCTGGATCATTTCTGATCCCGACTAAACAACTTTGACCATAGTGGTACCAAATCCGCAGGATAGGCGTTCTGTAGGTAAGAAAGTGCAAAATTCTTAAGGAACTTTTTCTGTCCAATTAAGTTTGATTGTTGTGGGTTCTCGTTTTTTGATCTTAGTCAGGACTGTGCTTGAGCAGTGGCCAGTGGCCCCTGGTGTCTTACTTTTGCTCTTCGACAACAAGAAAATTTTAGTATATTCATAGAAATCCTGTATTGAGCACCCTGGATTTCACTGGTTCATACATATAGCACAGGGCTCCCTTCGATTTTGCTTAGAGCACAGCCTAGAAGGTTATGAAAATTTGTTTGAAGAGAATGAAAGTAGAAACTGTCCGATTTTAAAATTTAAAAAAAAAGTTTGAACCAAAGAATAGTATGAATCCGTGCAGATGTGCATTCATCTTTGCTAATTTAATTTTTTGTGCATGTCACACAAACAGGCCTGATGTTGTAAGAGTGGCTGGAAAGTTTGATCTGCTGGATAGGATTCTGCCAAAGCTGAAGAGAAAAGGCCACAGGTAATTTTCTTTTACCAAATTTTGAAAAAACCTTCTATGCTTACAGTGACATTCATCATCAAATTTACTTATGTACATTTCTCCTCAGCTTGCAAAGAAACTAGTGTCCAATGGCCCGCGGCTAGTGGATTTTGCTATCGGACTAGTGATTTCTATTCTTAACTTGTCCAATGAGCAAATGAAGTTTTTTGAGGGAATTCAAATTACAGAAGAACTGTAGTTGAAATGACTTTTGGGCTAGTACGTGCGAGCTACCGCTTGCCCAAATGGCAAGCTGTAAAACTGACTTTCTTTGCACCCTGCTTCTAGGTTTAAGGTAATAACCTTTCTACCAGAATCTAGCAATAGCTTATGACTAGCTTGATTGCTGATTGTTGACAGTTTCATGATAGCTATTGACATGTATTGATGCCTTCCTGTTCCCATGTACCCAGTCCCCTCGCACCTGCTTGCACTTTCTAGATTTCTCTCTGTCCTTTACCCTACAAGAGAGCTTGTCACAGTCTACCTCATTATCACAAACAAGACTATTTTGTTCAAAGGTATTCCAACTATCCCTGCTTTACAGATTCTGTAATTAACAAATGGTGGTTAAGGGGGTTTTTTATAGCAGAGAAGCAGATCGTACTCTATAATTATTTTGTCACAAGAAGTTCCTGAGTTTTAAATTATGGTTTATCTGGCCCCAGTTGTTCAAAAGGCGGATAGCACTATCCATTGGATAAATCTCTATTCACTGTATAGCACAATTGGTTTCCCTATTAACACGTATCTGTTGGATAGTGATTTATTCAGTGTATAGTGCTATCGAACATTTCAACAACTGGGGCCTGGACATTAACCTACTCAATTTTTATTTTTTTTTAATTTACTGTTTTTTAGGGTGCTGTTGTTTTCACAGATGACTTCCCTGATGACAATTCTTGAGGACTATTTCAACTGGAAAGGTAAGAAAACAGTAGTACTATACAATTCTCTGCTTTGGTCTATTGTGACTGTATACTATTTTAATACTGTTTTAGACATAACAGTAGAGAAGTCAGAATAAGAATGCACATTGCTAGAACCTGGCAGAAGTTCTTCATGCATGCCAGGCGTACGAAGTGTGCGATAGAAACCTAGGGTTTTTTTCCCTCCACTAGAAACAGTGTTTCGATTGTGGTCAAAAACCCTGGAACACCTGTTTAACTTAACTCTATTAATTTAAGAGAGGAGGTCAAACAAACATTTGTTACTTGCTAGTTCACGCTAGAAGAAGGTAGGGCGTGATATGGATTATCGTTTTTCAGCGTTTTTTGTGTTTTTATGAGCTACAATTTTGCACTGAGTAAAGCAAGAGTCAGTGGAAGAGTAGAACGCAAAAAGTTGGTTCTATCAACTAAGTTAATTAAGTACATGTCATTTTTCCACCGAAACAATATCAAAAGCTGAAGAGCGCTAGCCCTTTGTTAGGGAGAGTCAATTAATTGTGTGTTGTGTAGTTGATCAAGCTTAAGTTAACATGCTTGTACACAGTTTTTCCAGTGGTTTCATAGCTTAACTTAGGTATCAGAGGATGGAGCCACGAACCGGTGAAAACACAAAAATAATGGCTCGTCTCTCCTTCACATAGGATACCCTTATCTTCGACTGGATGGTACAACAAAGAGTGAGGACAGAGGTCAGCTTCTTGCGCTCTTCAATGCTAAGGACTCGCCATACTTCATCTTCTTGCTGAGCACACGAGCAGGAGGCCTTGGGCTGAATTTACAAGCTGCTGACACTGTGGTCATTTTTGACAGTGATTGGAATCCTCACCAGGTTTGTTTGTTTGCTTGTTTTGGTCTTCAACTTCGAATCATCGTACGTTTCTGGCAAACTGCCTACCTACCCCTCTCCTAAGCCAACATTTTGCCTTAAGTGAGAAGTAAGTGTTAATGTTGGGTGGAAATTTTGTGCATGAACATAAAAGTATAAAATTTGAAGTGGAGGGAGAACGACTCGCTACAAAGTATATCCAAATCAGCTGAACAGACTAAAAAGAGTGGAAAAATTGCATCTCCTCAAAACACAGCCCATATTTTCTGAAGCCTTCCCAAACGAGATGGCGCGAACCCTTTGATTTTCCGATCGAAATTTCCGGTTTTCCCATGTAAATGGTAAGCACCCCAGGTGTCCATTTAATCTTTGAGAGGTGTCCCTCTTATAAGGTGTCCGTTAAGAGACAGCACACTGTTTCAAGCCTGTTTGAAGATGCTTGTGTATGTCAGGTGTACTAGGTGTGCAATACTAACTAACCCAGGGTTTCGCTAACACCACTAGAGTGAAACAACTCATTGAGTGGAGTTTGATAGTAGAACCTGGTATATCAGTCTTTTCCTCACCCCGCGCCCCTCCTCCCCCCCCCTCCCCCACCCCCCATTATCAGAAAAGTTCGACGTTTGAATCAATTAGGAATGACTGTTTCAATTTGGAACGGCCCAGCCGTTCTTTCCGCCTAGCCCGGCCGGAAATTTTGACTTTGGATCGACTTTGGCATTGGTTTAGACACCGAACTTTTCATGTATCGAACCTAATACATAAACTGTGATAACGTATTTTGTAAGCAGTTTGACCGAAAGGATCATTTTTCTCCTTCTGAATTTAGTTGGGCTGGAGTTAAGATCGGCGTCTGTAATTAATTCAGCCGGTCTAAATCATTTGGGTGAGCCTTAATTCGGATTAGGTTCGGCTCATGAAAGTTCTTCGTCTGAACTGGGCCTAAATCTACTGTTGATTAACTGGATAACTTTTTTTGGTATTTATAGGATCTCCAAGCTCAGGATCGTGCCCATCGTATTGGGCAGAAGAATGAAGTACGTGTATTGAGGTTGATGACAGTGAACAGTGTTGAAGAGAAGATTCTTGCTGCAGCCAGGTACAAGCTTAATGTTGATGAGAAGGTCATTCAAGCTGGTATGTTTAATCAGAACTCCACATCGAGTGAACGTCGCGCGTTCCTGATGGCACTGCTGGGTACAGAGAATGAAGATGATGAGGTACAGTTTGTGAGGGCGTAACGTTTGGCCCTAATGTCGGTTCGCAAGACGGCAATTCGCCCGATGTGTATTTGTCGTCCTTCAAGCCTGAAAAAAAAGGAACAAGCGTGAAAAGATAGTGACCATACGCGTGAAATTCAAACTTAAGTAAAATAACATCTGATAGGTTTGTTGTAGAGTGTTGTATGTCATTGGGCGAATTGGCTCAAGTCCTGGCGAATGCCGTCGGGCGAATCGACTTTCGTGCGAAACGACCGCAATTCATTTTTGTTTATTTAAGGTTGTACGGTTGTTATGTGCGATGGCTTTTTGGTTAATTCTCCTATGAGCAAACTTACCAGTAACTTACTCGTTTAGGTTTTGAATGGGTTAACTTCCCTGCGGTGAATTTGCCTGTTCAGATTTACCGGTTACCAAATCAATAGGCAATACATCTAAAGAAATTGTATTTATATTAAACAGGAGGAAAGTGAAGTACCGGATGACGAAACCGTTAATCAGATGATTGCAAGAACGGAGGAAGAATTTGAACTGTTCCAAGTAGGTGAACCTATGTCATGTTATCCTCAACTTGTTTTACGACGCATTCATACAAACTAGAGAACTGAGGAGTTTTAAAACGCGTCACCTCTTACAATGCATTAACGTGTTCTCTCCCTCAATAAGGACTCCGTCCGTACGTTTTAATTTTTGACGGTTCACTGTTTACCGCTTGAATCTTACTCAATGGTGCCTTGTATTCGCGCCCACCGTTTCCTTCAAGCGCCATAATTTTTGAAAATCTTTGATCGCTGAATATGGCATTCAGTGTCTGATTCTATCTTACCAAACTTGTGACACGATCGCATCACGCCAAGATCGCGCTTGAGATCCATTCGCGCTGCGTCCACGCTCAAACTCTCCAGACTGATCTCCATACCTTTTCACAAAGAATTAGTTCAGAGAATTTGATCGAAGTATTTTTCCTGTCTTTATGACCTATTGTCACTGTTAGGAACAAATTGATGTTGGCCTTTCTTGGGTCTTACAAGTTAAAAGCAAGGGGGGTAGAGATACACTTACTGTTTATCTGATTTTTTTTGTTCTTCTCTGATCTCAGCGCATGGATATGGAAAGACGCAGACAGGAAGTAAGGGTAAGTAACTCTTGACAATTGTGGTTTGTTTGTTTTATAGTAATATATAGAATTAGCCAAGGCCAAAAGCGAAGCTCTCATGTATTTTTCAAGTCCCGTAGTTTAACCTTTGCGGTAAGCAGGAAGTAAACTGAATTCCGTCTGAAAAGAAAGTGGACCTGAGTCTGCGATCAATTAAAACAAATAAATAGTCAGCGAATAACTTTTTAAAAACACGTCATCTGAATGAGTGTACAGTTGAGCCCGCGATACAGTTATGTGACACTGGTCAGCGGATACCCCTTCTGACAGCTGTCAATTGATCATTACATGGATGTCCTATCAAGTTAAACAGATTGTATTTGCTTTGAACACTTTGCTAGTAAGTGTAACCTTTTTACATCCGCTAACATGAGTGGGCGGAGGCATGCGACTATTTTGTCACTACCAAAATTTCTTGCATGCATGTTTAACCAAATTTTCTTTCATATGGTGCTCCGCTGCGCGCGTTTCGCTCGCGTGAGAGCTCCGCTAGAAAACTAACACTATTGTGGTCCTTGTGTTTCAGGAGGCTGGTTCACTCCGTCGTCGCCCCCGCCTGATGCAGATCAGCGAACTGCCACGATGGATTGTCAAAGATGATGCTGAGGTTGGTAAAAAACATCCGAAAATTAACAACACGACACAAGCTCATTTAAGGTCCTTTTTTCGAGGTCAGATGTTACAGCGCGCTAAATGTTGTCCTGCAATTTTTCTTCAGGTTGAGCGTTTGACCTGGGAGGAGGAATCGGAGAAGATTTTTGGCCGAGGGTCACGTGTACGGAAAGACGTTGTGTACTGCGAGCATCTGACAGAAAGACAGTGGCTGAAGGTAAGCAAGGGAGGGTACTATTAGGCTGCGTGGATGTTGCTTCGTTTTTCGTTTAACCTTGGTATCGTAGCCCGAGTTAACGCTCTAAAAACCTCTCATTTGCAATTACGCTTTGATTCCGAGCGGAATCTGAGCCAACCCCGTTAGAGCTGTTACCTGTCAGAGAAAGGGACTTCTTAAACGTTAGATCGTGTTTTTGAAATTAAGAGAATCGCAAATTGCCATTTTAGGCCATAGAAGATGGTCGACTGGACGAGGTGGAAGAACGACAAAAGGTTAAGAAATCCAAGAAAAGAAAACATGAAGGAGGAGAAGAGAGCGAAGCTCCTGTGAAGGTTAGTCAGCAAATCCCCTCTACTGGGTAACATAAAATCGGGACATCTAAGTTGACCGACGACCGCTGTTACGGCGATGTTTAATGAATTTCCAGCTTCAAAATTTCCAGCTCCCTATATATAGCAAATCACTTAAAGACTGGTCCCTCGGGAAACAGCTAATTTTGTTTCGCTCACTTCTCAATGTTTCCTGAGACTCCGCTCACGGGAAACAAAATTTAGTGTTTCTCTCGCGACCAGTCATTATGTGTTTAATAATGTTAAACCGTGTGTCACCAGTTAGGAGTATTGCTACTCACCACGGAAGGGTCGTCACTCATATCTGCTAAGATTAACTCGTACATTCTACTTTATACAATTATGCAGAGAGACACCACCAGGATTAAAGTTTCTAGGTTATCTAAGATTTGATTTGCTATTACTGTTGTTTCATTTAAGGTGAAGAAAAAGCGTGGCCGACCCCCAGCAGGTATATTATTCTGTTTTCTTTTTCTCGTGTTTCTAACCTTGTTTTTTGTGAGTTAATTACGTCCTGTTTTGTGGCTTCACCGTTAAAAACGATTCCTGGGTTTCGAATAAGTAATGTTTAAATCACTTCCAGGGCCCGGTTCCTCGAAAGACGGTTAACTTTATATCAGGATTAAGCTAAATTTTAGGCAAGGTTTTCTTGCCTAAAAACATACAACTCGAGCTTAAAAATACTGTTTAGCCCTCACTCTGAAATACAGTAATGATAACGCAAAGTGTTACTCTAAGCATTATGTAGGAAGGTAAAATACAAAAACGGAACAACATTTTGAACCTGGATTTGCGCTAATCGGCCTTTCAGAAACCGGGCCCAGAACCGCAGCAAAGAAAGACGTGACCGTTAATGCTTGCGGGAATATCACGTATTTTGATCCCCGTTTTATAAGGCCGGACTAAGACGAAGCTGGCCATATGAACCAAGCGCCTATGAAGAGATTCTAGTTAACTTTTTAGCCGCGACGGCGCTCTGTGGGCGGCGAATTGGACACTGAGGCAGCAAGCAGGATACTGACCCGGAACTGTGGAACAGACCAGGGTGCAGTATTTTCTGGTCAATTTCTGTTCTTTTCATTTGTTCTAGTTAAACTTTCTCCCAATCCTCCTGAACTGACCAAACAGATGAAGAAGTTGATCAAATATGTTGTGAGATATGTCGATGAGTAAGTATCATATGCATAATTTCCTGTGTGTTGCTATACTTTTGCAGAACGCGCAAATTCGCCAACGACATTGCATAGTTGTTTTCACATTGCCGCTGACGCCAATGCAGAGGGGCAGTGTTCCCATGTTAAAATACTTTTAAGCATTTGCGACTTTGTCGTAGAATACGAATAAAAAGACCGAAGGAGACTTTTTATGAGACGTACAAGCCTGCCAAAACGGGGCGTCCATGGGCAATTGAGAAAGATTTAAACAGATTACAAGCTTAAAGACGTCCGATTGCAAATTAATTTACTTCTTTTCAATTTTAGGTCATGTTATTTAGAAAGCTTGATATTCTTTGGGTTTTGTAAACGTGATTTTGCCAAGAAAATTCTTTGGCTTGACTGATCTGAGGAGCAAAACACGTAATTGACGTAAATAATCAATAAATAATAGTGTGAAGTAAAAGACTTTCTATTTTCCCTCAGTTCTACGCAACGCAACTTGGCCGAAATCTTCATGGCGCTCCCTACAAGGAAGGAACTGCCTGATTACTATCAAATCATTAAGCATCCAGTGGATATCAGAAAGATACGGGTAAGGATTTGTCCTGTAATCAAATGTCCACACTCTGTAGACCATTTTTCAGCTGTGAAGAAATTTTTTTTTTCTTACTAGGATTTTTCGAACAGTAAAGGTTGTCCTCATCTTGGAGCTACCACCCTGGTCAAAACTCTGGGACACTAACACATAGCTCGTTGAAATGACGCATTTTCCCTACCCCTTCCTCCCCGGGGCAGTGTTGACGTTATGTATTCAAGTCTGTTATCAATACAATAAACACTCTTTGGAGGAGAGGGGGACAGCAGAAATTGCCCCTATAACAACATTCCCAAGCTTTTATAAGAGGTAGAATACGATTTAATTTAGCAAAGTGCCGTCTTCGCGCCTAATTTCCTTAAGTGTCCCATGATGTTTTGACCAGGGTTGTAGCTGCCTGTAAATTAAACTTGTTGATATTCTCCATGCACCGTCTCTTACATAATCCTTGCAGCTTTGAACAAGTCAAAATCACTGAGTTGTGTGTGACAGGCCATTTATTCCCAGGGAGTAAACTCAAACAATTTTTTTGGTCTCTGCACAGTTGATTGTCCTGGAAACAAAAAAAAAATTAAACTTTTAGTCTGGTCCCGCCCCCAGACACTTAGGGAACTTCTCTCAAAATGGTTGCCTTTTCAAGAAATGCAGTTTTTTCAGCTTCGAGATGAGGTTCATATTAACTTTAAGATTTTTTTTTTTGTAGGAACGGATTAATTCTCACAAGTACCGCACCGTAGATGATCTAGAAGATGATTTCATTCTGATGTGCAAGAATGCTCAGACTTACAACATCGAGGGATCCATTGTATGTTATTCCGTTGAGTTAAATCTTGTTGTTAAACATTTTAATTTCCTGTGTCCCGTTTTTGGAAGTAATAGTCTTCTGTTCCGCTCTGATTCCACACCACCTTATAATTTTGTCTGGTATAGAGCCACCTAAGTCTCCGTGATGGAAACATAAGCAGGTTTTGCCATAAGTCTTCACTCTTTTTACGATCCACATGTAACCTTAGAAGGCACATGATAAATCATATGGCGCGCGCGAGGAAGGAGGATACAAGCGTGTCCCTCCCCGCTCACCCACGTCGTTTTACGTCCGCGCCGTACTTCCATCTATCATGTAATTGTGCGCAGATTAGTCAACGCTTACCTCTGCATTCTTCAAACTCAGTAGCAATTTCGAACCGTGGTGTAATACTTCTCTATTCGTTGCAGATTTACGAAGATTCTATCAAGCTGCAAGTGAGTACAGCAAAGTAAATGTAGCCAGTAGGGCAAGTCGAAGAGTAAATCAAATAGCATTTTAACCCTCATATCCTAAAGTTCCATGCTGAAGAACTGGTTATCTTGTTCTACTAGGCCCTTTACCCTGTTTAAAATGTCCGGAGGAGCCTGGGTAAGATTTCTGGAACACTTTTTGTATGATGGATACATAATTACTTGGTATCGTCCGTATTGCTTTCTAGAGATCTGGAACATCCCTGTTGGGTGGCCCAGAATCTGAGTAAATTACTACAAAAATTTGAGAAAATTTTTCTGATTATTCAGTCGGTTCGTCACTACGCGACTGTTCTCTTAAATTTTTCCTTCTTTTTCATCTTTGTGTTGAGCAACAGAGGGTGCTCTCCAACGACGCGGACGACAACGAGAACGTCCAAAACACAACAGGTTTAATTAGCCAACAACTTCGCCTGTTCTTTCCCGTTTTTGCGATACGACGTGAAAATGCCTTATTTCGGTTTTATCGAGGACGTCTTTTTTCTTCTTTATGGTTGAGCAACAAAGAAGGGGTTGGAATAATCGCTATAAAGACTGAAAGAACGCAAATTCACTTTTTAAGCGATGTTCTTGTCGCCGTCCCGTCGTTGGATCTTAAAGTCCCTATTATAGCTGTTGAATACCCTGGAAAGACACTCTTTTCGACATAGGAAAGTTTTAGCGTAGGCGAGTCTCAAACAAGGATTCGCCGGAAGTCGCTATGAAAATCAACTTTGTGTACGGTATACTGTTCCGTCTTTCTTAAACAATCGGTTATGAGTTCCATCAGGAGAATTCGATTTCTTCCCGACCCTTCCCAGAGGAACTTTGCCTTATCAGAGCGTCCTGTTTTCTCAACTAACCAATGAATCGCCTTCACAGTCGATTTTCACGCATGCGAGACAAAGGATACAGGCTGGCGAGGAGTTACAGTCGGCTCAGTCATCAGTGCAGGAACAGGAAGTGGAAAGTGATAAGGAGGCCGGTAGTGAGGGGGAAGATGACGATGAAGAGGTAATGTGACGCCTGAGTGAAATTGACTCTTTTCCAATCCGCCATAATACACTCTGTTTGTCCCCTAAATTTTGCACAAGTTATTAGAGAGCTTTAGATTTGAGGACGAGAACGAGTATGAATACCAGATTTAACTCAAGTTTTTGTGCTTGTTCTAAAAAAAAGACGCCCGGAAAGCTTCATTTTACTTTTTTTTTTTCACCAAAAAAGTTAGTACAGTTATTTATAGTGAAGGAGGTTAATTAAGCCCTCTCCCGACAGCAGAATGCTAAAACTTCGTACATTTGATAACTTGTTCCCGCCACTACGACATTATTAGAGACCTTTAGATTCAAGGACGAGGACGACTACGAGTACGAGATTTGACTTTAAGTTTTTTCGCGTCTTCTCAAAATATAGACTCCCCGGAAAGCTTCATTTTACCATTTTTCACTGGAAAAGTTAGTACTGTTACCTTTAGTGAAGGAGGTTACATCCTCTCCCGATCTCAAAGTGATAAAACTTGTAACATTTGATAACTTGTTACCGCAACTTCGACATTCGCGCTAAAACTCGTAGTAGAGTGACGACGGCTACCACGTTTTCCCGCCAAAATGACGCTGGTTCACGCGCAGGCACTACTTAGTACTGAGAAAATCTCGTACTCGTAGTCGTACTCGTCTTAGAATCTAAAGGTCTCTATTCTCGCTACTAAAACTCGTAGTAGAATGACGACGGCTACCACGTTTTCCCGCCAAAATGATGCTGGTTCACGCATGAGCATTACGCAGTATTGAGAAGATCTCGTAGTCGTAGTCGTTCTCGACTCAGAATCTAAAGCTCGCTATTGTTATTCATTTCCAAGTTACAGTTTTATGGAACTTCAGTTTCTGTGATTTATCTTTTTCAGGAATTTGAAGAGGGTGAGTCAGTGGGCTCAGACGCTGAAGGTAACGGAAGCCTTTTTGATAAGCTCCAAACTATAAACAAATTCTGTCTTTCTTTACTTGAATCAAAACGTCTGGATATTGTTGATGACTGTATTTACTTAAAACAGCGCCGCGGGGCTTATTACTTTTTGACTTGTTGGTGCGATGCTTATTTGAAAATTTCACTCACGTGGTCAAAAAATTTATTGAAACTTGTACGGTTGACTCCCGATAACTCGAACCTTCGCTAACTCGAACCTCGCGTTGACTCGAACTAAAGTCGACTTCTCCTGGATTTCTGTCATACATTTACTGTAATTCATCTCTCGCTAACTCGAACCCCCGATAACTTGAACCCCCCGCTAACTCGAAGTAATTTTTGTTTCCCTTGAAATCATTTCTATGTAATTTTACCCTCGATTACTCGAACCATGTTATAATAAGCGCATGACAAATCGGTAAAAATAACACCGTGAACTGAAGTCCAAAACATTGAATTTATTTCAAAGCAACCGTGTCAATTCTTTGTCTTTACTTTTTTGTCCCTCCAGTTCAAAATCAGTGTCCATCCCTCTATATTAATCAAGCCTTGCGCTGCATTCCCTCCCCATCCATCTGCTCATTTTCTTATTTCCTTTTATTTACTTCGAACCCCCGATAGCTCGAACTTTTTCCAATTTCCTTAGAAGGTTTGAGTTATCGGGAGTCGACTGCAGGCCATTTCCGAATTCCAAGAATTCACTTTCAAAACGAGGCAAAGTGTAAAACTTTTCTTCTGAAAATGACAATGAAAAATCATTTTCATCAGTGGCTTCGCACTTGATAGCCCAGCTTTGAAACAAAGGCATGGAGCAACTCGGAAAAAGGTTCAACTCCCACGATTTTAGTAACGCGGAACATTTTCATCGAGAAACTCAAAGTTTTTGAAATTACTCTTTCTAACGGAGAGTAAAAAGATTTTAATTAGTCGCCTCTTGTTTTCTTTTTCAGCAGGTAGCAGTCAGTCGCTCCTAAAGATGCGTATTAAACTTGGAAAACAGTCGGTGGAGAAAGCCAAAGTTGAGATGGGCGCTGTTGTAAGTTTAAATTTAATTTGCGCAAAGTAAAACCTGTACTGTGAGCCCTTTTTCTTCGTTCATCTGCCACCATTAGCAAGCTATTAAGAGTTCGTCTTGTGGTACAGTAGCTGAAGCTCATTTTCCCCATTCTGTAACTTTCCCAGAAGAAAAAGCGTCGCGGACGCCCGCCACGAGTCCGACAGGATCCGAGTGACAACGAAGGTGACTCGTACCCGCCATCGGAGAAGGACGAAAGCAGTGAAGGAGTGAGTAAACAATGGTTTCTTTGTACTTAACATAAATATACAAATAGTCCCGCACCGCAAGCCCACAAATTATCCTTCTAATTATCCTTTTTTTTACTTCGCAGGAAACCTCTGACCGAGAATTAGCGGGCTCATCTCAAGAGGCAGCGGCGTCGCCTTCACAAAGAAAAAAATGATGAAGCAAGAAAGTCAACGAGACTAACTCCCTAAACCTGCTTCTTTGTAGCAATTTGTATTTTGTTGTTAAGGGTTCTTGCTTTGTCTTTGGCCCAGTAGCTTTTCCCTGCGCGGAAGGATGCTGTGGAGTCCGCCGACACAGTTATTTCTTCGATTCCTTAAATTAACACCAGGGTTCGTGCTACTCTTTGAAGTCCTTAAAAAAACCTGAATTTAATTTTAGATTTCAAGGGCGCATGAAAAGCCCTTGAAAAGAAGAATTTCTTCAAAAATTGCGTGAAAACTCTTTGATTTTTTTTGTTCGATTGGGTAATGAGAGTTTTATAACAAAGTAACTCAAAGATTGAGCGCAAATGTTAAAATCGAGGACAGATTTTGGGAAAATTTTGCCTGACACTCCTTGAAAACACAGTCGTTTGTGATTAAAAACTTCTTTAAACCAGCACAAACCCTGGAGCATTCATACTCTCGTCACTACTCCGTGCATTCTGATGGTTGTGAGGGGAACAGTGTGTTTGCAAATCAGTGTATAGTAAGTAGTACGATCTGTGTAGATTTTTCACTTTTGTGCTTGACAGAGAACTTTATTGCACGAGGGAACTAAATGTTGTTCGTTGTGAGGGTTAAAAGGTTGAGCACAAGTTTCGTTTTTCTTGTGGCTGTAAGTCTTATTTTTCAGTTGACTTCAAGAATATAAGTATAGTAACCTAACAAATGCATTGCTCTTCACAACCTTGTTCCCAGGGCTCCCGCCTACTCGTCCGCAAGAGTGAAAGAGTCCGTGTGTATCGTTGGGAAGTCATTAGATCACAATCACCTCAACAAAGTTGTGGCGTCCAGCGGTTTTAGTCTCGCGGGCTCATAAAACCTAGTCTCGGTCATTGTTATTGAATGATTTTCGTACCGTTGAGAACAAGGTTATGATTTTCAAAGTAACCTGATGTGAAGTAACTAGAGTCAGGCTACGCGCATGCGCACGGCAGCGGGCGAATTTTCTACCGGCTGAAAATTCATACGGAAGTGCCTTAACTGTGCGAAAATTTGGACGCCTAGCTGTTCGAAGTTCCGTGTTGTAACAGAAAATATTGAATGGTACCGTGTGAAGGAAGGTAAAACGTAAAAAGGTAAAGGCGTACACTAGCCAAAGGCCCACACGGCCGGAGCTTATTTCCGGTTTCCGTAATATGAAGCAAGCATAGGAGTTCTGCTACTCCCCCTGGACGGGATGCTAATCCATCGCAGGGTTACCCCCCCCCAGCAGTATGTCGCCGGTACCCATTTATAGACCTAGGTGAAGAAGGAAACAACGCGACGGACGAGGCTTGAACCCCAGACTTCAAGATCCAGAGTTCGAGGTGTTAACCGCTCGGCCACAGACGCCTTCACTCGTGTGAAGGTAGTGTCCGGTCAAATTTTTTCAGCCGATGGAAAATTCCTTCGTGTGAACGTTGCCTCATTGTCCGTAACCCGTGTAGAGTTACTTGACATAGTGTATTAATAGCTTGTATATAGTTCCTAGTTCCTACCAACTGTGTTGTCCTGCAAAGAAACAATCTGTTAATTCTGTTTTGATTGGATTCTGTTTCTTTTTGTCGGTGATCCTTTAGTAGATTGTTATAAAAGTTCCTTGGGAAATAGATAGAAGTGTTCCTTAGAAATAAAAGTTTATGCTACCTTGTATCTTCTCTCCCTTTTCTTTTCAGTGTACAAAGTAGGTATGGTCGTTAATACTAAGTAAGACGTTCAGAAAATAGATGGATTTCTAACGGAAGGGGAGAGGTAAGGATAGGGCTTGCTAAAATCGCAAAAGATAGAAGGATAGCCGATCCTTGTTAAAAATTCACAGCAGTGAAGACATGTGAAGAGATAATCTGCTTATTTCCTGTCCCGTTGAAATAAACCAGTGAGAGCAGAGCAGATTTGGTTCAGTATTATGCAACGCCACGCAAAGGGGAAAAATTAGAACATTCAGTTTAACATTGAGGAAAATGGCAACAAGCCCTGTCCGTCTCCTAAAACGACCCAAGGAAACTGAACTTGACAACTCGATGTAGTTTGATTTTAACAAATCTTGACTTCATAGTCAGGCCGTGCGGTTACGCTCTTCATCCTCACCCACCTTCCCCATTTTACTTTGACCTAAAGACGGCTCTGAAATCCATTAATCTTGCCTGAAAACAGATCTCTATAAACATGGACCAGTCAACACAGAGCAGAAATCTGGCGATAATCCTGCGCGTTAGAATATCAAGGTATCAAATAAGTACCGCCCAAGGGTCAACCCTGCAACCCTTTACCACCAAAACAGTTAGATTATCCTTGAAGCCATTGCGTTTCACAAAAAACGAGGCTAAGTATGTTAAAATGAAAACAGAAGTTATGCTTTTATAGCTGATCAAGGGTGACCAATCAAATCTCCACTGTTGAAAGTTGATGATGTTTTGAGCTCATCACAGACATGACACCTTGTAAAAAAGAGGTCACTTCTGCACAGTGCTGGTCTCTGAAGCAACAAATGCAGATGGGATGGCATCGTTTTCTTCTCGAAATGCTGTTGTGTTATCTCTCTATGCGGCAGTTCTCCAGCTCTTTTTACTACTTCCCTGTCTGGGCCAACCAGCGTGCGAACCACTGAAGATCACTGTCTGCCGTCAATTTTACGGAACCACGATATTTCCAAACACGCTAAATCATAAAAGCCAAGAATCTGCAGCCTTTGAGTTTCAGCAATTCGCTCCTTTGATTAATTTGCGTTGTTCGCGGGATATCGCCTTGTTCCTTTGTTCCGGTTACTTTCCTGTCTGCCCCAGTGTTCTGAAGACAGCAGTTCCACCGTGTCGCTCGCTTTGCGACAGTGTCAAAACTAAAAGTGGCTGCGAAGAGCGAATGAGAGCCTATGGTTTCTATCCGGATCGTTTAAACTGCGACAGATTTCCAAAACGGGAAGAAGGGGTATGCTACAGTGGTGATAACGATGGTAAGTGGAAGGCCTTTGTAATGAATCATCAGTAATAACTTATAATCATTGATGAATCATTTCCAGAATTAACAGGCCACGCCGATTTGGTATTCTTTAACCCTTTTAACAAGTCTCGAGAGTGATCAACATCAATTCTCTCCTAACAATATCAGTACATCATCAAGAGAAAAGGTTAGGAGAATTTATTAAAATCCCCAAAGGGAAAATGGTTTGATTATTATCAAATTCTCTCAACTAATTGTTAAAAGAAATGTATGGAGATCAGTTAGGAGAATTTGTGTGTGGATATTGGGGCTGAAAGTGTAAACTTCCAGGGTAATTTGGAAATGTGCCGTTAAGCCTTATTAAAAGGCCTTTCTAGTCGTTTTTATAATGGAGTGACGGTGGTTAAGAAATCGGAGTGTAGTTTGAACAGGATCATAGAATACAGCAGGACTTCGGAACCTCAGCGATAAATATAATAGCCTTAGACAAGGCTCCGCAGTGGAGGGGGTGGGGGGGTGCATAAAAGGGGTGAAACAGCTAAAAAAAAAAAGGGAGCGAAGCAAGCCGAGCGTTTCACTCCCCCCGGGGGTGGGGGGGCAGAGGGTTTTTTCTCTTTTTAACCTAATATCTTAATAGTTCAGGATCTTTATCAAACCGTGCGCAAGGTTTATTTCATCCTGGGTATTTCGAGAACGGATCTCTGGTCCCACATTGTCTTCCCCACGTATCGCAGGTAGATAAAAGGCAGATAAAGTGACAAAAGCTGAAATCAACTGCCTTATTCTTCAATGCTGGGGGTGGGGTACTCTAGCAATATTTAGTTATGGGTGAGCCGCTGAAGGGTTGAAACCCTGACCCTGTTTAGGGCAAAAAATATCCTAAAATACATACCCTGTTCAGGAAAACACCCTCAATTTTATTGCCCTGTTTAGGACGAAGGACAAAATGAACGACGTCTTGTTTTAAAGTCATTTGTTGGCAATTGCAATTGAGCAAATTCACGTTTCGTCATTAATTTGGAATACTTGGAGTGGAAACAAATTTCATCAAGCAAATCAAATCAATCGTGCAGGCAATACCCTGTTGACAAACTCACACGAAATAATATACCCTGTTTAGGACAGAGAGGTCAAAAACCATACCCTGTCCAGCGGCACATCCCCGTATCTGCATATTTCAATTTGGATGATAAGCCAATCAGAAACGAAGAAGTATTTCGAATAAATTATAACAGGGACCTTGAAATAAGGTAAAATCGATACAAAGCACTTGACACGGCTAACAAGTTAGACATGATTAGTGACCTAATCATTAATTTAAAAATTCGACATGTTTCCTCTTTTTCCATCAGAACTCAATGGATTCCTTTTAATCGCTAACTTACAAGATGTAAGTCTTGTCAAGCTTGGCTCGAATGACCATGAAAAAATCATTCCAGACCAGCGGAATGCTGTAGGAGTAGATTTCGACTTTGATACGGGTTTTATCTACTGGACTGATAAATTATCCCACAAAATTCAGCGCGCACCTGTCAATAACAGCCGTAACATCGAGATGGTGTTGGACGATGGTCTTTCTTCTCCTGAGGGGCTTGCTGTGGATTGGGTCAATAAAAAGCTGTATTGGACTGATCCGGGTACCGATGTCGTTGGAGTAGCAGATTTTGATGGTAATAGTCGAATGAATTTAATCACAACAGGGCTGACTAAACCAAGAGCCATTGTTGTTCATCCTTTAATTGGGTAAGTAAGAGTAGCGTACAGAAAAGGCGTTATTTGTTTTGTTTTTGCTTTTTGTTTTGTTGTTGTTGTTTTTTAATTTTCAAGAGAGGATAATATCCCATCATTCTTGCTTCGGGTGCGAAGCGGGCGTGGATCACGAGACACGCGCCTTCCCCCTTCGCGCGTGTCCTGCGCTCGTGTTCCCCGCCTCGCTCGTGACTCTGATAACCTAAAAAACGCGGTTCACACCTCGTCGAGCGCTCACCTCCTCCCTCTCTCTCGTGTGCTCTTCGGGTTTTCGCGGGCCTAAAATCCCTCTTTCTCTTTTCCTTGTGAATTCCTTTCACGCGGGCTGAATGCAGTAATTATTTCTACTCGCTATTGAATCCACATGGGTTTTTTTATCCTGCAGATTCATGTTCTGGTCTGACTGGGGCACCGCCGCTAAAATTGAAAAGTGCGGTATGAATGGGGACAAGTACACCCGAAAAGTCCTCATCGATCGAGACATTGTATGGCCAAACGGAATGACAATAGACTATAAAGAAGGAAGGTTGTGGTGGACAGATGCAAGGCTCGGTACGATAGAGTCTGCAGATCTAAATGGTTTTGATCGCAAAATTACTTTACGCAGCTGGTATGTTGGTACCTCTTTTGGTATAGCTGTTTTTGGCGATTCTATCTATTTGACAAAACGCAGCCGCGGTAGAGGGATAGTAAAGATGGACAAAGCCACTGGTAATAACTGGGTGAGAATGGGCCGTAAGTTACGAGCGCCTAAAGAGTTAGTGGTGTATCACAGACTGAGGCAGCCAGTACCACGAGGTGAGTTCGTCACATTAGGATAGAGTGATCCAGCTAACTCTCTCTTATTCTCGGAGACAGTTGTACCATATTATGAGTCAATGGATGAAATCCTAAAGTGTGACCAGTCGAATGAAAGCTACAGAGCAACGTTCTCATGTGGTACTGTTTATTATGCTGTACAAGGTAGTTCTAACCTAGTTTGAGTCAGTAGATGAACTCGTTAGTGTGAACATTCAAATGAAAGCTACAGAGCAGTACTTTCCTCTGCTACTGTGTATTATGCGGTACAAGGTATTTTTAATTTTTGAGCCTATAGGCAAAATCCTATGATGTGATAACCAAAGGAAACCTACTAAGCAGTACTTTCCTGTCGTACTGTTTATTATGGTCTACATGGTGGTTTTAACTTTATAGACTGCAGGAGAAATCCTATGGTGTAATCATTCAAATGTTATCTCGCGTGGTCGTACTTTAGAAGGAGGCTGACATGTTTGTATTCTCTTTATTCAGACGGAAATCCATGCCAGCCCAAAGCAGGATCCATAAGCTGTAGCCACATCTGTTTATTGGCTCCAAAAGACTCGTACCCGGATGGTTATTCCTGTCACTGTCCCCCAGGCCTCTTGTTGCTTTATGATAACAAGACATGTGATACCTCAGGTAACATTATCATTATCGAGATGTAATTCATTCCTCAAGTCACTGAAGGCTGACCCTAGTTACCCCGGTCTCTGATGAGCCCCACCCCCGAGGGCGAAGGTAGTGACGGTACGTGCTAATTTTCAAGAGAGCATGGAGGCCTGAAAATAGTGAGAGAGACCCAAAATTGCAATAAAATTGTCACACGAAGATCCATTCGATCGGAACCTCCCCGCTCAGGAAAAAGGGACAGACAGATCTCAGTTAAAACCTTATTATTTGTCTTCACCAAATAGTGTCGAATATCATCCGAAGATTTCCGAAGATCTTTCGCGTGATTCGATGTCTTCGAGACTTGACAAACATTGCTTATCACCTTCCATCGACCTTACAACGGTTGCAAATGACAATTGTTTATAAATATCCATACCGTTGCACTTATAGACCACGATCCTGTTTTGATCTGACGTTGAGGAAGTTTGCTCATATATGGGTATTTAAATGGTTCTCAAAACCAGTTAGTTCGCGGTAAATGTTTCAGTTTCCTTTTTTAATTAGTCGTTTCCTTATGAACAAAAACTCGGATGCAGTACCTGTACCATTTATCAAACTTTTTGGTAAAAATCCTAGCTAGGAAACAGCCCTTAAGATAAAGATCCTGGCTGGAAAGTTCGTTTTAACATCAACCTCTGACTGGCTTTGGGGAGCGGATATAATTTTCCCACAGAAGTTAATAATCAACCAAAAAACACTTAGTGATTGTCAAAATATTACTGGAGGCGATATCCAATCACTTTTGAAATTTTTCTCGTTGGGTACTCCTGAATTGATATACAATTTTTTGCTTCTCACAGAGAGAGAAGAAGTAAAAGGTGGTAGGAGGTCAACAACTGGAACTTCTGCTCCAACAACTCCTCCGGGCCCTACCCCCCTTGGTACTGAAGTGTGGCGGAATGTTCGTCTCCCAGACAACATTGTCCCTGTTCACTATGACGTGGTTCTTTATATTGATCTTAAGAAGCTGGTGTTCTTTGGAGATGTATCAATTCTGGTGAACGTAACAAAGCCAACTGAGACTGTACTAGTTCATTTCAATAAGATGAATATAACGTCTGCTAAAGTAGAGATGGCTTCCAGTGGAGGTGAAAAAAACGTTTTTTCGTTTATTGATCGCTTGATTAAAAATCGGTTAAAAGGGAAGCAGTACATTATGCCGCCCGGTTAGCTTAGTTGGAAGGGTGCCGGTCTGCTGAGCGGGAGGTAGAGAGTTAAAACCCGGGCCGGTTTTTTTGTTTTGTTTTGTTTTGTTTTTTGTTTTTTTCGTGAAAATGGTAAACGCTCTTGGACATTAAAAGGCTTCATTGTCAACAATGATATAGTACAATTATGTCGTTACAACAAGCAGTTGCGAACATTCTCCCGATCCCATTGTCTCCTTTCCCGATTGCAAAATGATAAAACTTTTAACTTTTGTTAACTTGTTTCCGCCACTACGATGTTCTCGCTAAAACAGTTAACTCGTAGCAAAATGACAACGGCTATCACGTTTTCCCGCCAAAATGAAGCTGACTACCGCGAAAGCACTACTTAGCCTTGAGAAAATCTCGTACTCGTAGACTCGTAGTCGTCGCGTCTTGGAATCTACTTATAGAAACGTCGAAGAAGGCGACTTCTATCAGTTAACACCCTTAGACGAAGATCTTTCTTATATTGTATATATGTATATAGCATCTTGTCCTATTAGCTTTGCTTCGTCCTAACATCCTTTCAACTTTTTTTGGCAGGGTCCCTAAGCATACAAAAACAATTCGAATTTAAGGAAAACCAGTTCTACGTTATTGTGATGAAGTCACCTTTAGAAAAAGGTCGACAATACCGTATTAAGATGAGCTTCCGGGCGAAGCTGACAGGAGACCTGGCAGGATTATTCAAAAGCACCTACTACAAAAAAGACGGCAAAGAAGTGTAAGTTTGTTTGTTGAAATTTGAAGACAATTACAATAAACACCCGCATACAACTTTTTTTGAAGTCTGACATAATATGTTCTTGTATTTTGGGGTACTTATTGGCAATTTAGGCTAATTATATTTTAGGTTCTTAATTAGGTCCCTAATTTAAATGAAGGAGATAATAGATTATTGATTACCATAAAAATAAATAAACTTGGGTTTGGTCCTTAAAAATCCTTATTTTTTCACAATTGTATTATTATAACGGTAACAAAACTGATTACCGAATTCATATACAGTTTCGTTCAGTAGGTTCTCGTTATACTTAAATTTGCAATTTCAAAGTTACACTCTTGCTTGAATTGTTTATCAGTAGTAACCCACATATAACAACCTGCTTGACCTTGCTTGACTAAACAGGCTCTTGTATTTTTGGTTTGGTATTATAGTAACAAATTTCTGCTTGGAGGTTCTTAATCCACAAGTTTTTATATGCGGGTGTTTTCTGTAAATGATATGAAACAAAGGCTGTATAATGATGGCCATTCATTTTTTCACTAGGCGAATTCGAATTTAAACGGAGGAATAAATAAAACAAAACTAACGGCCTAACGTCAAAACATAGAAAAATAAACCATTTACATTTAGTCCATGGAGAAGAATTGTTTTACATGCTGCGATTAGAGCTGTTGAATCACCCTAAACACTATGACACATGTATAAAAGTCGCGGGATTCTGATTACAGAACCATCGCAGCTAGTCAGCTGCAACCGACCGATGCACGAAGAACGTTTCCTTGTTTTGATGAACCGGCACTGAAAGCGAAGTTCTCTGTGACCCTGGCACATGATCCTAGCATGATTTCCATCTCTAACATGCCAATCAAGAAACAGGAGATGAAGGATGAGTGGCAGTTAGACCATTTTGAAGAAACTCCAATAATGCCAACCTATCTACTTGCATTTGTGGTGTGCGACTTTAAGAATAAAACCATTACAACCAAAGGTGGAACGAAGGTAAGTGAGGGACATTGTTGTCAACTATAGTGGAACCTCTCCTTTGAGACACCCTCCATTCATGGGACACAAAATTTGGTCCCGGAAAAACGTTCACATCATCTTTGTATCTGTTACCTCTATTGAACGGACACATCTATTCAGGGAAGAGGGAAACTTGTTCTGGGTCCCGAAAACCAGGTTTAACCTCCATTCAGGGGACTCCTTGGCGCTCAAACCACAAAATAGTTGATACGGTCAAGGGTTCACTAGTCACAATGGCGACAACTTCAGAACATGAACTATCTGACTTAAAATCGGTGTACTGCACTTGTGGGAATTCAACACACAACATCGCAAAGACAAGTTAATCATGATTTTTTATACATTATCTAGCTGCTTTTTTGGACTATGTTGATATCTGATCGATATAAAAATTGTATGACGTGTGAATAAACTGAACTAAACTGATTGTCCTTTAGCGTAAGAATTTAATCCCATTCTCTCGTTGACATATTAAAGAGTTTCAAAGAGCTGCATGTTGAGCTTCAGCACGTGTGCTGATCTTGGTGCTTGTGTAATTTGTGTAACCTTGGTTAATGCATTTCTAGCTTTCTCATTGGTTCACTGGATCTTGATTATCAGCTATTATACCTGCTTCTGACCTTATATAGAAAATAAGTGCGACAGCGACATCGGCAAACTCGGACAGGCGGACAGAAATCAAAATCAAAATAAATAAAAGTGGGCAAAAGAGAAGGTTGAGAATTTAACAAAATAATCATTCCATGCGCTCTTGTTGGACACGAGATGTGTTATAGCCAACTCAGAGGTTCGCGCCTCATTGGCTATTTACCGCCTCGAATCCAACGCAGGCTCATGGAATAATTGTTATATAACCTGTTTTAATTGTTTTGTTTCTGTAGATGTCGTTTTATGCTCAACCGGATTTAATAGATCAAGTGGATTATGCAATGAACAGAGGAACGAAAATGCTAGAATATATGGAGGATTATTTCGGCATCAAATATCCTCTTCCCAAAGCTGGTAAGAACGTTCTCTTGCATACAGCCGAATAAAGAGGAGAAGCGTGACGTCACGTTACCATGGTAGCAAAATTTCTGGATCACAACAATAGGACGCTTAAGCAACGACGACGGCTACCGCAACGAGAACGGTAAAAAAAGGAATAGGTTTCTATTAGCAAAACAACAACTTTGCACGTGCGTCACGCTCTTTTGTACATTTCTTAGCCGTCGTTGCACGACTACGACATGAGACTTCCTAATTTCTCAACAACACACTAAAATTTTCGTTTTCTAAACTTAGATACGGCCCTTTAGGTTACAACTCCAGAAAATTTCGCCAACACTTGACAAATAAAGTGACATTGAGTAAGATCGATGAAGTTTTAAAAAGTGCGAAATCACTTTTTAAGTGACGTTTTCTGTTTGTTGTCATCCAGAAATTTTGCTACCAAGCAACGTGACGTAACGACTTCTCCAGAGTTGAAACCACTAGACCTACGTCGGTCATATCCGTACCCAGGCCCACGCCAATTTGTCTTGCCAACATTTGTCCTTTGCAAGAAATGTATCGTGGCGTAATATTAAGGGTCGTACTATTTTTGCTAGTTTTTGCAGGCGTGTGGGAGACAGGGTAGGTCTCGAAAAAAGTCCCATTGCGTCTTTAAGGCGCTTAACTGAACCACGACGACGACGACGTAAAAAACAATTGGTTTTGCGAGCAAAACAACAGCTCTGCACGTGCATCCCGCTTTTTAGTACATTTCATGCTTAACGGCAACGAAGTTTGCAATGAATACTCCAGGCGTTTTAAAACACAACCTCAACTCATTGATCGGCCATGTCGCAAAATCGTTTAATCGTGTTTAGGGCAGCAATAAAATACCCGCCTAGGATAATATATCGTCGCAGTTATTATTATTTTTTTTTTGACTGTGGTAGACATGATTGCTATCCCTAACTTCGCACATGGTGGAATGGAGAACTGGGGATTGATAATTTACAGTGAGGCGACATTGTTTTACAAGCCTGGTGAATCATCAGAATCCACTAAGAAAAGTGTGGCTGGTGTTGTATCACACGAACTGGCTCACCAGGTTTGTTGAAATATTCAAAAGAAAGTCAACATCTTATTTTTTTATCTTTTTTTGTTGTTGTTGCAAGAGGAAAGAAGAATAAGAGCTGATAAGAAAATCGTCTGTTTTCTCTTTTTAAGGGAGGCGTTGTTTTTCGTATATTTCCGCCCTTTTTATTAAATATCTAGCCATGTTTCCTTCAATCGAAAAAAGACTCAATTGGTTTACAGCCTTTGGATCAATTTTTTTTTTGAATGTTTGGATGATTTTTCGAATGTTTTTAATGTATAAAAATAAAAATTACTGAGGGAGGGGAAAACTGGAAATATTGGATTTGGGAGTTGTTAAAAATTAAAATATGCAGTGAATAATTAGTTGACAAATACCAGATAGTTCATCACCAAAACAAGGTGCTTCTGAGCCCACTAGCGGACTAACTTGTTTCTCTGTATACCATTTCTTCCCTAATTTATTTCCTTCCAAATCAACATCATTTCCCTCCAAAAAAACACCCATGCTGCCCCCTTAAATAGTCATCATGACGTTACTTGGTTTTATTGTTGACAATAGTGGCAACCGAAAGCGTCGTAATTGTTCATAAAGCTTCATAAAGGCAGGACGCAGGACTGAGGTTTAAAAGCGAGATAGCCGAAATTACTACTCGTTTCTGATACAGTTACACGTCTTTTCACTTTGTAAAAAGGAAATTTCCAGAATTTAAATTCATTTCTACAAGGTTGTCTTCAACTCTACGTCGTCATGTGACTTGACCGCTGCCCGGAGCCATGACAAATATTACAAATTGCTTCATCACGTGATACGCAAGTATGTCTCACAGAACAACAAATTCCCTCAATAGGCATGAAAGTATTTGTATTAATAAGGCGGTTCACGACGATCCTCAACATTTTTTCAGCGGTTCATTGATGGATCAACGGTATACAACGCTTTTCCATTTTACGGACTAATCATAAAAGGCCAAATGACAAGTAAACATAGTAACCTTTTGCGTCATTTTCTTGACGCAAAAGGTTACCATGGTAAAAGCACAGCTCGTTATAAACGCCCTCAACTTTGGCTTTAAGTGTTCAAAATTCAAGATAAGTTTGGTGACCCCCATTTTAAGTTGTCAAGTTTTACTGAAAACGTCAGGATTTAACTGCTGTGGAACCAAGGGACTGGCAAAATCTGTTCGCTATATTGAGGTTCCACCGAAATCACAAAGTTTGAAAAAACTGATAGGATTCAGCGGATTCAGAGCAATTTTTCTGCCTCTGATGCGAAGATATGCCACACCTTTACAATGGCTGTGGTCGCACTACAGAGTTAAATCGCTTATAAGGCATCTTTAATCACGCTTGAATCAACTCTCAAGTGTGACCCAAAAAATACCATTTCGAGATCTCGTCGACGAGGGTGTAATGTAAGCAGCTGACAAACTTTCAACTCTTCCTCATTAATAGCCTGCGAAGCACAGACGTATTTCCGGTCGTCCCTTTTGAAGCGACGACCGGAAATACGTCTGCGCTTCGCAGACTACCTCATTAACAGCTACACTTTTGTTTTCTGCCATATAAATAGTGGTTTGGCAACCTGGTCACTATGGAATGGTGGAATGACTTGTGGCTCAATGAAGGATTTGCCCGCTTCGTAGAGTATCATGGAGTCAATGCTACAGAGCCTAATTGGAAAGTGGTAACTTACGTAACGCGTATAATTTTAGCCTTGTTCCGAGCCATTGTAAATTGGGACTGGGGGAGTGGTAAGGAAAAAGCTCTTGGACGGCATAGCGTAAGGAGAGCAAAGTGTAGCCTACGTAGCTGGCGGGATATATCGGGCGTGATTTCGTCATTCCAAGGGTGCCCTTATCGTTTTTGGGGGGGGGGGCAGCAAAGACGCGAGATTAGGGCTGGGAACGGGAATCCCTCGCGGCTTCACCGCTAGCTACACGCCGCAGCTCCGCCGCTAAAAAGCACTAACCAACTCTGATCTGATTCCGGCAGCTAAAAAAGCTCGGAGTTTTTAAAGCACCTTTTAAATCTCTATGCGAAAGTTGTTTACGTGACGTGTGACGTATATCTGTGACGTGTAAGTTACGTCATAACTGCACACGTTCGCCATCGAGACTGTTCAAGCACATAGATCGCGGGGCAACAAGTACGACAAACATTTGGATGCGAAAGTAACCATGCGACACTCACCAATACAAGAACTTAGAATTTTATAGCTGAAATAAACCCTTATGAATAAAATTTTAGCACAAAAAGAATCCAAAGAGCTGAAATTTTGATGACGGTGATTAGTGAGCTAAAGCGTTTTAACTTTTGCCTGTTTTATTCTCAGCTTGATCGATTTGTGATAGATGATCTAAAGTCTGCATTGTCACTGGACGGTTTGACGAATTCCCACCCAATCAAGGTTCCTGTGTATCATCCGGATGAAATCTGGCAAATGTTTGACTCCATCTCATACAGCAAGGTATTACTTCTGCCCGGAGCACCAAAATACATAAACCTAAGTAACTTATAGCTAATTAAAATAAATAATTCGAGCAACAGTCGGCTTGCTTAGGAGCGATTGAAGTCTCAAGGTTATAGTTTTAGCCCTTTTTTAAACAAATGCTGCCTAACTCACTTTTAGATAGAATTTTAAAGATAACTTAAGATGTACTACTGTTTATAAAGAGGTACTGAATGCAATCAAGAGCCATAATGGCTCTTGATGCAACCGAAACCATTTTTTAGTCCAGACGTAGTAAATCGATAAACCAGATAATCGATAACAACCAATAGTAATCGATATCAATCATCGATGAATATCGATTTCCTAAATCAATCGATAGAAATCGATAAAAAAAAGTTGTGACGATTATATCGATTGATTTCCGGTATCGATTTCTATCGATTAACTACGCCTGGTTTTCGTTGATAGTTGAAGGATAACAACATTAATTGCTGTTTACAGGGAGCCTCGGTCATTCGTATGCTTCAATTCTTTCTCGGGAGAGATGCCTTTTTGAAAGGTCTCAATGTAAGTTGAATTTTTTTGAGCTGGTATTTTCATCACCTTTAAACTTTCACTTTTGACTTTCTAAGTAGCCTGAGACCGGCAAACACGAAGCGAGCGAGGAGCACCAGACAGGCGCCTTCCCCGTCGCGTGTCTCGCGCTCCACGCTCGCCTCGCGCTTGCTTTCGCTCACCTGAAAAACGCCAAAAAAAAAACGCCTATCATCCAGGAGAGAATACTTACCTTTAGTAATGGGTAATTGGGTACCATCTATGTGTCAAAAATGCCTTAATTAAGTCAAAAATCAGGATATCAATAGTAAAAAGCTAAGATGACCGTAATGTAAAATATCTTTTTCAAAGACATTTTTTCTCAGTTTAACCTTCAAAGTAAAAAAAAAATTGGGGCAAGCATGCCTTTAAAAACTGGAAGCAGTACATGTCATGAACAACAGTCTGTCATAAAAAATGTTGTGAGATAAAGGTTTAAAAAAATCACCAAGTCTGAACGGTATTGACGTAAGGGTCAGTTGGCAGTTAGGCAGGGCTCAACCTTCTCCCCATCTGCTCTAAATCGCCCTGTAGACAAAAATCCAGGGTTACTCCCCTGTATAATTTATATTCATTTGTTATGTGAGGCGCCAAAGGGGTGCGTTTCCTAGTCAATTGGTCTGAAAACAGCTATAGCTTTTTAGCCGTTGAGATCTGAAATAGGGTATAGGGTTTTCACCGTAGCATAATCTTAACATTTACCGGAAGTAACATTGTGCACGTTTATGATATATCCTATATAGCGTTACCTTAACAAACATCTGTATGGAAATGCAGTCACAGATGACTTATGGAACGCCCTTGAAGAGGTAATTTACATAAAAGTAAATGTTCTCCTTCCTTGTTTTTCCTCTCTAACACGATTTTTTTTATGATAATTTAGACCAATGGAACGTACTTAGCATCCGCTCTGTTCAATTTAAGCAAAGTCGTACTTTTTTGGTTTGGTTTCACTGTTGTTATATTTCAGTTGTCTCATTAAAGTGAGGGTATAGCCGATCAGTGAGCCCTCTTGTTAGTAATAAGCCAATAGTTTCTATCTAATTTAGTTATATATTAAGAAAAACATAAGAATTCTTCGCGTGCCGTTATTTTTCTTTGAAGGAGAGTTGTGTACACCCTGGCGGCTGTAAAAGAGTCAAGCAGATGATGGACACTTGGACACTGCAAATGGGTTACCCTGTGTTAACATTTACTGAGAAGAATGGTAGTGTATATACTGTGTCACAGGAAAGGTTTCTGTATGACCGCAACGCAAATGTAACCTCGAAACACAACAGCCCATTCAAGTGAGTTCCTAACAAAAGTATTGATATTGATTTTAGCTACAAAAGTGAAGTTGAATTTTTTTCCTTTGGTACCGGGGGGGGGAGGCATTGTAACTCTCTCGAAACTCTCAAATTTGAGTAAAGATCCGTGAATTAAATGCAAAGTAACCGCAGTGTGATGAGTTGAACTGAAACCATTTTAGTCTTTACATTTTATATTTGAATCAAAGACTGTTTGTTTAAGATGATAATCATTGGTAAGATAAAATCGTGGTAGGGTAGAAGTCTGTCTCTGCGACTGGATTTTAGGGAAAAGCCAACTTAAAAAGTTATTGAAACACCAGCTCCATATAAGTGGGTTGTCTTGTTCCCTCCTTCGTATGGCGTGAATGCTACGAAAGGAAGGCAAATATATTTATAGCGGAGCCCTGTTGGTAGAAAAATCTGGTTACCCAATCCATTTTGAATTTGGTTGTCACATGACAGTACGTACGGTGGCGGAGCTGAGGGAAACAGTGAGAAACATTGAGATTCTATAGAAACAAAATTAACTGTTTTCCGAGAAACCAGTCTTTAAAGTGATTTGTTGTTATATAGCTGGAAATTCGGAAGCTGGGAATTCACTAAACCTCGCTGTAACGGCGGTCGTCTGTCAACATTCACGGGTAACAGTGCACTGTTACCCTCTGACGTCATAGATTTTGCAATGTTGCCCGCTCAGAGATTTTGGCGGGAAACAGTTTCATTGGTAGAAGTCATGTGACGTTCAAGGAACCAATGAGAGCGCGCGCTGTTGGGAAAAATTGCCAGCTATATAACAAAATGAATTATTCGTCGTTTAGAAAGAGAAATATGGGACTGTGGAGAGTCTGATAGAGCTAATCGATGCGGAAATCACTGGTATTTCACTATTTTTTTTTTATTTTAGCTACAAATGGGTTGTACCATTTACATACATCACCGAGGCCAACTCCGTGCCTATTTCCAAGCCTCTAAGTGAAACTTCAGGTAGGTTATATTACAATTTGTTGTTATGAGTATTTGTTGCTCCATTCTTATGATTATATATGATGTGGTTCAATTTTATCCTTGGTTTAATTTTTGTTTCCTTTTGTTTTGGGGTATGGTAATGTATGATAATGAGTTTCAAACAAAAGAAAATAAAAATTGAATCAAGGATAAAATTGAACCACAACATATACCCCACTAACACAATAGAGTGCCATTCTCTCTGAAATCATTTTCTAATCGAAGTTTAAGTATTATTCTGCCAAATTTCGGAATTTTTTTTACTTTCTCACGCGCGCATTGGTTGCTTTTTGTCTGTAGTTGATATCACCTGGGATGGAAGTGGCTGGCTCAAGGGAAATGTAGGTCAAACAGGATTTTACAGAATCAATTATATGCAACAGCAGTGGGAGCAGCTCAGTAACCAACTGGACACAGACCATCAGGTCGGTTTGATGAAAATGACACCAGACTTTGTCTTAATAGGACTAACCAATTTAACAGCTTTATTTTCTTATCACTTATGTTCTTTTAACGTGTTCAGAATGGTTCGGTATACAAAGTGTTTTTGTGTATATAAGTCCATCTCTTTGTACTAGTTTTGTATATATCTTTGGGGGTTTTCAGCCTTTTTTGATAACAGCAATCTTTGGCTGATCGTTTTCATTATCATTAGAATATATTCAGCAGATAATTGTAAAGGCGCTCTGTTAGCAAAGTAGGACAGTTTCTAATAATAGTAATAATAAAATCTAAATCGGGGAAAAGCAGAACGGAGGAATGGTGGAACGGTGGGAAATCACCCAAAATCCTAAAACGCGGAAAATAAATAAAAATCGATTTTATATATATTTTTATATTTAGAGTTCACTCACCAGAAAAAAAAAAGTTAAAACATTGCTTTTATGTTATGCTTCTACTTATTCTTTAAGTTGATAATGTTAAATTACCGGTAAACTAGTAAGGTAAAATGATTTTGTAAAACTGATTTGCAGGTATTCCAAGTAGCAGACCGTGCAGGGCTGATAGATGATGCCTTTAATCTAGCCAGGTATAATTAGACCAATTTTCTTATAACAAGATTCTCGAATTCGATTGGTTCTTTACTCCTTGTGTGTTGCTTAATTGGGTTGTTGCAGCACCTATATTAGCCTGCGTAGCATGGCGGTTTTATCGAACCGGGCGCAAGAGCGGCGTAGCCGCGAGAAAAATAAAATCAAGTTGCTCCCGCCCCAATCTCCTCGCGGTTTCTCTGTCCTCGCCCGCCTTTATTACCTAGCGCGCCCAACCAAAACCGCCATGCTACGCAGGCTACACCTAGATAAATCTGCCCGATTTCAAGTAGGTTTTGATCAGACAGGTCAAATCGTACAGTAACACAGGCAATGAAGGGTAAAAAGATCTTTTTGTTGCTATACTTTCATTATAGATTTAGTTTTGCCCAGAAGTGTCACTCCTCCACCCTTTTTGTATGAAAAATATATGTCAAGATTAAAGAGCAATCTGTACATTGGGCAATGATTCATTTGTGATTCATTTGTGACATTCGGGCAATGGTTTTTTCTACAATCATAGGTGATCATGTCGGGTGGACGCTCGGGCCAGAAACAGAGAAAAAAAGAATATGTCAAATTTCTGACCTTAAAAGTGGTCGTAGTCGCTTTAAATATCTGAGAAGTGGTCGCTTACGAGAGAGTTTTTAAAACAGTATTTGACTGAGAAACAAAAAGGAATTTTTACAAAGTGGTCGCTCACGAGGAGTGGTCGCAATGAGAGAGTTGACTGTATGCCACACAAAATGGCAGTGCGAACTACAAGCTCCTTAGTTCCTCAGTCAAAAACACATTTTTAATTATGATTTTATAAAAAAAATAGCTCATTTGAGAAAAAGACCTCTAGAAGTTTAGGCATTGAAGGTTTTTATAGTTGTATTTAAAGCTGTGAAGGCACCTTAGTCGAATAATCGAGCCGAAGACATGCGGGCAAAGGATCGTGCGGATGGTCACAATTGCGATTAATCGAGAATCAATTACTGTACGAAAAAGCCTGATTTTGTTACGTATCTTTAATGCTGAACGAGATCATATCCCCTCCTTGCAACCACTCCGAGCAAAACGTCGGTTTAATTTTTTTGGTACATCAACAACTGATTCCATGTAATAAATAACTGATGACTAACTGGCAGTAAAAAGGCGGCACTAAACTTAGTGTATTGTTTTTATCTAGGGCTGGGTACATCAACTATACTGTTCCGCTAAACCTTACGAAATACATGTCGAAAGAAGACGAATATGTGCCTCTGGCTACAGTCAATGATGGTATTAGCTTTATAAACAGCATTCTACCAAAGTCAAGTCCAGCTTCTAAGTATTTAGAGGTTTGTTCTACCCGAGATTTCCTGCGCGCACTCAATATGTGCACACGCCTTCGCGCCGTGCTAAAAAGATAATCAATTAGCTATCGATTTGCTGGTCCCTGTTACGTAGCATTGCTTTTAAAGTCAAGGCTAAAGGTCTAAGAGATAATTCCTGGCTTTTTAATTGGGTTGACACCAAAAACCGAAAACACGCTTGAATTTTACATAAGTTTAACCAAGGTGCTTCTATGTTACCCAGCTAACTATCATGAAAACTCTTCTTTAAATGTTTGTTAGAGATATCTTAAGCACCAAGCTATGAACCAGTACCAGAAACTTGGGTTTACCGACACTGGCAGCCATCTTGAAATGCAAGTGATTTTTATCTATTTATTTATTATTTTTCAGCCACAGTACCATTTTTATCATTCATTACCTTCTTTCGACCAGAGGATGAACTAGAGCTAGTTTATGAAACACCTGACGATGTGTTTTTCTTACAGATATAAGAGAAAAATAGTATTAAACATAATGTGCTCTGGAGGAGAACCTTCTTGCCTTAAAAACGCATCGGACTACTTTAAGAAGTGGATGGAAGATCCCGTACAGCATCCGTAAGTAAACAAGACACACCCCACACGAGTTCAAGGGGCAATATGATCATTTTGTTGAGCTGAATATCATTGTATTTATGAAGAATTTATTTGTTTAACGGTTTATACTCAACATATATCTCTCTCTCATGTTTAAAGTTTTTAGTCCAAGATCATTAAGGTTTCAATTAGCCCACATTGTTATTATACCCGGTTTTCAGTAGTATCGTCTACTTAACTTCCGCCTGCTAGCATAGGTCTCTCATGGCAAGAGAAGAGGGAGAGGAAAGAGAGGGCTCGGCCGGCCTCCGATGCGTTTTCTATCACGCATGCACTGGCGTTTCCTTAACAACTAGTAACGTTTTGGTCACGTGCGACTCAACTTATAGAGTGTTTTCACTCACGTGGCCAGCATCTATGCAAATTTATTGGAACAAAAGAAAGCGTTTGCATAAGAAAAGAGTACAACTCCCAGAGGATTTGTTTGGGACACCAACATGGCGGCCGTTTCATTGTTTTGGGACACCAATATGGCCGCCGTGACGTCATGTGAAAACACTCTATAGAACCGGTTTGCGCAATAAAAACTGTAAAAAACAGTAAATTTCGGCAACATTTGTCGCCGGCGGCTACATAAAAGAACGCGTCGGAGGCCGGCAGAGGTCTCCCTCTTTCCCATCATTTTTGTCTTGCCATGAGAGACCTCTGCAAACAGGGAATTACTTAACGGATTTGTGAAACATAATGTCGTTTCTTGAAGTGTACATGCATGCTTGTTGAATTAAAGCTGGCCTTGGGTTTTACCTGCACTAAGGTTCCTGTTGGGATTTTTAGTCCAACTTCACAGTTCTTTCATCAGACCCTCATTGGTTATTTTCTACCTTTCATCGACGACCATGTATAGGTGTGTTTTTATTCACTCTGTTTAGCAACAGGATGTGCAGTTAAAGTACCCACGGTCAACAAATTCAACTGTCTACAGTTTAGGTAAAAAGGTTGAATTATACAAGTACGTAGAGAAAGCAAGAAGTAGTAATAAAGTGTTGAAGCAGTAGTTGCTGAGCTGAACGTAATTAACAACGACAAGAGTAAAGAAACTAGACAGAGTCCCTTTGTATCTCTCGCTGACTGAGTTAACCCCTTTTCATCTTTGCCGAAGAACCATAGGGGCTTTTAATCAAACCATAGGGGCTGTCCACACTGGGTGCCCGGCAGGAACCAGTGCCTGGGTACTGGGAGTTGTGTTCACACCACTGCCTTAGAACTAACAAAAACGGTGAACACACAGGGATCCGTGAACTCGGGCACCGGCACTGTGCCCTAATTCTAGCGTAGCCGTTTGAAAAAAGGGTGTGTTCACATTAGTACCCAGTTAGTACCATACTCAGGCACCAAGAATGAACGCTGCCATAGATCATCCAGTCTTATTACGTGTGTAAACACTGAGCCTCTTTACGGACACGCTCTACGCATGTCTAAACTAAAGTGATTTTTTTCCTGTACATTCCATACTCTCAACGTTCCAGCTAATTTTCGTTCGTTAGTCTACTTTAATGGAATAAAGAATGGTGGAGTTAGGGAGTGGAATTTTGCCTTTGAGCAATTCCAAAAGACAGCAGATGCAAGTGAAAGAAGCAAGATTTTGTATGGTTTGTCGGGCGCCAGTGAACCTTGGATCTTAAACAGGTTCGGATTTAAATGGTTATCAGAGGTTAACTGTTATTTGCTTTATCACTGCAACGGAAGCAACGAGCCACCCATTAAACAAAGAATAATAGAACAGAGAGGGAAACGCACAGTCTAGTCCTTGGGATATGTGACCAACATCAATTTTCTCCAAACAAAATCAGCACATAATCAAGAGAAAAGGTTATGAGAACTGGTGAAATGATCACAAAAGGCGAAATGCTTTGATCTTTTATCAAATTCCCCTAACTAATTCTTTAAGACAATGTATAGAGAACGGTCTGGAGAATTTGTGTGTGGATATTTGGGGCTTAAATGGTTCAACAATACCTTAATGTTAGCGAAAAGTTAGTATACTTTTCGTGTACATTGTTCTAATTGATAAGAAGTATTCTTTGGAAAAGAAGAGATTGTAGTTTTGAATAAACCTCAAAAATTTCTAGCAGTTTTTCAAAAGCACATGAAAACTTTTTTTGCCACTGTCGTGGCCAAATTCTTCAATTTGCAAGCCCTTTGGTTTCCAGTGTATCTTTGTAAAGTTAATTGATTTGTATAATAGATAGTTTATCATCTCTGATCAGCTATCCCTGAGGCAAATATGTCATCTTGTCTTAAAAAGTAAGTTCAATTTATTCTTTTGAAGGTATCTTCAATATTCCATTGATCCTACCAAGATGAATCTGCAGGAAACTACGACAGTTATAAAGTATGTGGCAGACCATAACCCTCTAGGGCGAGGGTTAGCGTGGCAGTTTGTTAAACTTAACTGGGCCTATCTGATGTATAAGTAAGTATGTATTACTGTAATATAGACACTGCTTTGACCCAACTCTTACATCGTTTTAAAACATAAACGCTACATCTCCAAACGTCTCATGGCAAAAATTTCTAGTAAAACCTTCATATATCTAAACATTTGAAGTAAAGCTTTTATCCATTTCCGGTTTTGTTTCTAGTAAGGTAATGTCATATATATCCATTTAGCCTCCGGAAGCTTATATTTTAGTTTTCGTATTGAGATGTGTGAGCGACTAAGTTGAAACCACTACGAGAAATTTCAGAGCTCAAGCACCTTTTAACCCTTTAACCTTCTAAAAGTTCAGCATCAAATTTCTCCTTGTAATATCAATGCTTTGTAAAACAGAGTGGTCATGAGAATTGCGGTCATGATCACACGACGGATGTATTTGCTTGATATTTTATCAATTTCTCCCCACTACTTCTGCAGGAAATGAATGGGGGCAACAAATGAGAATTCAAATTTTGATCATGGGGTTTAAAACGGCTATGTTAAGCTATTTTCACCTAAAAACATCAATATCCTCGTGACATGGCGCCTTTTAACAGATTATTATTAATCCTTAGATTTGGTGGAAGATTTTTCACTATCCGATCTATAATTCTCAGCGTGACAGGCGGATTTGCCAGTGAATACGAACTTCAGGATGTAAGTTAACAAGCATTTTTACCTTTTAAACTGTTAATTGTTACAGTTGAACCTCGGTTAGGCGGACCAAAGGGAAGAGACAAGTGGCCACTCAGTAGAGGTTTTGTTTTTGCCATTTACTGACAGTTTTGTTGGCTGGGTTCTTGTGACTGGCCGAGGTTCCGCTGCATCTTTAAATTCATCTTTAGAATTCTTAAGGACTTAGTTCAGGGAATGATGCCTTGATGGCTTTGTGAAGTGTATAGATGTACAATATGTCACTGCTTATGTCCTCATTAACTTCTTTAGTATTTTACTCCAATAAAAGGTGTCTTTTTGACTTGAATAACGTGACCCGGTTAATACGGACACCCCGTTAATACGAATCCTTTCCATGGCCCCTTCAAAGTCCGTATTAACGGGTTTTGACTGTAATAAATCAATCGAATCAATACCGTCAGTTGTGCTAATAATGATGACTAAGTGACCGGGGGGGGGGTACTGCCATATATGGGCTATATAGGTATGTGCCGCTGTGAAGGGTATGGTTTTCAAGCAGTTTACTCTAGGATAGGGTATATAAATCAGAGCGTTTGGGTCTAGAGTAGGGTATCATTTTTCAGGAAACTGATCAGTTGGTTGAAGATTTTATCTAGACTAGGTACACAGCTACTCTAGGATAGGGGAATTTGGGGAGTTTACTCTAGTATAGGGTAGCAAAATTCAGCTGAACTAGCTCTGGTAAAGGTTAAGGGTTCCAGGCTCCCAGCGGCACATCCCCACCAATGGCCGGTGTTGAGACGAATTTTTCATGCACTCAATCTATAATTCCTTTCTTCTTTCTAGCTAAAAAGCTTTAAGGAATTAAAACGCGCCGGTGATGCCGGAACACAAGCACAACAACAGGCAGAAGAGAAAGTGTTGGCAAACATTCAATGGCGTAAGGAAAATGAGCAGGATATTGCGAAGTGGTTGAAGGATTTCCTTGTATCCAAGAACATACCGCTGAATTAACCTTTCTTTTTTAGAGACTAAAGCCCATTCAGACGCCGTATTTCACTTGAACCGAGTCGTATTCATTACCGGCGTCTAAAACAATTCGTTACGGCTAATTGAATCTGGCGGACTGGCACAGCTGTTCTTCACGCCTGGCCCAACCGGGAATAGGGAGCTTAAGTTTTTCAACGCCATCATTGGGAAGTGGTTTGGTTGAAACCCAAAGAGAAAAAAGAAACTCAGAATACAAGTTTGGCGTCAAGGCATATAAAAGGACCCTCACTTCCGGTTGACGTGCGTCGCTCAAAAACGTCTTTGCTTAAGGTCCCTAATGTGGACCGGCGTTGATTCCCGTCCTTATAAGAGGCTAATGGGGATGTGCCGCTGGATGGGGGTCGCATTTTCACGACTGGTTTGACTATAATGGGGTCGCATTTTCAATAGAGTTACTACAGTGGGGTTGCACATTTTCGGAGTTTTTGGGTTTAGACAGTTCTCCATATTTACGGTTAGCAAACGTACCAGAATGTTGTCCTGCAGATGAAAAGTAAAGTGTTCTCCATTCAATCCAAAAAATGGGTCAATTCATAAAAATAGAAACTGACTAAGTTGGAATTGCGAAAATTACATATTTGCCCAAAAGTGACTATGAGGAGGTCTATAATTGGCTACTATAATGGGATAGGGGGACTATGAGAGGCCAGCGGCACACACCCAGCAAAAGTCCGTTATGCTATTATTTGTTTATACTACTACCCACAAAAGGTTTGTAATTTTCACATGTAGGTATTTCAAATTAAGCTGAAATACCACTGCTCTAAGCCAATCAAATTGCAGAAATTTCTCATTTAGTTGTATAAATGTGGGCATGGAATTGAGAGGAAGCACAAGCAAATTTATCTACCTTGACACGAATCTTCCTGCAATAAACTTGTTTAAGTTCTTAAAGTAAGGTGGCGGAAACCCGTCTCTCCTATTTTTACTCTTTGTGTGACAGTGTTGCTGACAGACATTCGTCCATTGTGTAGTAAAACAGGGCATGCAGCAAACTCGTTCCCAGGGTTCTCTCTCTCTCTGCAAGAGGGAGAAGAACTCTGGGAACAAGATTGGCCTGCGGGACACAGCTTCACGAACGATCCATTGTAGCACTGTAGGCTTTTCTTAACTGCCTCTAATTCGATCACTTGTCGACATTCTAGTCCTATCCTGGCAGTATATATGATACTTTTATTTCCTGTCTCAAACTTAAGAAGGTTGCCACGAGCCTGATATATATTTCAGGGCTAAAGCATGCCACGAAGGCCATATCATTGAGTTTAAAAGTTATAATTTTAGCTTCACAGTAAGCAAGACGTCCAGAAAAAAAAGGTGGGATGTCCTAACTGAAGGGGAGGAGAGGTGATAAATCAACAAGATTACTGAGGGCTCGGAACATGGAGCAGAGAAGAGACAATCTTCGTATTTCCTGTCCTGTTAGAACAAGCCAATGAGAGCAGAGCAGATTTGATCAGAAATATAAACCGCGCGCCACGCAAAGGTGAAACAATTTGAAACATAAGAGTCAGAATGTTTAACATTGGAGAAATTGGCAACAAGCCCTCTCCTTCTCCGAAAACAACCAAAGGAAACTGAATTGTACAACTTCATAAATATAATTTTAACAAATCTTGACTTTATATCAGGTTGTGCTGTCACGCTCTCCACCAACTCCTCCCTCCTCCTCCCCCCCGCCATTTATTGTTTATTGTTTGCCAGAAAAACGTTTCCCTATAAACATAGACCAATCAACACAGAGCAGAAGTCGGGTCATACCCCCGGGCGGCACACATCTGTGACGCAAAGATTTCTTCATTGCGTTTCTCATTTCATCAACGTTCCGCACTTAGAGATGATCGTTGAGCATAGTATCATCGGTCCAAGGAAAAAAAACATGGCAAGTTTTCAAGAATGGATGTAACAATTTGAAAAAGGGGCAGTTTAAAGGTGTAATGTGACTACGACGCAGTTACATATCTAGGTGAATTACTCACTAAGAAGATAGTTTCTTTTGACCACGACATCTAATTAATCCATGTGGAAGAAAACGGTTTGTACTTAAAAAAGTAAATGAAGAAAAAATCAAAACTGGACTCAATCCGTATGGCATTAAGAACAGAGAAGCCTCTCTACCTCTCAATGCAAGAGGACTCTTGAACCCTGCGGTCTTAACATCTGCGTAGAATTCAAGTTTTATTATTTGTCAGTAGGTAGTTTCCTTTCCGTATCCTTTATGTATTCATTTACTTCATAACGAATCTAATGCGTTGAATTATTATTGTTCTAGCTGCCCATTTTTAAGGGGCTAGATAAGGGTTATTTGATTTTGGAAAGGACTTTTTGCAAGCTTATTACTAAATTGAAATTCCTTATTGTTTGCCATGAAATAACTCGGGATTTTTTTTTACCTTCTAAGTCTGAGTTGCAAGATTTTTTGGCGAAAATGATCACCCGCTTTTGGTGCCCCGCCCTCAAGAGTCAAATCGCAGCCGGCCCTCATGTTTCGTTTAATAGTCTGAAGTATTTCTGTTATTGATTAAGGAAAAGATTTTGTTCCTGTCTACTGGAATTCAAGCCAAAGTAGTGTTTTTACAATGACGTTTGCAAATGCGTGCAGACGTAAAAGGAGTAGTAAACGCAAGTAGTCAACGCGTAATTCCCTGCTGCCTGCCTGCTGCCCGAAAGATATCAGGATATCAATACGCACCGCCGAAAGGTCAACCCAGCAACCCTTAACGACTTGAATAAACTAGCACAACAGTTAACTGATCCTTGAAACTGTATTACGGTTCGAAAACAAGGCAATTTTGCTTTTTTAGCTGATCAAGGTAACCAATCAAATCTCTTCCGCTTGAAGTTGATGATATTTTGATTGTCATTCCTTCAGCTTAACGTCTGGTATATAAATAGGACATTTCATCCGGCTGGGGTTATTTCATGACATGTTATAAAAAAGAGGTCACTTCTGCAAAGTGCTGGTCTTTCGAGCAACAAATGCAGATGTGATGGAATCTTTTCCCCCTCGGAGATATGTTCCGTCACCTCGTTACGTGGCAGTTCTCGGGCTGTTTTTGCTACTGCCCTGTCTGGGCCAACCAACATGCGAACCACTGAAGATTTCTTTATGCCAGCGATTTTACAGAACCACGATATTTCCAAACACTCTGAATCATACAAACCAAGAAACTGCTGCGGTTGAGTTTCAACAATTCGCTCCTTTGATTAATTTGCGTTGTTCGCGGGATATCGCCTTGTTCCTTTGTTCCGTTTACTTTCCTGTCTGCCCCAGCGTTTTGAAGACAGCAATTCCACCACCATGTCGTTCGCTTTGTGACAGTGCAAGAAGTGGCTGCGAAGAGCAAATGAGAGCCTTTGGTTTTGACTGGCCTGAAGCTTTAAACTGCGACAGATTTCAGAAACGGGAAGAAGGGATATGCTACAGAGGTGATAACGATGGTAAGTCGAAAACTAGCCTGCGTAGCAAGCGTTTCCAACCGAGTTATTGCGCGAAAGTTAGAGCGGAGGCAAAAAAAAAGGTTGAAGGGGGAGGGGGAGGGGAGAAGAGGAAACGCTTGCCCGCAAACCCCACGATTCTGGAAAACGCCCCTTGATATTTCACGGTTCGGTTCATTTGTAAATTGACAGCTCGTCAAAATAGAAACATGACGAACAGATTACCCCTGGATTAACAGATTTGTAAAATTACTTTGTTCTCTAATAGAAGACGTTGCTGGCGATTGCAAGAACTGTAATAAAAAAGATTTACGATAAAAGAAAGTTAAAACTGTGAGCGATTGCTGCAGAATTTCTTGTTTTTTATTGTGTGGCTTTATCTCGTCTGAAACCTTGTCGACACGTCAAAAATGATTTGTCCGGAACAATTCATTCCGCCGGGTATAAGTTTTGCAGAGCGGCTGCTCTTCAGCCTTTGTCGAAACGTTCTCTACAATAGATGCCAATAAATTTCCAATAAACAAAAAGAATCTTTTCATTTCAAAAAGCTGACAAATCGCTTGTCCATGGCGGCTTTAGCTAGTGTCGAGTACCCATGTTCTGATTTATGTTGATGTTATCTCCAACAAACAGTCCATTTTTTCCAGTCAGATCTGCACGACGTCATTCTCAATAAATTGGCTTTCCCTAGTCTCCACTGCTCGATCTCCAATTATACTTTGAAGACTCTGATCTCATAAACCTTCGCACAAACACGATTCAAATAAATATCAGTACAAAGCATTTGTAATCTGCGACCACAAATCAGATGAGACCAGTTCTGTGACGCACGAAAACAAAGCATACCTGGTTTGATTGATGTTTCCAATGATAAGTAATCAACACTACACGCACCGCGCCAATGAGAAGCTGCGTTCGTGGGCGAACGCAGTTTTCCAAAATCGTGGGGTTTGCGGGCAAGCGGTTCCTTCATTCCCCTCCCCCTCCCCCGTCATTCATTTTTTTTTGCTCTTGTCCCAGTTTTCTAGACGAACCTCGCCAGGAAACGCTTGCTACGCATTCCCCTCCCCCTCCCCCGTCATTCATTTTTTTTTGCTCTTGTCCCAGTTTTCTAGACGAACCTCGCCAGGAAACGCTTGCTACGCAGGCTAGTCGAAAACCTTCGTGAAGAAGAATTTTGTGTAACTCTGAATTGATAAATCAATACCTGAATAAACAGGCCACACCGATTTGATATACAGTATCCCCCGGGGATAGTCCCTTATATAAGCCATTTGTATGTGCCGCCCCAAAGGGTTGGGTTTTTGCGCCGTTTTGGCCCGGGGGGTACTGCCATATATGGGCTATATAGGTATTTGCCGCTGTGAAGGGTATGGTTTTCAAGCAGTTTACTCTAGGATAGGGTATATAAATCAGAGCGTTTGGGTCTAGAATAGGGTATCATTTTTTAGGAAACTGATCAGTTGGTTGAAGATTTTATCTAGACTAAGGATTTGTTTTGGCTAGACTGTGCTAGTAACCTCAGTAGTTTCTGGAAAACAGCTACTCTAGGATAGGGGGGATTTGGGGAGTTTACTACTCTAGCATAGGGTAGCAAAATTCAGCTGAACTAGCTCTGGTATAGGTTAAGGGTTCCAGGGTCCCAGGGTCCCAGGGTCCCAGGGTCCCAGCGGCACATCCCCACCCAGAAATTCCTAAAGTACCCCTCCCCTGGGCGTTTTGGTCTCAAAACGGGTATAGACTTTGCCCATTTGGGGCTGGAATCGGGTACGGTTCTCGAGCGAACTCGAATGAAGTAGAAAGAAAGAGAAATATGAGAATTCGAAACGGATTTTAAGACATCTTTTTTGGTCTTGTCCTAATCTAAGTACTGACGAAATAATTTCTCAGAGGCCAGGTTTGAAAACGAGGACGAAAATCACATTTTTTGGTTTGAGATAGGGTCATGAATTGGAGAACCGGGCGGCACACTCCCACCAAGAATTCTCAGGAAAGCACTTGGCGCAATTAACAAGTTAGTTAATTCTGAAAAAAAAATTCGACATGTTTTCTCTTTTTCCATCAGAACTCAATGGATTCCTTTTAATCGCTAACTTACGAGATGTAAGTCGTATCAAGCTTGGCTCGACTGACCACGAAACAATTATTCCAAACCAGCGGAGTGTTGTAGGAATAGATTACGACTTTGATACAGGTTTTATCTACTGGACTGATAAATTCGCCCACAAAATTCAGCGCGCATCCGTTAGTAACAGCCGTAACGTGAAGGTGGTGTTAGACGATGGTCTTTCTTCTCCTGAGGGGCTTGCTGTGGATTGGGTCAATAAAAAGCTGTATTGGACTGATCCGGGTACCGATGTCATTGGAGTAGCAGATTTTAATGGTAATAGTCGAATGAATTTAATCACAACAGGACTGAGTAAGCCAAGAGCCATAGCTGTTCATCCTTTAATTGGGTAAGCAAGAGTATCAGTAGGTTAAAGACAACCTCGATCCCATGCTCCTCTTATTTTCGTCGCTACGTGAGAGCGCGTAGGAGAGAGTCCTGGGAACGAGGTTGGCTTACAGAATAGGGTTTTTTTTCCAAGAGAGGATAATATTCCTGCATTTTCCCTTGGCGCAAGTAAAAACACGCGTGAATCGCGAGACACGAGCTTTTCACCTTCTTGCGTGTCTCGGTGTCCACGCATGTCTCTGAAAACTCTTATACAGGGCAGCGGTTCAGACTTTGTCGAGCGCGCACCTCCTCGCTCTCTCGCACGTTTTTTTTCGCTCCTTCGCGCTCCTGAAATTCTTTTTCTTTTTCCCTTTTGAACGTTCTCCACACAGGTTGAGTGCCATAGTTATAATTTTCAACTCATGCACTTTGAATTCACATCCGTTTTTGCCCTGCAGATTCATGTACTGGTCTGACTGGGGCACCGCGGCGAAAATTGAAAAGTGCGGCATGAATGGGGACAAGTCCACTCGAAAAGTCCTCATCGATCGAGACATCGTATGGCCAAACGGAATGACTATAGACTATAAAGAAGGAAGGTTGTGGTGGACAGATGCAAGGCTCGGTACCGTAGAATCTACAGATCTAAATGGCTTTGATCGCAAAATTACTATACGTAGCTGGTTCGTCCGTTCCTCTTATGGTATAACTGTTTTTGGCGACTCTATCTATCTGGGAAAACGCAACCGCGGTAGAGGAGTGATAAGAATGGACAAAGCCACTGGCAATAACTGGGTAAGGATGGGTCGCAAGTTACGAGCGCCAAAAGAGATAGCCGTGTATCACAGACTGAGGCAGCCAGTACCACAAGGTGAGATTATCACTATGAGCAAAGATAGCCCGGTTTGCTGGGCTGTCCCACTTTACCAGGGTGGCTCGGCTAATGCCTTACGTCCTCTTGAAATAGTCGTTGTATCTATATGAGAAGGAGGCTGGTCCGCTTATAACAGGATCTCGGGAAACCGGCCAGTCCTTCTTCTTAAATACAGCTGTTTCGAGAAAGGTTGTCGGAAAAAGTGCACGCGACAATTGCGAAAGACATTGTGGGTGGTTTTGAGTTCTCTGTTCTTCAAAGAAATTTGAAAGAATTGGCACGAAAGGCCATGAAAATGTTTTTTCGAGTGCTAAAGGAAAGCAACAAAAGTAGGTTCGACAGCTACAGTCGTCAGGAACAGTGTATTGATCATATCCCATATTACCTTTCGGGATTGTCGCGTGCACATTTTTTCCGACAACCTTTCTCGAAATAGCTGTAAACACATCGACACTTTCAAGAAGAAACAACGCAGGGCCAAGCCAGCCCAGTAAAGCGGGGCAGCCCGGCTAACCGGTCTGTCGTTTCCCATATAAACAGGTAACCTCTTATTCCCAATGTCATTTGAAGCACATTTCGAATCTGTCGATGAAATCCTATAGTGTGACTTTTTTAATAGAAGCTACGTAGTAATACTTTCCTGTGTTACTGTTTATTACACTGTGCAAGCAGGTTCTAACTTTAGAGTCTATGGATGAAATCCTTAAGTGTGATCATTTAAATGAAACCTACTGAGCTTGTGTTTTTTTGTGTTTTTTTGCCCTGAGAGGTTTTTCTCTGGGTACTCCGGCCTTCCCCTCTCCTCAAAAACCAACATTTCCAAATTTCAATTCGATCAGAATTCAGGTAGACGAAGAACTGCTTTGTGGAAGTACTTCCTCTAAATAGTTATTTATTTATTAATTTTATCCTATCCTATCCTGTCCTGTCCTGTCCTGTCCTGTCCTGTCCTGTCTGTCCTGTCCTGTCCTGTCCTGTCCTGTCCTATCCTGTCCTGTCCTGTCCTGTCCTGTCCTGTCCTGTCTTATCTTATCTTATCTTATCTTATCTTATCTTATCTTATCTTATCTTATCTTATCTTATCTTATCTTATCTTATCTTATCTTATCTTATTTTATTACTTATTTATTTATTTATTTATTTATTTATTTTACCTAGGCGGAAATCCATGCCAGCCCAAAGCAGGATCCACAAGCTGTAGCCACATCTGTTTATTGGCTCCAAAAGACTCGTACCCGGATGGTTATTCCTGTCACTGTCCGCCAGGCCTCTTTTTGCTCTATGATAACAAGACATGTGATACCTCAGGTAACATTATCATTATCGAGATGTAATTCATTCCTCAAGTCACCGAAAAGCGCGCATTCTCGGCGAGTGAGTACTGTGCGTGCCAGTTTCTTGGGGTTATGTCTAGGCATGTGTCCTGGACGTAGTGAGGCCTAAAAGTAGTGCAAGAGACACGAAATTGCTATAGGCCATTTCTGAGTTCCAAAAACCCTCACTTTTAAAACGAGGCTAAGTGCAAAACCTTTTTTGTGAAAATGAGTTTACTTGCATGCGACTGAAAATTATTTTCATATCAGTTTCGGAGGCTGTTATACACCTACGCCCTCAAACTATCTGGATAATTTCTCACACCATGCGAAAGCCGAATCGAGTTATTGTTAATTCCATCGAATCGATGGTACATTACCTAGACATCTTCCAAATACGGTATGCGCCAGCTGGTTATGAAGAATTATATGAAACGGCAAACTGATCCTTACGGCAAGGCGATCAACTATGTTAACTTTAAAGTTGCATAGTTGCATAAAGTTGCATCCCGGCGGACAAAAAATCCATACATTCACTCTTGTTTCGACCTCTTTACAACGGCCACTTTCTTCTGTCTCCAAGGTGGCCGTTGTGGAGAGGTTCAACTGTACACGAACCTTTCAAGGTTAGTGACATTGTTAGTGCGGGTGATGGAAAGTTCAGAACGACATCTCTCGGTAGAAATAGAAGAGAGTCCATTAAACAAGCGAGGCTTAAGTTAAACCTTTTCACATTTTCAGGAGAAGTGATTGCTTCATGTTAGTGCACTATCAGTATGAACTCCCTCATAAAGTTCTGTTTCGCAAAGATGACGATCATTATGCGTTTCTGGGAAACTGCCCACCTACCCCTCCCCAAGCCAACATTAACACTTCACTTAGGGCAAAACTTTGGCTTAGGGGAGGGTTAGGTGGGTAGTTTCTCAGAAGCGTATAGCTCTAAGACTCCATGGGTTTAGTTGCCGGGAAAATGGGAAGTGTTGCTTTGACTAGGCATTACTCTCTACCTAAGAGAGAAGTGCCCGCTTCTAGAGAGTTGACTAAACTCATAAATACTTTATTTTATTTGTTAACCAATTTGTATCTGATGAAGAATCTACCGAAGAAACCACCACAGTGGGAACTACTGAGGGAATCACGACAACAAAACCCACAGAAGTGACAACAGCAACAACGGAATCTGTTAGGACATCAAGTAAGTCTTAAACTGTACAAAGAATAGTCAATTGTATTAGCAAACGTCAAGTCACAAACCAAAATTTGTAATACTTACATTTGTACCTGCCCAAAGTTAAAAGGACAGGTACGTGTTTCTCCATTCTAGATCTAATATCTCTCTGTTTTATGGTCAACTTTAACGGTGAATAAAAAGGTTGAGCCTTCCTATAGACCTTTGCGTTTTGAAACTTCGCCATGATCCTTTCTGTTCCACGCAAAAAATATTCCATGACCCCCTTAACACCGTGACTACCGCCGAAAATATCAAAAAGTACCTTGAAACAAGTCAGAAAATTAAATAAAATGGGTCAACCTTTGCGTTCGGTCAACCCAAGGTTCTGAGATTCGAAAGCCATCAAAAGATGAACTGTGTGTTGCCCCTGTAAGGTAATCCAAGACAAACGTATTTTCTGGATTCTAAGCTGTGGATTCCGGAATCTTTGTCAGTGGAACTTGGATTTCGAATTCCAAACTTTAGTGGGATTATGGTCTCCTAGGGCTGAATTCCGGATTCCAAAGTCCAGGAAACGGGATTCCACAAGCAAAAATTTCCCGTATAATACCTTAGTTTGGACGATGCGGCACGGTACTAGAAAACACGCTAGACGTCATTTTCTTTCCTCTGATTCCCGCTAAAAATGCCTTACCGTGCCAATCCTGACTTAACTAAAATTAATAAATATAAATTTATTTTCCACAGTTCCAAGGCTTTCGTACAGCCGCAAACATTCTATCAGTGTTTTAAACCTTCAAACAAAGAACTAAAGCTCTGTCGTTGAAGGTCTTCGGGAAGCATTTGCAATAGATTACCATTACTCTAAAGGACTAGTATTTTGGACTGATTCTGACTTGAACAAGATCTAACGAAGCTAAACGAATTCAGAGGGATGACCCTTTACTGTCTTTTCTTGTTCCAACTGATTACTTTCCCGTTATTAGCTCCCGTGCCATGCACAACGGAAACGCAGTTTCAGTGCAAACGAAGTAAAATATGTATTTCACGCTCCTGGGTTTGCGATTCTGATGACGATTGTGGAGATGGATCGGACGAGCAGCACTGCACCGCTCCAGCTTGTAACGAGTTTCAATGCAATGAAACAGGAACATGTATCCCAAGCAACTGGGTCTGTGATGGCCACAGTGACTGTACAGACATCTCGGACGAACAAGGCTGTAGAGACCCTGGAACCTGTGACAGCAGCCAGTTTCAATGCAAGGCCATTGGAAACTGTATTCCGCGTCACTGGGTCTGTGATGGTGATGACGACTGTAGCGATAATTCAGACGAGTCTGACTGCTCAGCCCATATCCAGTGTGGACGCCACGAGTTTAGATGCAAATCCAGTGTGGCTCCGACGTGTATATCTAGTAACTGGACTTGTAATGGCGTGGATGATTGTAGTGATGGGTCGGACGAGCTTAACTGTACCGCTCGGGAATGTCCGATAGGCCAGTTCAAATGTCGCCAGTCAAGGTATGTTTAAGTGCTAAAAAAGTAATAGTTACCTTGGGGAGCAAGGGTGACGCAGTTGTGAGAGCGCTCGCCTTCCACCAATGTGGCCCGGGTTCAACTCCCGGCGTCGACGCAATATGTGGGTTGAGTTTGTTGTTGGTTCTCTCCCTTGCTCCGAGAGGTTTTTCTCAGGGTACTCCGGTTTTCCTCTCTCCTCAAAAACCAACACTTCCAAATTTCAATTCGATCTGGAACGCAAGGACACGCTTAAACGAGTTCATATGAACTCCCTATGTGCTTCGTGGGTAAACAAGCAAAAAAAGCAAACAAGCAAGTTACGAATTTTCGTTCATTTTCAAAAGATTGGAAGTCCTAATTTTTTGAAAGCAGGAACGGTTTCTTTCCATCTCTGTTGGACCGATTTTCGACTAATTTTTCAGCCTGCAAGTAAAGATAGATTTCAGTAGTATAGTAGGGAAAGCCTACCCCGTTTTGCGGTAAGATGTTATTAACTTGCAATGGAATACTTTATCTCGGGAATAAAATGCCCCGTAATCTCATTAAGAAAAGGTCATGTGCTTGTTTTAGTTGGTTTAACCAGTTTGACAGGTTTTCTACTTACCGTTAGGACAAATGTCTTCTGGTTTTTTGTTGGTTAGCGTCAACATCAAACGTTGATGGCATACACGGCTCTGTTCCTCCACAGATCATCTGGGAAATGAATCGAAACCTTTGTTATTCCAACTTTCTTTTTTTACTTTTTTAGACCACTTTTTTTTTTCCTGTACGGGTGCAAATGACACTCAACAAAACTATCCCCTTTGCTCCAATAAATGTCCCTTTTTATGCTAGTGCTTACCTATTATCTTCCCATATTTGGACCCGCCTTGGGTGCCTAGTTAATTCATTCCGTAAAGTTACACCGAATAATGTAGCGTTGGCGTTCCATATTATTAGGAGGTGTATTCTCGACATATGGCGATGTGACGGCGAGTCCGATTGTGCAGACGACTCGGATGAAGTCGCTTGTTCCACCAGTAAGTACTTTACGCCTGTCAAAGCCTTTAACCTAAATTCTTTAGGGACTTTATGGGACTATTCGAGGAAGAAACTTCTCCCTCGCGCGTTCTTTACTCGCTCGCACGTAACATACTCACCCTCATGACAATTTCGAGCGACTGCAATCCGTTTGAAGCGTATAACACTCAGGCTTCTTACAAATTCATCGTTTTCTTTGCCTGGTCCCTGTGCGGTGTGTTCCCTTCCTCTTGGTCAATGCCTGACCAAGAGCCTTAAAACGCATAGGCCGCGATGAATAATAAGGCCTAGCGACGGAGCAACGTTTGTCTCTCAAACCCGGCACTGGCTTCGAACGTTATCGAATATTTTTTGTGAGTTCGATTTATTTCAATGGCCGATCCGCGAACTTCATCGAACTCTTTCGTTCGAAGGAGTTCGAATGAGTTCGAAAACCGAACGCTCGACGTAATAAGCAGGGATAAATATATTTCTGTACCATTGTTCAACAACTAAGAAGAAGAACCGAGTTATGTGGTCAAAGGTGGATTTTTAATTTAAAGCTCGTAGTTAACAAAAAAGGCAAAAGCTATTGAAAATACACTATCCTATTCCCTACTATCAGAGGTCTCTTCCTGGTATGTTTTTAGCGAGTGTGTAGGTGTTCACGTCGATGACATTTGTCCATAGTTTGGTTTGGAATTACGCGAATGCGGGCGACGCGAATGACTTCGTACATGCTAATAACCATGAGGGGCCCATTTCTCGAAAGGTCAGTAGCTTTTCCTGCGCGGAAAGCTGTTTCATGTTTACCGTCTTTGCATTCAGATCAAAGTTTCAAAAATTTTTAAAATGATACAATGAAACTATCAATTAACGAAGCAAAACTGACTAGTTTGCAAGCTAGGAAACTGTGCTACTATTCAACAGGTTTTGAACTTAAATTTTGTGTACCGGACCTTTCGAGAAACGATTCCCAGGTCGGAAAGAAATCGCTGCTAGTAGGTCTAGTAGGGTATATCCTATCTCCATCAGGAGTAACATCTGTTACTCTTTTGCATTTTTCACTTTGTTTTATTACACCACAAATATAGAGTTTGTCTCTCTCCATACAGGTTAACAAATGGCCGGTGCTATTGATCAAGAACTACAAATTGAGAACTGATTAAAGCTGCGTTCAAAGGTGGCCCAAGAGCTAAAAGGTCTTAACGAAGTCACCATCAATTTTAGGCTTACTCTTTTTCTTTAAGAATCATTTAGAGTGTTAACTTTGCACTCAATAAAGTGTAGCTTCAAAATTTTTGTATTTTTTACTGGTTTAACGGTTGACTTGAGCACGGAATTGCAAACTTTCTTCTTTTGTCCTCAGAGTTCTTTAGAATAATTTATGTAAAGCCTTCAAAAAAGATGAAAACTGGAACCAGTTACCTTAATCTAAAAAGTTGAAAACTGGTACAAGCTACCTAATAAAAAATGTTATTTCATTTTTCACTAAACAAACATTACTTTAGATACATGAAGAGTATGTCATTAAAATTTTTATTGGATGAAGCTTAACGGATATTGCGATTGTAGAATTGTTATAATAATCTTCACTTCACCGTGTCAAAAACATGTCGTTATATGACTTATATGGAAAACTAACTCTATCAAGAAAAATATTTCTTTTACTTCTAGCGGCAGTACTGCTTCGTATCTACCTAGAGTATGAAAGGAGTCAAGAGAGTTGTAGGTCACTCGTTAAGGACAACAATAATTCTACTGAGTGTCGTATTAATGCCAGCGAAAATGCCGTTTACCAACAAAAGAAAATTTTTCTCGCTTTCTTCTATTGGGAACAATTAACAATGGCGACGAATAATCTTCTTCAACTTACAGCCCTCGCTGTGCCAGGAGGGCGACAAGTTGTTGCTCCATTTGTGAAAGATTCTCTGTTTCACGGAGTGCCGACCTCACACGGACACCATACGCTTGGACTTTATTACAACGTTACTGCTCTAAATGAATCGCTTGGTTTGCACGGTCATGGTACTTTAATAAACTGGGACGGGTTTCAAGACGTCTGCAAGGGAAAACTGGATGTTTTAGTATATTTTCATTATAGAAATCTAACGAACTCCACGACAAACAACCTTTCTACGTCGTACAATCCTTGCAAACTTGACCACAAAAACGTTCTTCTTGGCATCAAGATCGGCAGAAAGATTTGTGTCAATGCTAATGCCTTCAATTCAGTTCAAAGATTTGAAGACGAAATGGTTAAGAGGCTCCCGTGTGTTGGTATTTTTGAATGGCGAGGAGCAAGAAAAACGAACCCCAAAAGAACACATTTTGATATTGAGTCAAAAGTAGAAAAGCTCCTGTCTTATCGCGACATGAACGCTTTCTTCAGTGCAAAACTTGCTCGCGTAGCTCGAGATTTCATTGCGCAAAATCTCACTTCAAACTTTATCTCCGTACACATTCGCACGGAAAAGATTTTATCTGATGGAGGAAATATTTCCACTATCAGAAGGTGTTTAGTAAAGTTGAGGAAGAGATTTCATGGTATTATTCAAGTAGCTGCTGTTCCTCCTACAATATTTTTGGCCGTTGATTTCACAAAGTTTGGCTCCTCCTCAAAAACTGTGAAACCAGCTCGAAAACATGCCAAATCCTTCATCAAAATACTCCTTCCGCTAAAGTCCATTAGTTTTCAACCATCAGAATACAAGATTGTTGATCGAGGAGCCGTAGCCATTGTGGAAATGAACATTCTAGCATCAGGGAGGCGCTTATTTCTTCTTGGAGGTGGGTCATTTCAAAATTGGATGACGACGCAATTTCGCACCAGGAATAAAAATGAACAAAGTAAAGTAGAACGCATCGTTTGTTAACCGTTTGAAAACATTTTTCTTATTTTAAAAAATAAATGCAGCCAGCAAAGCCGGGGTAAACAGTTGGAATTTTATATTGATATTGGACGCTTGTAATAGTGGATCGTGATCCCACAAAGGGTGCCAAAGAGTCTCAGCTTGCTGGAACGCGCGAGTGATCTTCCGACACTAGTGACATAGTCTCATGAACCGGCAAAAATTACCTTGCTGACATTTAAAGTATATCATTGCAATTTTAATTAGATTACCAAGCACAATAAGGAGCAGTATCAGTGCTGGGTCCAGACCTTGAGATAAGGGGAGGGGCTAGTCATCCAGACCCTTTGATAAGGGGGGGGCCTCCCCCCTCCCCTGGATCCGCCACTGAGTATAAAGTAGAACGCCTTATAGTTTGTTAGCCGCGGCACTGCATAAAGAAGAGTCGAAATATTAACTGAAAGTCAATTTTCCTGTGTTTCAGAAAGCGTAGTGTTTAAAGCGTAAATAAAAAGTTTACTTATCACCATAATGCGTTCTTTTGATGGCTTTTTGATGTTGTTGGACTTTATCTTGGACCAAAGTCTCCCCCTTTTTCTTCGATGTCCTCAGCTAGGACAGAGTTGGTGTCTGCTACTGCACCAATGATAATCGTTTTCTTTAAATTGAACTCTTGGAATAGGAATCTTCACTAAATCCTGTTCACTTGATGAAACAAGGCTTGGTTGTGTTTTAATCTAAAATAGGCAGAATGTCTGCCAATGGTCGAATCATTTTCGGATCAGGGCCCGTTGCTTAATCGGACGAGTGCTAAGCCTTTTGTGTTGAAGGCGGTTTCAGTATCTCTGGCTCCGGTGCACTGCCTGAGTGCTGGAAAGTGGTCGGTACATTTTTGTATGGGCTCGATTCACGATCGACCGTTCGCTGAGTAGTACCGACTTTCCATGTTGAGGGTAGTGGTATTGGTGTCCGCAACTGACGCTGAAAATTTTGGACCGATTTGCGTCATGCTTGATAGTCCTTTGGGTAACGGTCTTGTTCCCAGAGGTTGTTAATCTAGGAATTGATGGCGTTTTTGGCACCAATGGATTCTGCAATGTTTGATTGCTTGTCAGGGATCGAGCATGATCGTGTCACTGTCTTGCAGACGGCTTGTGCACCTTTTGGTGTTGATACTGCGTTTGCAATTGGAGTCATTTCTTTATTCGTGCAGAAGGAACTCCCGGCATGGCTAGTTTCATCCTTGTCTTTGCCGGCATGTGTTGAAGTACATACATGCATTCATACATAAACTATATTTTAACTCAAATTTACAGATCGATTGAGCTAATATTTCCGAGCAAAGTAAAAATAAAACTTATTGAAAAATATTAATTTTTAAAAGTTATTAAAACTTTTAAAAGTAATTCTAATGAAAATTCAAAGTTCTTCAAGGGATTTTTAAAATCATCGATTGATATTATTTGTCTCATGTCGTCTTTAAGTGAGTTCCAGAGCTTTGCAGCTTCGCACTTGATGGACTTGAGTCTATAAGTGGTTGTCAAAGTTTCAGGTAAGCTTAGTACATGATTCCCTCTAAAAAAATATTTGTAGCTTCAAAGAGAGAAGAGTTTCTTAAGATATCTCTCCCTTGTCTTTGATCAGCCCTCCGTTCCCTTCCAGTAATGTCCTTTGCTTGCTTAGATTTCTTTGAGTGAAGAAACGGACGATAAGTATTCCAAAAGTCATTGGAGTTTGGTCTTTCCGATTTATTGAGAAAATACGCCTTGGCTGCCTTTCGTCTCAGCGAAGTAGTATCATGATTGTCTGGGTTAGAGAGTAGTCCTGTATAAGACTTTCGTTGACATTTGACCGACTTTTTGACAGCCGGTGTGGAAGTCATCGTGAGAGTCAAATTGAGATGCATATCATAACTTGCTATTGCCCTGATTGGTCAACTATGTTTAAAGTTTATATTTGTTCCCGATATTGGTCGCTTCTATTTTTTGCTATAAAGATTCTAAATGTGAGTGGCGCGTTTCGATCTGTCTTTTCCCATCGATCATTTTAATGTTACTCAGCTTGTGGGTTTTTTTGTGTGTCCATTCACTCTGTCGTTTTCTGTTTTGCTTGAGTTCGTCACTAACGTCTTTAAAGTACAACAGTTTTAAGCGTGTGCGTGATCCGTTTTCGACTTTAACGATTTTTAAGTAGGTAGCTAAGAGCAGACCAATCTCATGAACAAATATTACCTTGTTAACATGCAAAGTTAAGTATGTCCGGCATGGAATATTTTTTCGATAACTCTTAATTTATAACAGATGTTGCAGACTGTTGCACGTTCCTTTAAAAACTGTAATCTTAGCTTGACCGTTTCAAAAAATGTCGTTTTATAGGCAACCACTGAATGAGTTTCTATCGAGGACAATACTTTTTTTGTTCATAGCAACAGTGGTGCTTTGTATATACCAAGGATACGAAATTCAGGTGTTACTCAAGCCACAAATCGACGACAACAACAGCCCCATCATCGAGCGATTACACTCCTTTGATTCCAGTGAAGTTGAAAGTGCTGTTCACCGACGAAAGAAAATTTTTATTGCTTTCTTCTATTGGGAACAATTAACAATGGCAACGAATAATCTTCTTCATCTTTCAGCTCTCGCTGCCCAAGGAGGGCGCCAAGTTGTGGTTCCTTTTGTGAAAGATTCTTTCTTTCGAGGTGCACCACAGTCGCAGAGAAAACGGCAGAACCATAAATTTGGACTTTATTACGACGTCACTGCACTCAATGAATCGCTTCGTTTACACGGCTATGGAACTTTAATAAACTGGGAGGGGTTTCAAGACGTCTGCAAGGGAAAACTGGATGTTTTAGTATATTTTCATTATAAAAATCTAACGAACTCCACGAGCAACAACCTTTCTACCTCATACGATCCTTGCAAGCTTAACCAGAAACAGGTTTTTCTTGGCATCAAGATTGGCAGGAAAATTTGTGTTAATGCTCATGTTTTCGATTCTGTTCAGAGATTTGAAGACGAAATAGTTGAAAAGCTTCCTTGTGTTGGTATTATGCGATGGAGAGGAACAAGCAAAACTGAACCCTTTAGAACGCATTTTAATATTGAGTCATTAGTAGACAAAGTTCTGTCTTATCTAGACATGAGCGCTTTTTTTAGTGCAAAACTTCTTCGCATAGCTCAAGATTTTATAGCGCAGCATCTCATTTCAAACTTTATCTCCGTACATGTTCGCACAGAACAGATTTTAGTGTCAGGAGGAAATATTTCCACAGTCAAAAGATGTTTATTTAAGTTGAGGAAGAGACTTCAGAGTATTAATCAATTAGCAACTGTTCAGAATCCTCCAGTATTTTTGGCGGCTGATTTCACAAAGTTTGGGTCTTCCTCAGCAACTGTGAAACCAGCTCGAAAACATGCCAAATCCTTTATGAAAATACTACTCCCCTTAAGGCCGATTGTTTTTCAACCCTCAGAATACAAGATTGTTGATCGAGGAGCAGCGGCCATCGTGGAAATGAATATTCTTGCATCAGGAAGGCTCTTATTTGTTCTCGGAGGTGGGTCATTTCAACTTTGGATAACGAAGCAATTTCTTACCAAGAATTACAATGAGCAGAGTAAAGTAGAACCCATCGTTTGTTAACCGTTTGAAAACATTATTCTTATTTTAAAAAATGAATGTAACCTGGTATCTAATGACCAGCAAAGAGTAAAATGTGGAATTTCATATTGGACACTTTCTCTCAAAAGGTGCCAAAGAGTCTAAGCTTACTGGAACGCGTGAGTGATCTTCCACCTCTAGCGACATAATCCCATGAACAGGCAAATATTACCTTATTGACATATAAAGTATCATTGCAATTTTGATTAGATGCCGCTTAAAGTATGTTGTCGCAGTCAATTCTACAGCGTCTGATAACTGCACTCTTAAATTGTGGCTGTGTCCAAAAAAAATGTCTTTCTATAGGCAAGCACTGAAGTTCCTTTCAAAAAAAAAACTTCTTTTACTTCTTACAGCAGTGGTACTTTCTATCTACCTGGGTTATGAGCGTCGGTATAATAGCAGACCTTTAGTTAAGGATAACAACGGTTTTATAGATATTTACAGGGGACTGCGATCACCACACAGCATCACTGAGCGATTACAGTCCACTTATGCCGGTGAGGCTGAAAGTTCCGTTTACCGACGTCAAAAACTTTTTCTCGCTTTCTACTATTGGGAGCAATTAACAATGGCAACAAATAACTTTCTTAATCTTACAGCCCTCGCTGCCCAAGGAGGTCGCCAAGTTGTTGTTCCATTTGTGAAAGATTCTCATTTTCGCGGTGTACCAACCTCTCAGAGACGCAACCAGACACACAATACGCTTGCACTTTACTACAACGTTTCTGCACTTAATGAAACGCTTCATTTACACGGTTATGGAACTTTAATAACCTGGGAAGGTTTTCAAGATGTTTGTAAAGGAAAAGTGGATGTTTTGGTGTGTTTTTATTACACAAAGCTAACAAGCTCCACGACCAACCTCTCTACGTCTTGCGCTCCCTGCAAGCTTAACAACAAAAACGTTTTACTTGGCATCAAGATCGGCAGAAGAATTTGTGTCAACGCTAATTCCCTCAATTCAGTTCAGATATTTGAAAGCGAAGTAGTTAAAAATCTACCGTGTGTTGCTATCAGGGAATGGAGAGGGATAACGACAACAATAACAGCCAAAAGAACACATTTTGATATTGAGTCAAAATTAGACAAAGTATTGACGTCTCAAGACATGAGCGTTTTTTTCAGTGCAAAACTTCTTCGCGTAGCTCGAGATTTCATTGCGCAAAAACTCACTTCAAACTTTATCTCCGTACATATTCGCACAGAAAAGATTTTATCTGCTGGAGGAAATATTTCCGCTATCAAAAGGTGTTTATTTAATTTGAGGAAGAGACTTCAGAATACTATTCAAGTAGCAATTGTTCCTCCTCCAATATTTTTGGCTACTGATTTCACAGCCTTTGGGTCTTCCTCAGAAAAAGCAATACGAGCTCGGAAATATGCCAAATCCTTCATTGAAATACTGCTTCCTCTAAGGCCCATTGTTTTTCGACCACCAGAATACAAGATTGTTGATGGAGGAGCCGTAGCCATTGTGGAAATGAATATTTTAGCATCAGGGAGGCGCTTATTTGTTCTCGGAGGTGGGTCATTTCAACTTTGGATAACGAATCAGTTTCTTACCAAGAGCAACAATGATCGGAGTAAAGTAGAACGCATCGTTTGTTAACCGCAGACCGCCTTACAGAAAAATGACAATGCACAGTGCCCGACTGCTCTCACATGTCAACGGTTGTGCTAATAAAAACGTCCGTAAAATCTGATTAAGCGTCCTTTAAAACTGTTTTGCTTTCATGTAATTGAAAGCAATTTTTCTTACAAGCGACTTGCTTATCCGGATGATAATAGACGGTGAGCAGTCGCTTTCTCCAGACAAGTCTCTTTCTCCAGAATTAGTGCATGAGGGGAGTGTATGCGCACGCGAGCATCGAGCAGCACATTCTCGTCCCCAGAGCCACTCGGCTTAATTTGTAACCGACCTCGTTTCCCCACCACGTGACCAAGAAACGACGGGCTCTGGGGACGAGAATGCGAGCAGCAAAGCCGCGAGGTGCGAGAAACGAGAGATGCGCAATCTTTCACACAATGCTTCTATGAAATTTACGCACGAAACTTTCACGCGCATACGCTGGGAAATTTACGCGACCTTGCACCCCCTCCCTTCTTCGACACTCATCAGTTTCGTCTGTTTGCCACCAGTCTTCCTATAGACTTTCTATCCAGAGACAGAAAAATATAAAGCCAAGCCGGTCGCCTTAACGCAACAGGATTTTCTAAGGTATCGTCGTTAATTAGCTATAGAATAATTTCCAGGTCTGTGAAAACGAACCGGTACTCGTAACAGGAGACAGAGGAGATAAAGTAGCCTATACCAATTTCAGGACTGAAGCACACGTAGCAACTCCGCGGAAACTCAGCAGTGTGGCCAGTACCTTACGCATGCGCACAACCATCATCCTGGCAGTGTCAGCCATGAACAGCCAAGGACGTTTCGCCCTCATCGGGGCTCATCAGGATGGCATAGACGTTGGGTCAATGAACGGGCGAACCCGTCTCTCAAAGACCCTTTACTGTGCGCATGCGTAAGGTACTGGCCGTATCGCAAAATTGATATGCAGGTGGCTCAATTCAAAATTGGATGACGACCCATTTTCTTGCGAAGAAAAAGAATGAACAGAAGAACGTAGAACGCTTTGTTTGTTGGCCGCAGACAACCGTGATACAAAGAAGAGCTGGAATATTAACTGAAAATTAAGTTTGCCAAGTTTCAGACCCTTGATGCTATTGAGGTCTTGAAAGTGCCGCTTATCAACAAAAGAAACTTTTCCTTGCTTTAAGTGTATCGTGCATCGCAGCACATGAGGTCGCACATCGCAAAGAGTCTAATGTCAAGTTGTAGCGATAAAAGGAAAAGAAACCCAAATTTTGTTTGAAAATTTTTCTAGTTTTTCTCGGTTCTGGTTAAGCGATTAACTTGAGTACGGAATACATAACAAAACCTCCTGTTTGTTTTCTTGCCACTCTAATTTAAATTCTTGAAAATTGCTACAAGCCAACTTAATTGGAAAAAGCTGAAAATTTGCACCAGCCACCTTTATAATTAATTAATTTGGATATTATATCTACTTTACTGTGCTAAAATATTCCTCATAATTAAAAGTTAAAAAAAACCATTGAAAAGGAGACGTTCAACGTTCAACTATTGCCATTATCAGTCAAAAAATTTGTATGTTGCAAACACATAACCTCAATACAACGCAAAACAATTTAATATCATTGAAATGAATGGTTTACATATAAACAAATGTAGTCTCAGTATGGATATTTGTTCATCCCAAAAATGGATCTACAAGTTTGTCATAGTATAAACCATTGAAGACAATAACGGAACGTCTATGACAATCTTTTTCAGGGGAGAAAAGGAATGACCGGTTCTTTCGAAAAAATGAACCGCCGCTTGTGTAGGTGGCCCCCCTTGTCATATTAAATGAACTTTCCCTTATCAGTCAAAAAAATTTGTAATACACATAACCTCCTATATAATTGAAATGAAAATATCTATTTTATTTATAGAGCAATGCTGCTTCGTATCTACCTCAGAGGAAATGAGAGTCAAGAGATTACAAGGCCGTTAATGACGGACATCAAGAACAGTTCTTTAGGTATTTACAGGGACCTAAAATCGCGACACAGCATCACCGAGCAATCCCTTAATACCAGTAAGGTTGAAAGTGCTGTTTACCAACAAAAGAAAATTTTTTCTCGCTTTCCACTATTGGGAGCAACTAACGATGGCAACGAATAAATTTCTTCATCTCACAGCCCTCGCTGTCCAAGGAGGGCGAGAAGTTGTTGTTCCATTTGTAAAAGATTCCCAGTTTCTCGGAGTACCGACCTTGCACAGACGCCAGCTATACAATACGCTCAGTGGACTTTATTACAACGTTACTGCTCTAAATGAATCGCTTAAGACGTCTGCAAGGGAAAACTGGATGTTCTGATATATTTTTATTACTCAAAGCTATCGAGTTCCACGTACGCTGCTTGCAATCTTAACCACAAAAAGGTTTTTGTTGACATCAAGATTGGGAGAAGAATTTGTGTTGATGCTAGTGCCTTTAAATCAGTTCAAAGATTTGAAGAAGAAAAAGTTAAGAGGCTCCCGTGTGTTGGTATTTTTGAATGGCAAGGAGTAATTAAAACGAACCCCAAAAGAACACATTTTGATATTGAGTCAAAAGTTGAAAGGCTCCTGTCTTTTCACGACATGGGCGCTTTCTTTAGTGCAAAACTTCTTCGCGTAGCCCGAGATTTCATTGAGCAACATCTCACTTCAAACTTTATCTCCGTACACATTCGCACAGCTGAAAAATTTTATGTGCTGGAGGAAATATTTCCACAGTCGAGAGGTGTTTTTTTAGATTGAGGAAGAGACTTCAGAGAAAGGTTTGTGCGTACATTTCTCATTTTCATACTCCACTGTACTATCTAACTTATGCCAAAAAACAACAATGGCCGACTTCGATAAAAATCGATAATATCGATTTGACATACCAATTTAGTTTATCGATTTTCACCGATTTCCGTTACCAATCGATAAAATCACTTGATTGCTACCATTTTTTATCGATACCGATTTTTATCGATTGTCTACTCAAGGTATAGACATGCAATTGGGATCATTACACGTTTCTGGAAAACTGCCTACCTACCCCTCCCGAAGCCAACATCAACACTTACTTCTTACTTAGGGCAAAATGTTTACTTAGTGCAGGGGTAGGTAGCCTGCGAGCAAGCTCTCCTATTTGGGCAAGCGAAGCGAGCCTCGCTTCTCTCCTTTCCTCTGCCCCTCGCGGCTTCGCCGCTCGCTCGCGCGTTCTCGCGAGACTCGTTTCACTCGCCCAAATAGGAGAGCTTGCTCGCAGGCTAAGGTAGGTTAGCCTGTGAACAGGCTCTCTGTTTGCACAGGCTAGGGTAGGTAGGCAGTTTCCCAGAAACGTATTATTGTTGTGCATTGGACTTAATTCTTCCGTTTATTCGGCAAAAATAGCAAGTTTAAGCACCTCTATGTGCCCACCTCGGATAGAAGAGTTTCCGTTTCCAGCAGTGCATCATCATATTAAGATGGGAAGACCAATATCGAATGTCTCTAACTGTCACGTACACGTATTCTGGTTGTATATGGCATTTATTGTCTTTTGAAGAACAGTTGTCTGAAAAAGATAAGTACTTTGTCGTATTAGATTGAGTAGCTACAATAAGTCTTCTCCTGTCAGAAGATCAGTTACGTCGATCTCCGAATTCAGAGCAAAAACGGTAATTATTGAAACAATTGTACTTTCTTTTTGTTGATAAGTGTAGCCTTGGGAATTTTGTTTTATTGTTCTTAAAGACCTTTAGCCGAGCGGGATTTTTGCCAACTTTAAAGTCACAAAGCAAGTTCCTACAGATTCCTTATTGAAAAGTTAGAAATATTTGAAATTATCTAGAATTATAGTAATCAGTGGATTGGAGCTTTGCCTACATGAGTCAATCATGATGGTCGGTAGACGGGTGTGTTAGAATTGATAGGAAATGGTCAAAAATACAGGAACTGCGGTGGGGATGATCTGAAACCCGAAATGGGTGAGCATATATACAGGGTACTTCCTAAAATGGGCGCCTATATGGGGAGGCTCCACACGAAAAGGTTTAAGGTTTATAAAAGGGTAGGGATTTCACGGAGGGTAAGGAAATCTGTTATTTCAGTATTTATAATGCGGCCCTAAAGAGAAGAAGGCGTTTATAGCTGAGAAGTGGAAAAGTAATTCCTGGTTTAGCGATTGATTCATATCTAAAAGGCATTGAATTTACAGCAACTAAAAGGGATGCAGCGTTCAAAATTAGTAAGAAAGGGGTACCAGTTCAGAGCATTTCCACTTTTGGAAGTGTTTTCCTAGCCTTGATTTTTAAGGGGTGGGATGGGGATCTTAATTTTCCGCCTATTTCAACTCCACCGTGCAGGGAAAAACGTTTGCAAAAAATTACCACCTACAACTTTAGGACAATTGGAGAATTAATCAAACGAACAAATATACACTCTTTTTTACGCGTGCTGTATCTCACTACTAATTCGAACCATGACCTTAAAGATGTACTGCACCTGTGTACCGTTCTTGCTTTTGTATGCATCAATGAATGGTCACGAAATCTTCACTAATGCGGCTTGGAAAAATAGCTCGAAAATGCAATAGTTTCCTATGTTCTTCCTGTTATTTTGTAAAACGAAACCAATCTCAAGATAAAAAGATGTTAAATTTTGGTTTCCAAACTAGTATTTGTTTCTATCATGATTTGAGGTTAGTTGGCGCCACCTAAAATTCGTTTTCCATGTTGAGCATACACAATGAGCCAGACGACAGAAATAATTATGACCATGTTAGAAATGAACAAATAAAAAAAAAAAAAAGAAATAAAAATATTTAGTTTAGGAAAACCTCTAACGCAAGACTTTTCTTTTAAACCTTTTAGAATTAATGCTGTTCGAGTTGAGAAGAAAACAAAACAAAACAAGCATGCAAATGTGAAAACTTGGACTATAATGCATGCAACTCGCCATTACTAGTCTTTCTTACTGTTTTATAAGGTTCTTAAGGTTTTGACTACAAAGAAAAACGTCTTTAAAAAAACAATTGAATAATGTATATTGGCAAGGTGAGGTGCTGAAATGAGCTATGGTCATTTTTTGCGAAAATGTGCAGGGTGAAGTTAACATAGCGGACATCGATATCGGCCCTTACAGGAAAATATGGAAAAGAATAAAAAAAAGTCACGCAAAATAGCAGTAGTATTCCACCTAACGTTTTCATATAAAAACCGTTGAAGATAGTTAGAGGGACGTTAAATACATAATCGCACTGCTATTGCTATTACTGTGGCTGGCTTAATGCTTAAAAATTTCACAAAAATTTGAGTAAATAAACCTCTTAAACACTGGTGTTTTTCCCCTATTCATGAAAAGTGTGCATGACTCGGCTTGTATCTGACAATTTTTTGGTCATCTTCCAACACTGTATTCGATTAAAGGACATTTCTTTTACCAAGGTCACCCGGCCAGCCCAGTAAATATAACCTTAATTAATCCCTAACAGGTCCTTTACACATTATATATGTAGCGGAAAAGAGCGAGCGAACAGAACTGGGCTCCCTGTTGCAGGTTCCAACTCCGGATAGAAAGTGTGACATTTCACATTGGTTCTTCGTGGTACGGTAACGTGAGCAACAAAATTTCTCGGATGAAAAGATCACCAATTTTCTTAGCTATGGGGCTCCGTTCGTGCGCTCTTCTCCGCGACTGTTATGTTTAAAAGACCTGTTAGGGATTAATTAAGGTTATATTTACTAGGCTGGCGAGCCAGAAAGTTCATCACGTGATTTACAAATGCAATAAGTTTATTACTTTCGGAAGGATTTTACTAAACCCGTGAAACAGTATGTAACAATTAGTGCCAAATAGTTATCACTAAACAGAAGAAAACAATGAAATTAGAGAGTAATTTTCGTCAGTAAAATCACTTTAACACTATTTTATCTATTAAACTGATTGTTTTCTTTTTTGTTTACTAGTAACTATTTGGACCTTTTTTAGATATTGTCGATACTGCTTCACGACGGCTAAGTTAAGTAAAAACACTAATTGCTTGTGTCAATCAAAAGTGAAAATGATATGCAAACAGTTCAAAACTCTTACTTAATAAAAGTACTGTTTTCATCGGAGAGATTTAAGCTTAAATGGCGAGAAATACAAAAATTTCAAAATTCAGTGTTAAAATTCCACCTCTCCACATAATTGCAGGGACATTGCATAAAATAAATTAAAGGAAAAATAACTCATGCACTTGGATTTTTATCTGGACAGTTATGCTTTGGAATACATAGGATATATATTTATACTTACTTCAAACTTTTAATCAGTACTCTTCTGAAGAGTGGACGTTTTGCAATTTGACAAAATTATGAACGTATGACTGGGGTTATGGGCTCCTCGTGCTCATGAATAATCCTCTATAAACCTTCGTTAATATTGCGTAACGTTTTTCAAAAAAGTTAGTTGCACAACTTAAATGAACGTATGTAATTTATTACCAAATAAACCAAGACTAACAAGTGCGATGAATAATTTTACCATGATGGAACTAAACAATTTAAAGAAAATAAACTGAAAATAACAAAACATGTTTATAGATTTCATGATATTATGAACCTTGAGGGATGCACAAGAGCAGGAAATTAATATTCATATGTTCCTGCCAGAACGGCGCCAACGGTTAAAGGGCCCTCGTGTTTAATAACGTTTTCACGAGCTCACGAGAGCTAATAAAAATCGAGCAAACCAACTGAAATATTATGTAGGACATTTCTTTAACAGCTGAGCCAACAGAACTTTTAAAAATCTACCTAGTTGTCAAGACACGCCCCTATAACTCCCACAGTAAACCAAACATTGAGACCTTTGGTTTTAAATCTTCGTTTTAAGATCAGAAAACCTGTAACTGAAAAAGGGTAAATTTGAGAAAGAACAACTGTATGCATGTCGTGGAACTTAGTTTTGGACCTTTGACTGCTTGTTGTTAACGGTGAGAGAATTCAAGTTTTTAGTTTGAAAAAGGGTAATTCTAAAATTATATATATTTTCAGCAGACGAAGTTTCATTAAACAATTACTGAGTTTGACCGAGGGTATCAGTTATAAGTCGCCTGAGGAATAATTCGAAAATTTTGCGAACTTAACATAAATATCTCCATATCAAGGCATAGATTTTCGCGAAATAGATTGGATTGACCAAAAAAAGGGAATATTTGTTTTACTCATCTCTGATTCTCAAAATATAAAGTTATAACTGGATAATTTCCGATGAAAAGTGAAGTTTTCCCTGATCCAAAAATAGGTCGAACATTTCCGACATTTTTAATGAGTGAGAGATGGAGTGTTTAGATAAGAGAGAAAAAAGACACGTTCGGATACTGTAAAAATGACTAAGACTGGTTCCATTTATTACTTCACTATCCTATTTGTTTATTCTTGCATTTAACTGTCAAGCGTCCAAACGTCTTTGCCATTTCTTTTAACCGATTTAAACTTAATGCTCTTCCCACTCGAGATAAATTAATTCAGGAACGTGAGTTGCCTTTCATTCAGATAAGATTCCATTGTTATCCAAATCAGGCGTCTTTGCATATTTTAACCAGCACATGGTCGATGTGCTAAGTCTGTTCGTGGAGCATGAAAGCAAATATTCGAGGATTTTTCAAAGACATTTAACAGGAATATGATGCCTCAATGATCACCAAAAACACGAGTGTTTCTGCGTTTAAGAAGACAGAGCAGAAAAAAAGAACTCTCTCATTTAACGTGGGATCACAATTTCGAGTTTGCTTCTACCTGTTTGCTTGTGTGGACACCGACTTCATCAACACCTACGAAAAGTCAAAGGGGAAGGTTTGAACCATTATCTTTAATCTTTTTTTGATTTTCTGACTTTTTAGGCATCTTTGATAATGTACGCATAATTCGTGAAGTAGAAAACTCCGGATGATGTGAAAGTCAGTTAAACCTCTGTTCTTTAAGAGTATTAAAAATCTGCGTTCATTCATGCAACCAGACATAAAACTACAATGGGTGTTTCGTTGAGTAGCGTGGTGCCCGAACATGTTTTTCCTTATCAATATCTCCCACCTCAAATGTCATTTACGGAATGCTATTCCGGTAAAATGATTGCGTCATACGTATTATACCGGCCCGGGATTGGCGTGTGGAAGAATTATTGCACACTCAGAAGAACGCTATTACGTTTCAGGTCTTTTAAATAAGTTCAATCGAATCATCTGAAAGAGCCTGATCAAAATTTCGGCAGTAAAACTGCGAATTTGCCATATTTCGGAGGTTGAACCACGACTTGTCGAGCGATAGAGTCGTATTTTTTGGTAGGATTTCTAATATTCCGGTAAAGCACGTGACAGCTCACTGATTAGCCACGTTCCAATTCTAGCAAGCAGTCTCATTGCGGTGTCTCGCTGTAAATTTGTTATAAAGGTACGTATCTTGTTCTATTAACACTTACTTAAACCTAGATCATCTATAAAGTTATCTTTGACTTGATCTTTTTCTATAAATAGCTCCTAACCGCTTTACTTTTCATTCATCTCGGAATACATGTCTTCTGTCATTCAGTTGATTTAGAACCCGCGTGGAATAAAACGCTTAAACCTTAAACATTTCCGTAGAAAATGTTAATGTTTTATTCGGTAAATATCTCTCAAACCAATCCGCTCAAGGCATTTAATTCTACTTCGTTGTAAGGAGTATGAAACAGATGAAAGCTGATTGAAAGTTGATGTTTGACTTCCTGGGACCTATTTAAGCCCTAGATTTGTATTGTACAATCATAATTTAAGCATAACCTTATATGTCAAGACATATAATAAGAAATATTTTGAGGTAGGATAGTTAAGTTTTATTTAAATATCTCAAGCTTCTTTAAAACTTTTCTTTCGATTTATGGGGCTAAATTATTTAATGGTTTAATGGTGTTTTATTTTATTACTATTTTGCTATTGACGGTTTAAATCTTCTACGGAAATGTACCTGAAATTTTAACTGTACCTGGGAAGTTGAACTAAAAATACCAAAAAACTGCCGGAGTGATATTTTTTTAATGACAGCTTCCTCAGGGGTAATGTAATTTCAGCTTTGGCCATGAATCAGTGGAATCTGAAAGGGAACATCCTCTTTCTTGCTTCACTTTTTTTCAACACCGATGTTGATAATATACATTTTAATACTACGTGTGCTGTGATGTGATTATATAGCCGTACATTGCAATTCATGAATAATTATGCGTTATAAATCTGTTTATTAAGGTCAACTGGCAGGTAGCATGATTTACTACTACCTTGAGCCTTACACTACAGCAGATTCACTGATTATTGTGTTCCCAATTAGCTGCAAAGCTAAAGACATTTACACTAAAATAAAGTTTTCATTCATGCTGAGGAAGTTGTCAGCGCTGATAGGGTACTACTAAAAAAATGTTGTTGTCCCCGTTTTAAGTCAAGTCGTAACTAAAATTCCAGCTAGCAGCATGGTCAATTTGAAACAGTGAAAAGATGTCAACAAAGTTGTCCCAAAGACAGTGTAGACATGTTTAATGTCATGTCTCAGGGGCCCCACTCACATATTTTAATGAGTCCGAAGGAGTTATGGTAAAATTTTTTTTTTTGTTGCGAAAACAACAGGGATTTTTTTGGGTACTAGCATTTTCATCATGGTCAATTTTTGAAAAACAGTGACATAAGATAGATTAATCATAAAATTTGCTGATGCAAAAACACTGTGGGATTTTTGACAAAAAAAGTAGTGTAGACAAATTCTGAAGTTGATTTTTGAAAAATGTCCTCTGTCGGACCCCCCCTCATTAAAATATGAGGCTAGTGGTCACAAACTTCCCTTCCCTGGCTTTTATGAGCATGATGCCCAGTTACTTTCATAGGAATCAAAACGAAAACAGGATCAGAACAAATTCCTACCCATTCAATTGCCTGCCTACTAATTAACAATTATTCCACGAGGGCTTGTTGGCTATGAGATGGTACAAAGCCAATGAGGGGCCTAGCGCCAATTTGGCTTTACTCATCTCATATCCAACATTTGAGCGAGTGGAAAAATAATATTATTTCATTTATTGTTTTATTCAAAACACCCACAAAATATCAAGAATTCTTCCCGACTTCATTTGTAAAAACAACTGATTTTCAGCTTGTTTTTAATTTTGAGCAGTCACATGCAGTTACCATTTATGGAGAGCACGGTATAATGGCTCATACCATGATGGCTAAGCCAATCAGAGCTCTAGAAACGAATTATCCTATGATTCAGTTTTTAATAATACCCATATACATGACAACGTGAAATTTTAGTGACTGCCCCAGGGTACACTAGTAAAGCACTAACAAGGATACCAGGCCTCTTCCCCTTCAGGGCCCACAGAGCGGATTTTCAAGGGGGGGGCGGGGGGGCGCTAATGCGAACGCGTAAGTGTGAGCAAACTATGGGGGTCAGGGGGCATGCTCTCCTGGGAAAATTTCAAATTTAAGTCTTCTGAAATGGCTATAAATGGATCTAAAACTGCCAATTGTAATATAAATTTGTAAATGTTACATCAGATCTTAAAACAACAAGTTACAACCTGGCCCCCACGTTAGACCAAAATTTAAATGAATAGACTTTGAAGCTAAACCCAACACATGATATCGATGAGCATCACTTGCACATTTTTAAGTCGGATTCTCTGAAGGTGCCAAAGTTGCCTTTCCAATTTTCATTATATAAGAGCTACAGACTCACTGGTAACAGCTGCAAGACAAAGTTTGTCTGTTCTCTGTTTGTGGGTGTTCAGTATCGTCAGATTTCTTAACCTTGTTTGTGTGGTAAGTGACAGATCTGAGTAACCAAAGTAAAAAAAATATTTTACCATCCGAGAAAGTGGGGAAGCCCCACCCCCCTCACAGTCCCTGCACTATGTGAAACGACGGGCATTAAAATTCAGACTGAGGGAATATTCACCCACTATATAAGTGGCCCTCTTCTCCTTTATCTAGTTGTAAAAAACACATGAAAGGCAGTAATTGCATCATGTAGTTGATGTCTTTAGATATAGTGGTCTTTAAGGTTTGTTAGAAACATATTAATGTATAATGCATTTTACCAAACCTTGACCTTTTTGTGTCAAAACAAGTTCCACCCCCAATTATGCTCCCCCCTTTTTCTGGCTCTTTATTTCACCAGAACCCTTAAGAAAATTGAGGACTTAACCTCTCTTTTATAGATAAAAACTTTCTGCACCCTTTTTGACAGTAGGGGAATCTACTTTGGCATATTTGTTTGCAAAATGGAAAAACTCCATTTTCTGGACAGTAGTGTAGTAACAGATAAATAAACAACAGGCTATGCTTTTGATTGCTTTCAAAGGTTATATGCATGAAATAATATTGACTACTCTTTAGCGTGTCAGTTCAATACCTGTCAACCTTTTGTTTTAAAAAAATTATTTTGGAAAAGTCAAAATGTTCTTGTAGTTCTTATGAATATTTACTTTTTACTACTTATATGTTTTTCTTTCTCAGAGTCTTTATAGAGCAGAACTGACATGATTTCTAACATCATACAGGATGTTCTCTCTGTTACCAAAAATTTCTCACACAATTCATGGATTATATTGTGACAAATGGAAAGTTATTATATTTTTATAACCAAAATACTGTATTTCTGGAAAAATTAGTGGTGATGTAATGACAGAATTAAGTTGCAAGAGCTAGGCCAGCCAGTGGGGCAAAATTATAATAAGTTAAGCACATGGTTTATCAGAACTCTTCATGATAAACCTTTTTTTTTCTCTGTTGTAGTTGTTTCTCAAATAATTCCATAAGACTTTAAATCTCCTCTGAGATAAAAATCTGCAATTCCAACGTCACTTAGAACTTCCAGGAGAATGACCTCGGTAATTTTGTCTCGTATGTTTGCACTTCAGCAGTTACTTTGAAAACCAATTTCCTTAGCATAACGTGAATGTGTTTTGAAATGAACTATCACATCAAAGAATGTCGCTGATTCATCGTTTTTTGTAATAGATGTGACATCATCTATAAACATGGATGCTGTTGTCGGTCGAGAAAACGCAGCAATTTACTGGTTTAGCTTGCATTTGGCCTGGTTTTGTACAATGTTCCATTGTCGATTTACAAGGCCTTTGCATTTTTGAATGGTTCATATTTTTTATTTTGTTTTTCACGATGTAGTTGTTTGTTTTCGAGCACGTGTTTTGCATCAAAACAACTGATAGTGAATGAAATACATTTCTGGGTGCGTTTCAAGAAATTCAATTTTGGTGGTCTAGCTATGACTTGGCTAAAAAAGACAAAAATCGAATAGTATCGTATGTAAAAAGATTTATGGTATGAAATTCAGGAAGCTATAAAAATTGCATGAGCTTCAATCAAGTTCGGCTTGTAGATCTCTAAAGTTTGTTATGCAGCTTACATTTGTTTACATCTTGCACGTTTTCACGCTTTTCACACATTCCGGTCCCCGAGGAATTGACGAAAACATACCGGAAATACCAAACGAAACCGTCATCTTAATATTTCGGTTTTTGATTGGTCAGGTTCAGGTCACATGATTAAGATTTCACCTTATTTGGCATTTAGCCATCACGTTTGGCAATTTTCCCGCGCAACCGACGACGATCTTGCATAAACAACAAAAATACAGAGTAATCAGTGTATGGTATCTCTGCTACGGAAATAGCAGCTAAATGTGGTTTATCTCTTCTTTTCAATCTTAGAACACGTTTTCCTCAAGAGGTCTTGGATATGGCAAGATTCAGAAGGAGTTTTATTGGGATTTTGCTCTGTTTATCGGCTTCTTTGGGATATTTTAAAACAATAGGTAAGGATGTTTCGCCTATGCGGGGCGCTTGTTTTGTCGAGTTGTGATTTTGTTAGTTGGGCAAAGAAGGGGTTTTAACAATCTCGATTTCCTTTTTTTCCCACATATTCACTGCACTTTTCTTTATTTTGTTGACTTTAATTCACTGTTTTGTTGTAGAGGTTTTGAGAACTGGGGAAAGAAATTTAAAGGAGAGAGTTTGATGTCAAAGCGTACCATATTCAAAACACATTGCCCGGAACACATCCTTAGTAATCTTGTCTTCATAGTATCTCAAAATCGCCCTGATTAACGTTTAAAACTACCAAAGTAACAAAATTAGTTTTCATAGTTCACTGTACCTAGATTTTAGCAAATCAAGAAGATTCGTTGCAGTCAATTCACTTGCGTGGTGTGCAGCTCTTCAATCTTGTTGTTCTAAATATGAAGCTTAAATAATCGACGACATTACATTTGATTTCAGGTTTTCAGTGCCACAAAGATCAGATTCCTTGTGGCAATATTACTTGCATCCCCCAAAATTGGCGTTGTGACGGTGATGCTGATTGCGCGGATGGTTCGGACGAACAAAACTGTCGTAAGTAGTATTTCCATTCCTTACTACTATGATGTGCGTACTGGTAACCCGTTTGTTTTGTGGTGCAACACATTGCGTTAAGCGTTCGTGTTTTATTTAATCTTTCTTCTTCCCATTAACTGCGTGTCGCTTTATTATTCGAAGTACCCCTCCTATGTTCAGCGTATATGTATAACACAGTAAATTTTACGACTTTTCGAAGCAAGCAAAAGAACGCAATTTATGTTGTACGGGACCATTCGCGAAACGACCGTCGTGTTCGTGAATAGCTCCGTCGTGGAAAAACCTAAATGACTGAAAATCGCTCTAAACAAATCTTTATTGGGAAAGAATATGGATCTAAGTGTTTTGGGATTGACCAAGGAAATAAAATTTAGACTTTAAGCTTTCGTGCTCACAGAGAACGAGATAAAACTCGAACAGTACGGATTTTCAAACAACATCAATGTTGAGTCTGTGATTTTGTTTGCCGTGGAATTCATAGGATTTTTTATTATGATCTCACTCGAAGTTTTCTGATTATTTTGAAAGAATTTGTGATGAATCTCGGATAGTGAAATTCGCCTGTAATTAAAGTAGGGAATTTTAAGTAATTTTTAGTTGTCTAAAACTAGCTTGTTTTTGTTCGTCATATTCGCCTGGTTATTTGCATACAAGACGTAAGCTTAGGCGGAACATCACGCATTTCTTGTTGTTCATTGGCTGGCATACTGAAAACACTGGTAATACTACGGCTATTTGTTTATTTTGCCTTCACCCAATGGGATCTATTTTCTCACGCGTAGTGTGGTTTTGTGCAAAACCCGGGACAAAAGCTTCACCGTCGTATTCGCTAGTAGCTTCCCGACGCAAATTTGCTTTGCGCGACGCATGTTTTCGCTTGATAATAGTTGTCAGGGAGACTAAAAGCGGTTGGAAATTGTTATAATAATAATGGAAAGATAAGTGCGAATGCTCCAAACTCCTTTATTTAAGACGTTTTTAAGTTAGGAAACTCGAGTTATTTGGAGTCTCACTAGACCAGAAGACGTTGTCTGGGAAATATAGACAGAAAAATCTGCTCTGGTTGTCAACTCCAGGCTGAAAAATTACAGTGAAGTTCATGTAAATTTGACAACATTTCAGTCTTCCCCTAAAGCGAATTGGAGTTTAAAGTAGCTTGATAATTATTTTTGTGCTTACCAGCAAAGTTGTGATTCTTTAATCACCAACTATATTGTTAAACCTGATTTTTACGCAAGTGTCGCCATGATATTACTCCTGTCTCAGGAAAGCGGGTACTGCATAGCTTAGAATTTAGTTTCTTTTTTGCAAGTAAAAACAAACCCATACAGGCACAGACTTAAACAAACATTATTGTTCTTTGATAAAACTGTTGTTACTCTTATAAGCCCCTTATGTTCTCACATGTTACGACAAGTATTTTTGTGGGCTATTCTTCTTTAATTTTTGGTGGATTCCATGTTAAGCTATCTGGGGTGAAAATTGAGGAAAAAGTACTTAACAATCATAAAATTGAATATTTGACTTTTTTTGACCTTGTGTTACCAAAGGTGTAGAGATGATCTCAGTGTGTTATCATATTTTTCAGCGGAGAAAAGTTGTGATCCACGTAATTTCTTCAGATGCAAAGTTTCTGGTCGCTGTATCCCAAAGAGATGGGTCTGTGATTCAGATGATGATTGTGGTGACAACTCTGATGAGAAGAATTGTTGTAAGTAAATAAAGTGAACTACTTTGACTTTCACTCTTAATAGTGCTTCAAGTCAAGACAGACAAAAGATTTGGACTTTTTATTCCTAACTGTTCATAATTTATATTCATCAAAACTTTCATTCTCGGTCAACTGGGTCAGTTTTATTGGCATTAAGAAGAAGACGAACCATAACTCCAAACACAGGAACATTTTGATTAAGTTTTTATGCTTACAGTGGAAGCTCTAGTAAGCAGACACACTCATGGGAGATGTAAGGGTTACATGGCCACTTGTGGGAACTTGCCCAATGACAAATAAACATTGGAAATGCAAAAAACCGTTTGGTACTGTTGTTCCGATAATGGTGCAATTCAGTAACATGAATAAAATAGGCCACCTTCAGGATGACGTCATTTGAGTACAATTACCAGAATCCATCTTGTTTATGCTTTCTTATTCAAATTTGCCAGTCCCGTTGAGGTGTAAGAAACAGTAGCCCTAATTTGCATAAGAAAAGAACAAACTGAAGAATTCTGGTAGTTGTAGTAATAAAAATAACGTCATCATGCAAGTTATTGTCCTATTCAAGTGGTGTTTTGAAGTGTAACCGGACAAATCTGAAATCTACAACTGCTAATTGCATTGATCAACTTTCAAATAATAAATTAATTGATGGAATCTTGGAGGTTACTCTTGACCTGGCATGACTGTGACGACAGCTCTGTATGCTGGACATGGTAGGTAACTTTTTTACAGTGCAACTTCTTGAACTGGGGCACTTTGAAGAAGATTATCCAATCACAACTTTTTTTGAAAACAAAAGATTCTCAAGTTTTTTGCAAATGAACCTGACTTTGAGAGCTGCTTCTATACCTGCCAACTCTCACGCCTTAGGCGTGAATCTCACGTCTGCGGGTTGAAAACTTCGATCTCACGCCGGCTCACGCTTGCGGGCCAATTTCTCACGCCTGATTGAAAATTGTGAGTTGTTGCCATCTTGCTTGACACAATTTCCAAAAATATGTTAACTCAGACCCATGTAAGGAACGAAAACCATGTGTAAAATGAATAAATGACAATACCTTCCTCGCGATCTCTGATTTTTGAAGTGAAAAGCACTGGGAGCGAGCTGGCATTTATATGCATCCTAAGACTGGGACTGAGAAATGCGAGGGCTGTTTCCGCTTTCGGCAGACTTCGGACGTCTTCGGAAGACTTCGGACTTCTTCGGGAATCTTCGGAAATGATCATGTGGTCTTCAAAAATCCCAGCACTCCCAGGATAAAAATCTCACGCTTATATCTCAGAAAAAGTTGGCAGGTATATGCTTCCTGCCAGGTCAGGTAAGTTCACACGGTTTTAAAGTTTTCAATGGTTGGATAGTTGAACCTTGAATTTTATTGATCCGTTTGCAAAAAAACTTGTGAATCTTTTGTTTTTAAAAAAAGGTCATGATTGGATAATCTTCTTACAAGTACCCCGGTTCGAGTAGTCGCACTGTAATTGTTCACATACATGTACAAATGTAAGCTTTTATTTCTTTTAATTTGTAGTTCAAAGAGAATGTACGTCAGCTGAGTTTGCGTGTAGTAATGGACAATGTCTTCCATTAAAATGGAAGTGTGATCGAGACAAAGATTGCCGTGATGGTGGTGATGAGGAAGGATGTGGTAAGGGTGTCGTGATAAACTTTTCACCAGGCGTATGAGAGGATGACTGAAACCTATTTCTAACAAAAAAAATTAAAACAGTGTCTGAAACTAAAATGTTCATCTGATTTTATAAAATTTTTAGTAAATTCAGAAAATGGTCAGTTAAAGAAAGATTCTTTGAAAATAAAATACATAGAAACATAAACACAGGTAGGAGCTTGAAAAATATCATATTTTGTGAACTTATTTATGTGCCTTGTAATCGTGTAAAAATTTGAAATAAAAATACCCCAAAATCAAATTATTCAAAGTGCAAAAGCAACAGTGAAAACAGTTAGGATACTTGATCATGAACATGTGATTTTATGCAATTCAATTTGTTTAAGCCATCCTCATTCTTAAAACAGTTAATAATATATAAAATGTGCTTTGTAAAAGGGATGAAGTTGCATGATTTGCTTGGAAATCCAAGTTTTCCAAAAAAACTGTTATAATACACATTAGTGGAAATATTCATTTTTTATCTCAGGTAATTTTTGTTTTTCTTTTGTTTTTGGGTATGGTAATGTATGCTAATGAAATTGAAACAAAGGAAAAATAAAAATTACCTGGGATAAAAAATTAACTACAACAGAAATATTCATATTTTACAGGACAGTCACTAAATTTGAGGGAGCGAAATGGGAAAATTAACCAGAGATATAGAGCGATTTTCACATGACGTTGAAATGAAAACGTGCGAACAAAACAGAAACAACAAATGAACACTTAAAGAGTGATTTGAGTGGTTTATCGAACTGACACAAGCGCATGTGGCTTTTGGTTGGTTAAGCGAACACTCGGGTGAAAAAACTTCAAGTCCGAGAAGTTCTAAAAATCAATCAATACCGTGCTTTGATGTTATACTGCAACAAGATTGGCCAGTTGAACAATGCAGCGTGCAAAGAAAGTAATGTCCCATAGCCTGTGGCTAGTGGATTTTGCTATCGGGCTAGTGAATTCTGTTGTTAACTTGCCCGATGGGCAAGTGATGTTTTTTGAGCAATTCGAATAACAGAAGAACTATGAAATCAATCCTGCTCGTCAAAAAGTGTCTGGGGCTAGTTGAAATGACGTCTGGGCTAGTAAATTCTAGCTTCATCTTGCCCCAATGGTGAGCTGTAAAATGATTTTCTTTGCACCCTGACATTGCCTTCTCTACATAAGGGTTTTCTTTGGCAGGAAAACAAAGAGTCCATGTTTTGATCTTTTCATCCATTGCCTTGGCTGATAAAACAAGAAATGAACACTTACCAAAATCATTTTTCAAAACTTACGAAGATCGCTCTTTCGTGTGTTTGCGTTGTGTAATTAGCATGTTTCTGCTAGTAAAGTAGCAAGACAAGTTAAAGACAGCTCTTATTTTCTTATTTTAGACTCTTGCTAAAAAAGCTACTATTGCGAGACGGATTTCCAGGCATAATCGTCACATAATTATGCAACATGTTTCTGTTTACGTTAATGTTGCAATCAGTATATTTTTGCATAAACTTAATTTACAAATAGTGCAAGCATGCTTCATGTGTAACTACCCAATTATAAATGTAATTTTTCTACCTTTGAAAATAGATTGAGTCTTGTGGTTTTAAAGTAGTTTTTGAAAGTGCTTGTTGTCTTAATTTTTTGCATAATAGATTGAAAAAAATTATTATTTGTATGAAAACTGACTTTTTGTTTTATGTTGTCTGAGTTGCAAGGTGTAAAAAAGTGATCTTCTTTCTCGACATATGTTGCTTTTTATCATGTTTAAGTTTTTGCTCAGGTAACATTGAAAAAACTTCATCTTGTAGTTAAATTACAATAATCTCTCTTTGATCTTTATTAGATAAAGCATAAAATCTTTAAATTTTAAACTTTAAATTGTTCCCTAATTACCTCTCTATGTCTGGTGTTTTTTTCTTGCATTAATGTGTTGTTTTCATTTTTGTTCTATTTCAACTATTCTCTGAACAAAAGGAACAATTTCTCCAGGTAATATCACTTGCAATCCAGACCAGTTTACATGTGCAAATGGCAAATGCATTTCTCGAGCATGGCGCTGTGATCATGAAGATGATTGTGGTGATAGATCAGATGAACGGAATTGCCGTAAGTTTGCTTGCCTAAAAATATTTATTTAGCCCAGTGCTCAGTGTGGGCAACATAGTATGTCTATGAAAAATTAAGATTTCCTAGTACCCCAAGAGCACAGCCCCGAGTTAACAACACGATCCAACTGAAACATCTGGGCCCAGTTGTTTAGAGTCTGATAAGTGCTAACCTGGGGTCAAATTTTAATACATTTAAATGCAATTTAAAGGAGTTAACAACTAAGAGTGCCTCAAGTGCCTGAGGTCAGCGGTCTTTGGCATGCGCATGCCTAGTAGCTGGCTACATCGATCAAGCGATTCATTGATGCATTTCAGTTTTCCTTCATGCTAGGTTCTGTCAGCCATTTTCTTCCGGGTTTCTTTTTCTCTTGTTCAGACACATTTTCTGGGATAGTTTTCTCCAATTCTTTGTAAAGTACATGATGAACAAATTGTGAACAAAGCGAATTTGCTTTTTTAACTTTTATATCTGATCTTGAAAGTCCCCCCCTCCCCCCCATCCCTGGGTTAGCTTAATCCAGCTTTGAACAATCCATCCCAGACTGTATAAATGCATTTTTAGTCACAAAAGTTTCCAAGATATTTTTGTTCAGAATAATGCAGTGTGTTGGTTATTCATTAGTGTGAACCATTTCAAAAATTCTTGGCTTGCAAGGTAAGTGATTCAAGTTGGCTCTAACCTTCTTTCTTAATATTTTTCAATAGCTAATAAGACATGTACCCCAGATCAGTTTACATGCAGAAACAAAAAATGCATTAAGAAGAATTGGACATGTGATGGTGACAATGACTGCGGTGACAGCTCCGATGAAGACGATTGTCCCGTTACAAGTCCTACTTGTAAAAGTTCAGAGAAACTCTGTGAGGATGGTCGCCAGTGTATCCATACCAGCTGGGTTTGTGATGGTGAAGCTGATTGTAACGATGGTTCTGATGAGAAAGGCTGCAACAGTAAGTACATCTTGTCTGTTTATAGTAGTGGTGTGTTAATCATCGAGTATGATCGACCATTGATCAAAATCTTTATGCATTTTGATAACCAATTATGGAAAATTTTGAATTTTCTCATGTCACTGGAAAAAATAAAATTTCCTGTTGGTAAATAAACAGAGTAAAACTTGTGTGTCTTTAAGGTTTTGAACACTAGGAGGGCAACTGGGTTTCACACTGAGGCAAATAATTATGGAAAGGCCCTTGTGCAGCGGGGGGGGGGGGTGGTCTTGCCAAGGTCTGGGGACATGCTTTGCTGGAAAATATTGAAATTCTACATTTGCAGAGATTTGTTTTCCTGCATTCTGAAGTTTGAGACAATCTCTTTCAACTGCCAAAAAAAGATAACTTTTCTACACAATTTAATCATGATTTGGATACCTGCTCTAAGATAAAAATAGATGGACTCCTTATAAAGAGATTTTCTGATTATAATCATTTGATGAATATTCAGGTAGGTCAATCTGATTCTTTCTGATGATCAACTATGACATCTTAGGAGATATCCAATGCTAGTATGCAGCATAGAACAGCAAGGGCTTCGCCCCTGATGAATATAGGGTGGAAAGTCTTTAGGAAATGTTCACCTTAAAACATGTGGTTGGTCTTGTTTTTTAACAGATTTCAATTGCAGTGCTAATCTTTTCACCTGTAACAATGGAAGATGTATAGACAATAGCAAGGTTTGCGATGGCAATGATGATTGCAACGATAGATCAGATGAGCTGAAATGCCGTAAGTGACGTGATATGTACCTATTGTTCAGTGTATATGTAAGGTGATGGTCACTGCAATTATTCTCCTTAACTGTACAGCACCATTAAATTGTTATGAAAGCTTGAGATTCACACAAAATGTTATTCCTTTTTCCCTGAAAATTTTCTGTACATTATGTGCCTTATTCTGTACAAAAGAAATCTTTTTACAGTTTATCTCGTCTTGAAAAAGGAAAATTTAACTGTAATATTAGTCTCAAAATCACATATCATTTTAATTTCCTGTATTATGCAGCTGATAAACCAGGTTCACCGTGCAAGGAAGGTGAATTCCAATGTGGTGGTTCTAAACAGTGTATTCCTGAGAGTAAAGTTTGTGATGCCCACAAAGATTGCACAAATGGTGAAGATGAACCCGCTTCTTGTGGTGAGTGTTGCTTAGATGCCCTGGGGGTGGGTTTGTTTCGCTAGGAACTAAAACCTTTTGCCTGAGGCATGTTTAGCTGCATTTCAAACCTATTCTGACTTTAGGCACCAAAATTCCCTATCCTATCCTATCCCATAAACCAGAAACTCCAGTTCTTCACACGAGTTTTCAATTTCATTTACTATAAAAGTGATACCAAGCTTTAAGTAAATCTAATAAAACAATAATATTGTCGATAATCCAATTGTAAAGAAAGGAAAGATGGCTATAAATTTGGAGAAAAAGAACCATGACTATTCATGAGGTCTTTATAAACAAAATTGGTAACGTTCACCCTGAGAATAACAGATACTATGACTCAAAATGGCTGGCAAAATTGTTTTGGGATGGCAACTCGGTGAATTCTTTTTGAACTGATAGCTTGAGCTATTCGAGCAGCTGACAGTTTTTTTGAAAGGTATAGCTCAAGGTTGTTCAAATGGCCGACAGTTCTGTCCAATGGATGCCTATTCCAATCAAACAGTTGATGAACGGCTATCCTTTCAAATTAACAGCAAACTTTAAGGAACATTTTCGCGTGAGGGGTCACACTTGTCTCTGTGTTTGTTTTTTAGGTTTTAATGAATGCTTGAATTACAATGGCCACTGTCAACAGATTTGTAATGACACCAAGACATCATACTTCTGCTCCTGTCTCCCAGGATATGAGGTAGACAAGGAAGACCCAAAAGGATGCCAAGGTAAGTGAACCCTTATTGTAGTACACTGCCAAGCAGCATAGCCTAAAATGTGTAATCAGAGACTTCAAGTGGAAGATTGTGCCTTTTTGGCAAGTTAGGCAGGAAAGGCTGGGGTATCAACCCTTGGTGAGGTTGTCATAGTTACCTCCCCTCCTCTCAGTTCTAAAAAAACTCTTAAATTCTAGCTGTCCTTTAGGCAAGCATCTCTATGTTTTGCTCTCCCAGGGCAACCACCTGCTTGTCTGAGCATGTGATTTAGTTGGAGGATGACTTGCCCAAGCTTACTTGCCATTGGGCAAGTAAGATTCAACAGTTACTTGCCAAGCAAGAAAAACTACTTGTCGACAGGACAGGAATTTTTTTAAGCCTTTCCTATCCTTCTGCTTTTCCTTCATTTAAAGTAAAAAATGTGTGTGTCTCCACAGATGTTAATGAGTGCAAAATACCTGGAATATGTAGTCAAGTTTGTTACAACACTAAAGGGAGTTTTAAATGCATTTGCCGACTTGGCTATAACTTGGAACCAGACCGCCGCAGTTGCAAAGCCATTGGTAAGTACACAGCTATTATCTTTTCATTAGGGAGCCAAACTCAACTTTATGTGTGAAGAAACATTTTTTGCCAGCAACATTATGATAAGAAATTTATTTTTGAAAGGTCTCATTGAAGGCTTTCAGCAATTAAGGGCGCTTTCCATTTGTCAGAACTGACCGGCCACACCATTTCCGTCGAAATGATAATTTTTCTTTTAATAACAACTATCCTGCCAGATCAGTCAAATCCTAAATAGTATGCATGAAGGAGAACATTTTTCAGCAAAAACCTTGTGGAAATAGCCGATTTCATTTGCTTTGTGACTGATCCAGCGGGCCAGTTCTGACAAATGGAAAGCGCCCTAAGATAACTACATTAAGTGACTTCCACATAAGAAACTATCATTCCAAAACACCAACATCAGTGTGTCCAGTCAAAGCAGTATGCACCTTTGATTTCCAGTTATGGAATTCTGGCTGGTTTGTGGGAAGAAATAATTTCTTAGATTGTCCTACATCAGGATTACATTACAGAGCCAATTCGGCTAATTATGTTTCACGTTGTTTCATGTATGTTTCCATTTGTAGCAGTTTCAAAAATGTTTTTGTTTTCCTCAGGCGGTGATGGGTTTCTCATCTTTGCAAACCGTCATGACATTCGACACCTGGCATTTGACTCGTCATACTATGTAGAATTGATACCAGACCAAAAGGGTGCAGTAGCTCTGGATTTTGACTTCAACAGTGGGTATATATTCTGGACTGATGTCATTGAGGAAGAGATAAGACGAGCAAAAATGGAAGAAAACCCAACAGTGGAGGTCGTTGCCAACATCAGTGTAGATACCCCAGATGGGATTGCTGTTGATTGGATTAACAAGAAGTTGTACTGGACAGATACCGGCAATGATATGATTGAGGTGGCTGACTTTGATGGTACCAACCGGCTTCAATTAATTAAAACCGGACTGCAGGAGCCAAGGGCTATTGTGGTGCATCCCTTCATTGGGTATGTTGAAGAGTACTCCCTTATAAACATATTGAAATTCACATTCCGTCGTAAGTCTAACACGGTAAATCCTCTATTAAGCCCTTGGGGTTGGGGGCTTTAAAGAGAGGTGGGAGTGACAGACTTAGGTGTTGTACAAGTGACTATCAACAGTATTAAGTCGCTTGTGGGAGCCTCCACAGAGAACTAGAGCGTATAGCTGAAAAGGTTAAGCGCATGAAGTTGTAGGTCATGTGACCAAAGACCAAAGACAACATGAACTTCCAGCCTCTCGCCTTGAATAAACCATAACTGATCAGTCTACGTAAATTGTTTGTGAAGAGTAAGGATGGAGGTGGGGGGGGGCTAATAGAGAGAGGGGGCTGATTAACTTTCCTCCTCTAAAAAAAGGGGTGGCTTAATAGAGGATTTACAGTAATGAAATTTTTTCCCTTTGTCTTAGTTACATGTACTGGTCAGACTGGGGTGCAACGCCCAAAATAGAACGATGTGGACTGAATGGTGATCTACAGACGAGAGAGGTGATCATCAATACAAGCATTTTGTGGCCAAATGCACTGACCATAGACTACACTATCGACAGAATCTGGTGGGCAGATGCCAAGATGCACACCATAGAGTCTGCAGATTTCCTGGGGAGAGATCGTCGTGTTATCTTAAGAGAGTCCATCAATCATCCATTTGCCGTAACGTTATTTCAGAACTACATGTATTGGACCGACTGGGAGCATGGTCATGGCTCAATTAACAGGGCTAACAAGTTCAATGGCAAGGAGCGAGTGGTAATGCAAGAAAGCTTGTACGACCCCATGGACATTCATGTTTTTCACAAGCAGCGTCAACCTATAGGTCAGTTCATAACAATTGCCATGTTTTCACCAAAACTTGTTTAAAAATGCAAGTTACATATTATAACCTGCTTTTTGTGACACTAACATTAGCATCAAAGCATTATTTGTGGTACTAATAAATTGCAGTACAGCTGTATTTGTTTCTCACCATTTACCAGGTGAAATTTCAGTTTCTTCTGAAATTTTGATTTTTTTTCTTGGGATTGAAAGGCTTTACAGCATGATCTAAAGTTGTCTGGGACAGCACTGCTTAATACTGAACCTGATTAACTCTATTTGTTTTGAATAACAGGAGAAAATCCATGCCGTGTGGCAGAGCATTATGGAGGTTGCAGTCACATCTGTCTCTTGGCACCAAAACCCTTTTACCCAGATCAGTTTTCTTGTCATTGCCCCCCAGGCATCAATCTCCTTTATGATTCCAAGACCTGCAACACAACAGGTATTTACTGGTACTTTTTGACACTCAGCCAGGACATTAAGGCTGGCTTTGTTTATATTCATTCTTTGTCTTCACGATGAAGCTTCTCTCCGTGTGTACTTTAGTTTTATCGTTTTCTCGTGTCAAAGGTGAAGGTAGCAAGTAGTGAATTAACTAATATGTATCTGCCAATCTTAATTTTAAGCTTTATCCTCTAACAAATTGCAGTGGATGAGTTCCATGTTTGACATTCAACTAGCTGCTTATTCTAACCTTACTCTATTCTTGAAACTACCATGTAAGACCAATTCATATTGTTGGTCTAATCAGCAGAAAATTTCAATTTCTTGCAGTGTAGAATTTTTAGTTTGTCTGATGTTTGTGATTAACAGTTGCTGTGTACTTACCACAGCTACTGGGTTGTCTCTTGTGCTGTGCTTGGGAATTTTACATGTACACTGTAGTATCTGATATACAGTACTAGTGTAGCTGCTCGCTACTATTGGGTGCAAAAAAGGCCTTGTAGTTTCAGAAAGTAAGCTTAACAACCCTTATCAGACCTTCTCGCAATTTTTCATATTAGGACTTTGGCATTCCCCAGACAATAGGCTGACCAGAGTTGCATATTAATCAGTGCTTTCACACCTGTGCAATATACAGTGTGATAAGTAATTTTGTTTGCATTTTAGCATGTCTAAGATAGAAAAGCGACAAAACTGAAAGGCTGTAAAATATGATGTTTGTTTTAAAAGGAGTCAGTAATTATTTCTGAATATTCTACTTGAGCACCAAAGTATTTAAATGCATATGCCAAGTTGCCATGTTTTTAGTAAGGTACACGTGTGGAACCTAAATGTGCTATTTAAGACTTCTATGTGCTGGAAAAATTATTCTGGCAGAATGTTTGAATTTTATGTTTGTGTCATGCAAATTAGAGAATTAGTTTTCAATTGCTGTCCAGCTGTTTGCATCCTGCTGTGGTTGTTGTATCCAGGAAGTTAGTCTTAGCTTTCTATCCTAGACCATATTATGGTGAGAGTTTTTGTCACTTGAACTTAAAATAGGTGGACAAAATCCTTTTGTGTCATCATTCAAATGAAACCTCTTAGTCAGAACTTGTGCATATCGCTACATTTTGGGAGGATTTTGGTGAAAGAACTTGGCTCTTTTGCATTACTTTTTTTTCACTTTGTCCTCTTCCAGAGTGAAAGGATCAACAGTTGTTCAACTAACTATAAACCTGTCAGTTGTAACAGAGCAATTACTGTTTAATTTTTGTTTTTCTGTGAATTTCATGTCTAATAATTATGTTGACTTGTGACAACATAAAAAAAAATTACAAAATTTTCCATTGTAAAAGGAGCACTTGTTTAACAAAGCACACCTGTTTGACTCCTACTCGTCTCCAGGAAGTTCTCTCTTGTGTTTCACCTTAATTTTAGTAGAATTTTTAGATCCTGAGGATTGAAATTTCTTACATGTATATTTAATATTGCTTGTATCTGAATATGTTATGTGCTGAATTTTTAAGAAAGAAATTATAACAAGTTACCATCAATTGATTCGGATGTGTTTCTGTGCTTCCTTCATAGATGCCTTTAAATGCAAGGATAATTTTTGCTTAAATGGTGGAACTTGTAAACCTGGCAAAGAAAACGTGAAACTTCCATCTTGCATGTGAGTTGAAATGTTAATCCCTTTAAATTTCACAGAGTTCTAATAATGTGGTTAAAAGTGTCCCTCTTTTGTAGAAATACATGCACTCAACTGTGACATGTACTTAGCTGAAATCAACATGGTTGTTAGTATGTTGTTGGGGACTGTTTATTCAAAGGGTTTCATGGACAATTTTCTGAAATGTGGGGAGTTAGAAAGTTATGGGTTAGAAGAGACAATGGCATCTCTTCTCCTAAGCCCGGTTCCTGAAAGGCTGATCAGTGCAAATACGGGATTAAAATTTTGTTCCATTTTTGTATTTTACCGTCCTATGCATTGCTTAGAGTAACATTTTGTGCTATCATTACTGCATCTCGGAGAAAAGGCTCAACAATATTAATTAAGCTCAAGTTGCATGTTCTTAGATAAGAAAACCTTACCCTGTGCATAAAATTTAGCTTTATCCTGGGTTAAAAGTAACCATCTTTTGAGGAACTGAGCCCTGTTTGCCATCCTGTTTTAGCTCATCGGTATTAAATAAAATCCAATGTATACATGTTGCAGTTGTCCTCCAGGCATTAAAGGACGTCGCTGCGGAATGACACCACATCCGTTCACAACAACCACCACACCATCAGTTCAGAAAACACCTCAGGTGTTGGCCAGACAAGAGGAGGAGGATGTTGGTGAGTTAAACATAGAATTAGTATAGTATTGTAATGTTCTACAGTAAAATCACGAGAATTATTGATGTTTGCAATGTCTAACTCTTTAGACAAGAAAAGAAGAGATGTGTGATGGGTTTAACCTTGTACAGTGTATTAGGTTCCTTTAAACCATTTGGAACACGAGAATGAATTTAAACAACAAAATTACATTGATGTTTGCTAAAGAAATATGCCGGTTGCACTGACAATTCAGTCTCTGTATATGGCTATGTCGAGGAAGATTTTCAGAAAAAGTGCATGCTACAATCCCGAAAGGTATTGTGGGTGGTTTTGCGTTCACTCAAGTTCTTCAAGGAAATTTGAACGAATGGTAGGAGAGACCATAGACATATGTTTGTGAGTGCTAAAGGAAAGCAGTAAAAGGAGGATCAACAGCTACAGTGTATTGATCATATCCCATATTACCTTTCAGGATAGTTGCATATACTTTTTTTGACAACTTTTCTCTCAAAATAGCAGTGTTTCATTTTAACTGTAGAAGTACACACAATTTCCAAACCTCTTTGGGCTGGTTATAACTGATAATCAAGAGGGCTGAGAAGAGTTCAAGAAATATTACTTGCTGATTGCCGGGGAGGGGAGGTTTTGGTTTGAGAAGTTGAGGGTTGCAAAAATTTGAAGTCTACTGTACAGCGATTGGACAAACCCTTTTATAGCGGGGGTTTAAGGGGGGATAATGATGGAATAAAGTATAAATGAGATTGAGTGGTTGACAACGGAACTGATTTTCTTTCCTTTACATACTGATAGATCTTATTGAGTTTTCTCTCTTTGTTTCCTTAGGCATAACAATAGGTGTTTCCATAGCTGTTGTGATTCTCATTATAGCTATTGGTGTTGTTGTTGGATGGCTAGTGTATAGAAGGATACAAAGAAAGTAAGTATTTTGGATATGAAGTCAATCTGCAGTTGCCAGAAACGTATTAAACTCCTTAATGATGCACTGTTAGGGTTAAATTCTGACAAGCGACATGACCTTCAAACAGCAACATGAGACATGAAATGGCAACAAAACTGCAACAGTGACTAGGGAAATCACAATTACAATAGTAAAATACCGACACCCACATGGCCTTCTCTTCAATTGAATAAAGGAAGGCTTTTAAAATTCAGATTAGGGTCATATATACCCCCCTCCACCCTCCCCCCCCCTTAAAGAGGACCTCCTTAATCTGTTGGTGACTTGCTAAAAGCTGTGATGCATTTGTTTTGCAGCAATCGCAAATCAATGAACTTTGATAACCCTGTGTACAAGAAGACAACAGAGTCAAATTCAAGTAGCTCACTGGATAGAATAAATATACATTTTGGTGGATACTCAAATGGTAAAAGTCACAAACAGTCATTACTGGTAAGTAATATAATAATAATATCAATAATATAGTAATATAAATAATTTTTGCACTCTGTGGATCATTGATAAACATCTTGAAGCAACTCTTCATTGGACTGGTCATGCACATTAAAATAATAATCAGCTGTCACAGAAATTGAATAAATTGGGGGTGAAAAATTGATTATTAAAGATAACATGTAACACATTGCATTCTCTTCCTGGCTGTTACAGCAAGGCAGTTGTGGAGGTTTTGGAAAATGTTACCCCAGATGTAGTAAAACAAACCATGATGCCTTTTACGAGTATTGTTTGAAATTTTGCTTTGAAATAGAGAAATCCACTTACATGGCTAAAACCGTGGTTAGGTAGAGTGTAGTGATTTAAGCTTCAAAAGGTCAATGAAAAAATGGGTTTTTTGATTTGGTAAATTTGGTAATTTGGTTATGATATGATGCTTTCCTTAAAAAATATTTTCAACTGTTTGGTAGTAGTATAAGAGTAGAATAAAAAGTCGATTGATTGCTTGCTTTTCATTTCACTAAAAAATTCTTTGTGTTGTTTTTTTAGGCTGCTTTCAGAAATGAAGTTGAAGTGAGCAATTGCTAGCATTTTTAACTTATACCCTAACAGAAGAGGTACCATCATACAAGAAACTACCTTTTTGTCTATATTTTACTGTTTTGTCAAAGACTGGTAAATCCATTTTTCTACCTGCAGAAGAGATCACTCCATCACATAACCACTGCACTACCACCATAGAGTCCAAATTTGATCTAGTTGCATTTTCTCCTTTCTGTTCTTTATGCATTTCTTTTGGCATTCCTAGGAGAACTTGTTTGAAAATCAAGATGTAGCTCATCTTTCCTTTTCCTGGCTCTCCTTATAAAATCATTAGGGAAATCACATGCTCAGGTAATTATTTTAAGGCTTTGAGTAATGAGATTGTCGAAATCAGTATTTTTATGATAGTTTTTAAATACTCTGATTGCAATTGAATTTGCCTTTCCTGTGAAGTACAGAGTTTGCATTTTAAATAAGAGAGTGCTAGGATCTCTACTGCAGCGTAGCTTATCAACAAGCCTGATGTGATTTGAACTTCCACAGAGATGGGGTTTGATAAAACTTTTTCATGTGTGAATTACAACACTGGTAAATTACACTTGTAAAAATTTTATCAAAATGACCCTTGTTCCTTTCTGGTTGTTGAACTTTAAAATAACTCCACTTGTAACCAACAAAGTAATGGACCTCTTCTGTCAGGGTATATATGTCACATAGGTTATCAAATTTTAAGGAAATATATAAATATACTATTGCTAATAAGTAGCTATAAAGAAGACCATCCTGGTGATGTTGTGCTTCAAATACAGATGTACAGCTAGTAATTGTTATTTAATTGTAGATCTACAGTTCTCTCTGTTACTTGTTTGTATGGAACTTGGAAGCTTGTAGTGTCGGGTTCTCTCAAAGTGTGGCAAGCTCATTTGCAAATAATCGAAGTGTAAATGAGGGGGAATTGAAATAATGTTTTCTCTTTCTAACTGAGGGCTGTTTCATGCATTCGTTATTGGCTGAGTTTTTATTCTCTCGTCTCTCTTTTTTTGTTCTATGACCCTTCCAAGCAAGCTTTACAATGTTCTTAAGACACCTCTTTTAAGTGTTCCATGTTCATTGCGTTTCAAGAATGGATTTCAAACAGGCAAACAATAGGAAAGAACTATTCAGCTGAACCAATCTCCAGATAAATGTGTGCTAATATCAAAAATCTTGCTTCCTTCATTATTTCATCCAGTCTACAATTTTGTGCAGTCTAGTAATGATTTCATTTTTTCGACATCACAGTTTGAAACAATGTCAAGGTCTCTTGGTCACATTTTTCAGAATATTTGTGAAATTCTTGTAGTCACAGTTAAAACAAAAGCTTTACTCAATCAATTTTGACTGGCACTTTACGGTCAAGCCAGGTCAAGCATACCCCGCAATATGCCATGAATGAATTCATCATTCGAAAGTTTGAATCCTTGGTGCATTGACGCAACCAGTATCAAATTCAAATATACATTCCTGCATTCGTGATTAGCAGTGAATTTTTACAATAACATCTCTGTATTCGTTCAGATTCAAATATCTTTCAATGGTCAAAATTGCTTTGAAGACATTCACAACAAATTTAAGGAAACTGAGCCAGTAGAAATTTCGTAACTTCCTCACCTGTGAATGAACTGCTCATTCATTCACTGCATGCAGGAATCCAGAGATGAATCTAAAATATACAACTACCAACAGATTCAACTTTCGAATAATAACTTCATTGATGGAATCTTGCGGTTTGCGCTTGGCCTGCCTTGACTGTAATTTGCTGATCGTGTGCTGTCTATTTCTATCCTATAGCAAGAAGTCTTTTCCAGTGATACTGAATAGCTTAGTAGAGGATAAACCTCGTTGTGAAAATTATATCAGCATGTCCTTGAACATTTTTTATCTAGCTTGATATTTTGCTCACCTTGTCTGGATTTTGGTTAATTGATCCCTTAGGCCATCCCCATAAAATGGTTAGTTTTCCATTGCCTTCCCTTTTGTGTAGGCAAGTCTGTTGCCTGGGCGAAAAAAAAAAAAAACAAGGAAGAAGAAAATTAACCAAGGGAGGTTGTGTCCAGGAAAATCCTGGATACTAAGAAGGCAGGGTTTTACATGGTTTTTCGCCTGCCGTGTTTTTCTAATCTTTCGATGCAAAATTACATAGACAGTTTATCAATAAAGTTTTAGTCGGGTGATGGAAAACAAAACATCCTATGGTGATAACCTCAGAAATCCTTCCTTAAAAGTAATTTTACTTTGCACTTATTTTGCCAAATATTGCATTTTCTGCATGAAAGAATAATTTGCTGAGAAACAGGAAATGCTCAGCTGTACGAAGGTTGTAGGAGTTTGTATGGTTTATGTATACACATTTAAAATTTTGTAAATAATGTCGTCTTGCCAACCAAGAGATTCTATAACTTCTTATCCTAACAGAATCATGATTATAATATGATATTTTGATGGTTGGTGACTAAAGAAGCAGAATATTATTAAATCTGTTGAGTTTAATGTTTACGGAAGGTTGTAATGTATTTATTAAATGTGTCTTAATATGGTTTGTAAGCGAGCATATTTTTGTTTAATGTGCGGATATTTTTCAAAAAAAACCAAAATTCAACAAATTTCGGTCTTTTAAGTGCATAAATGAAAATTGTGCCAAACTGTAAATATGTAAATAAAAAATCTATAGAATATATGATTAAGTTAAAATTTGAATGCAATTGGATATTTTGGTAAGAAAATATTGTGATTGGTTAGCAATTCTCCTACGTTACATAATTTTTTGGAGAATACTGTCTTGATGTTGCAATGTGCAGTGAAGTATTATTGCAGTTGGAATTATGTGGTATAGACAATGTGTGAAAGCTGGAAAATTTTGTAAGTTTTCGTATCGCAGCCTTTGACATGAAGATAAAGAGGTACCACTTCATTTTAATGCTTAATTACTTAATTCAGTTTTGTCTTTTTTGAAGGACATTCAATGGTTATGGTACTTTCCAGATCTCCTCAAACTTACATTAGCGATATCTAGGTTCTTAAATGTCTATCGTTTATTCTGTTCTTTGTTTAAACTAAAGTTTTGCTCTTCAAAGCACATGTCTTGTTCTTTATTATTTTTGTAGGCTTTTCTGTGGAGTGCTTAAGTATTCAGTTAATGTTTTGTTCGTTGGTCATACCTAACGCCGTTCTTATGTTTCTTATACTTACAGTTAGTTACTTATTATTTGCTAAGAATTAACAAAGTGCTACAGAGAGGTGATCTTTCCATATGGTTATGGAGAAATTTAAAAACTATTGTCCACTTGATACTTAGGATTGTGCGTTGATCTATTTGTGTACTTCCAAAGAACGCTTTAATTACTCGAATTTAGGCGAGTTGGGAATTTTGTAGTGCGATCCCCTTCTTCACCCACTAAAAATGTAAACGCAGCACATGCTTTGTTACCCGTAGAAGTTAAAAAATGCAGAAAATTAGTTACCGTTGCGGAAACCTCGATTGTACAGTAGTTGTAAATAGAGATCTTTGTACTTGAACAAAAATCCAATAAAAGAAAATGGTATTTATGCAAATGATAAACTGAGTTGAACAAGTTCATTCCCAGATGAGATCTGGTTTTAATTAGTAAAAGCAGTGCGATCACTATTCCACCCAATGGTTAAAACAAGAAGTCCAACACCGCATCTCGAAATTTCCATCCCCTTTGAATTCCCAGCCTAAACCCACGGGGGCTTCCCAATAACGTTTTAAACGGGGAGGCTCCAGCCCGAGGTCCAACCCCTTACCCTCCTGTCAAAAAATGGTGTACGCCACTTGCACATCTCCCATGATGCACCTTATTTACCCGCCGCCCCCCCACCAAATTTTGCACAACTTTTGTTTTTTCATTTCTCCTGGGTATTACAGCTGACCCAAGAGAAATTGAAAACGATGCTTACGTAAAATTTTGAGGGGCAAATAAAGTGCATTATGGCAGATGTGCAAGTGGCGTATACCATTTTTAACAGGAGGGTACCCGCTTTCGAATACACTCTATTGACAAATTGCACCCCTTTCAAATACCTAGTCTACAAATTTTCATCCCTTGTAACTGCCGTAAATTCACCGTCTTTTTATTATGAATAAAGTTCCTGCCCACGACGTTTTCTGGTCTCTTTCACATCTCTGAAATGTGTCTGTTAGCCTTTTGGTCCTTTTAAGGAAATAACAGATTTCCATACCCTTTCATATACTTCAACTACCGAACCCCTACTCTTTCATATACCTGAAGCCTGGAAAATACAAGAAATAAGACAAGATGTCGGACATCAAATCGGACAAGAAATTGGACGAAAAAAATCAGACAAGAAATCGGACACCAAAACGAACTTCACATTGGACAAAAAATCGGACGAGACAGCAGACAACAAATTGGACTAAAAAACGGACCAAAAGTCGGATATGAAATCGGATAAAGCAAAAAAAAGAAGAACAAGAAATTGAACAAAAATTACCCTGACCTATCTAAGAAGATCTAAGGGCGTCTGCTCGCTGGGTAAACAAAAATCGGACATGAAATTGCACAAGAAATAAACCAAAAAAAATCGGACAAAAAAATCGGACATGAAATCGACAAGAAATCGGGCAAAACAACGGACATGAGATCGGACGAAAAATCGAACAAACAATCGGACAAGAAATCGGAAACCACATCGGGCATCAAATCGCACAAGAAAATTGGACAAAAAAACGGACAAAAAATCGGACAAGAAATAGGACATGAAATCGGATAAAACAAACAAAAAAGAACGAACAAGAAATTGGATAAAAACAAGGGAACAGGAAATCCAACAAAAAAATCGGACATGAAATCTGACATAAAATCGAACAAAAATCGGACATGAAATCGAACAAGAAATAGGACAAGAAATCGGACATCAAATAGGACAAGAAATCCGACAAAAAAAATCGGACAAGAAATCGGATAAAAAATCGGACAAGAACTCGGACAAAAAAATCGGATATCAAATCGGACAAGAAATTGGACAAAAAAAGGACAGAAAATCAGACAAAAAATCGGACATGAAATCGGATAAAACAAACTTAAGAAAAAACGAACAATATATGCGACAAAAAAATTGGACATGAAATCGAACAAAAAAATTGGACATGAAATCGGACAAGAAATCGAACAAAAAAAATCGGACATAAACGGGGCGAAATCGGACAAACGATCGGACAAGAAATCGAACATGAAATCGGATAAAACAAAAAAAAAAACGAACAAGAAGTCGGACAAAAAAATGGGACAGGAAATCCGACAAAAAATCGGACATGAAATCAGACTTGAAATTGAACAAGAAATAGGACAAGAGCTCGGACAAAAAACTCGGACACCAAATCGGACGGAAATTGGACAAAAAAAACGGACAAAAAATCAGACAAAAAATCGGACATGAAATCAGATAAAACAAAAAAAAACGAACAAGAAATCCGACAAAAAAATCGGAGAAAAAAATCTGGCATGAAATAGGACAAAAAATTGGGCATGAAATCGGACAAGAAATCGAACAAAAAAAATCGCACATAAACGGGACGAAAATCGGACAAAAAATCAGACAAGAAATCGAACATGAAATTGGATAAAACAAAAAAAGAAAAACAAGAAATCGGACAAAACAAGGGGACAGGAAATCCGACAAAAAATCGGACATGAAATCGGACACCAAATCGGACATCGAATCGGACAAGAAAGTGGACAACAAAAGGACAAAAAATCGGACATTAAATCCGATAAAACAAAAAAATCGGACGAAAAAATCAGACATAAAATCGGACAAAAATCCGACATGAAATCGGACAAAGAAAACGGACATGAGGTCGGACTAAAAATCAGACATGAAATCGGACATGAAATCGGACAAGAAATCGGACGCAAAATTTTCCCCGCTATTGGAGCATGGAACAGGCTCCGTTATATAATAAATGGCGCGTTAAGACTCCGGGGAACCCAATAATGTTTGCGAACTGTAATAGTAAAAATACCTCTGAAACTGGCTTATATATTCATTGATTTTGGGCAGAGGCGTTCTGAGAGGTCGTCGAGGCATGTAACAACAGAGGAAAAAATATTTACCCCGACGTAACTAGTCCCCGAAGGCACCACGAGCTTTACACCCGTTCCCAGGGTACCATCCTGGAACGCCTGGAACTTTTTTCACAAGGGCAGAAATTCTCGTGTGTGGATGAGTTTATAAAACGCTGAAATGGCTGTGATCGGCTGCTGTGAAAATGGGCTTCTTGTCGATCACCAAAGAAGTATTTCTGAGTCAGTTTCGGAGTTGTCCTTGTGCTGCAAAGACAGTTTATTCGCTTTGTTTGAACCTTACTTTCGATCTTCAGTTACAAACAGTGGTACGCGTAAACGAAAGGTAAGCTTGCAACACTGACTGAGTTAGCTTGATTGATTCTTTATGGAACGGCGATTGCCAGCTTAGATTCTCACATGATCTGTATGCTGCCTCAAGAGTGAACTTTTAGCTAGCTCATCAGAGACTTTCAAAGGACTAGCTAGATAGGCACAGGTAGCCCAAATGCAAGATGTGTAAGCGGTTTTATTCACATACGTGACTGCTTATCAATTCTCATAGAAACAAACGAAATTTATATAGAAAGGCATGTAGCCTGAAAACGTACAACAGTTAGAAAAACATGTCACTGAGAGGATGAGAAAAGTATAGTGATGCTCAAAATAAGGCACTGAATACAAGGTAAAAACAATGCTATCTAAGTTAGGGTTACGTTCTTGTTTTTCTCTACTTAATCAAATGTATACCGGCCAAGATCCTATACTTACTATCACCCCATACCTTTCCTATATTTTTATTTTATTACCCCTTATTGCATTGTTGTAACTCCACTGAAAACCTTTCACAGTCTCCAATGCAGGCCTTCTTTGACCGGACGTGTCTCATGTTCCAAGTCAATAATTAAATTAGTGTTTTTCTTCCCCTCTCTGTAAACCCAGCGAAAAAAATCCCTGAAAGTTAATCCAGTTGAGGAGAAGGAGGACACAGAAGCTCTTCTTTACCACCAGAAGGTACTTAAACACATTTTTTTCGTACCTGTATTTTTCTAATTTATTTATTTATCATCAGCATAATTTTCTATACTGGAACCAAACTTGTGAATTATGCATCAGTCAATTCCACCTGTGCCCAGCCCCAACCCCCCCTCCCCCACCGGTTGTCAGTCCCGGGGGTGGGGCATTTGCAAATTTTGCACTGCTGGCTGGGCACAGTTGGAATTGACTGATGTATTAATCCTAAAGGCAGAGTTTCACCTCAGTCAGTTATTGAACAACTGCATTGCAATGAGGAAATTGGGTGCCTGAGATATCCAGGAGCTTCCACCATAGAGAGTAGAAGTCATTACGTCACATTGCCATGGTAGCAGAATTTCTGGATGGCAACAAACCATAAACGTCTCTTAAAAATTGAAAACTCACACCAGTTCATACTTCAAAATCCTATTGAGTTTCATTGAATTTGTCAAATGTTTGCAAAAATTTTCTGGAGTTGAATCCGAAAGGACTGTATCAAAGTTTAGTGAAAGAAAAAGAACATTTTTTGTGTTTTGTTCACCTTCTCCATGAAGCCAGCACTTGAAATAAGGTAGTTTCATGTCGCAATAATTGTACTACAATAGCTATAAAGAAATGTACCAAATATCGTGATGCAAGTCCAAAGTTGTTGCATTGCTAATATAAACCTACCGGTATTCAGAGTTGTCACTAAGATTTCAAGTTGCCGGGTAAATACAACAAGTAGGCGGGGAATCAAACGGCTACGGATTTCTTTTGGTTCTATTTTTCTTCTATCTTCCAATAAAAGTAGCCGGGGGCCACTCTCTTAGTAGCCGGGGAAAATCCCCGGCCCCCGGCTCTTAATGACAACCCTGGGTATTCTTTTTTGCCGTTTTCGTTGCTGTCGCGGTCATTGTTGCTAAAGCTCCCTATTGTTGTGATCCAGAAATTTTGCTACCATGGTAATAGGATGTCACACTTCTCCTCTCTCTTGGCAGCCAGCTCCAAGAAAGAGACCACTCCCATGGCTGGCAAATCCTGGTAACCCAGTCATGAGCCCCCGTGTGCAAGGGAAGAAAGCAGGCACTCGCCACACTGAGCAAGTCAGTGGAAATATGGAAAGGGACAGGTGGAAGGGGAGGGGGGAACGCTATAAACTGACTCAGCAGTGGCAGATCTAGGGGAGGGGTCCCCCTTATTTTTAGTCCAAACAGAAAAAAATTTTTTGCGACTGTCCCCCTCCCCCTTATCTCAGGGTCTGGATGACCAGGATCCCCCCCCCCCCCTTATCTGAAGGTGTGGATCCGCCACTGCTCAGTCACCACAATTGTGAGACACCAAGGCTGAATAAATGCCCACTAAAAAATGCCCAAACACACCAATGCCAGAATGCTAAAAATGAACTCAAGCAAGAAGAATAACGTTCTGGAAACTGCAATAAAATGGTCAAAGATATCAAAACATCAGAATGCTAAAAGCACACTATAACATGCTACAACGCACACAACTGCAAGAACACATGGGATACTGGTGCATGCACATCTCATAACACTGCTAGCAAGCAAAATAAGGTTAAAGCTCCTTGTCGTTAACTCTGTCAAATTGTATTTAAATGTGTTATATTAATCACTATTAAATTTATCAAATCTTTGTTTTAATACATTTAAGGTGAAAGGGACAATTCTTAAAGTCCTGGAGAATCTTGTGAGGACTGGGGTAGAAAAAAGATATTTTCTTTCCAGTTGTGAGGACTTTGAAGTAGATTCATGTACAGTAGTGCCAGGTAAAAGATAACACAATTTCCAATTTTTTTATACTAAATCATTGCATGTGCTCCAAACAACACACAATTTATATATGAATGTGCTGTTTGTTGTAGAAACAAATCTTAACTAATAGCAACCTCTCTACAAATGTTTTTACCTTGTGAATAAGTCTCTCAGAATGGGCTGTTGACAAAACCTGGATCGGACTGGATTGGAGAGACCCCCAAAACACTATCCCTAACCTCCTATTATTTGGTGGAAATATTTGGGGGTTGGTCCGATGTGGTCCAATCCAGATTTTGTTGATGCCTCTCAGAATGACACAAACATACACATAGGGAAGCTTGCCTTGAGCCCACAGCAAACAATTTGCAGAAGTTTGCACAGATTTTTTTTATGCCCAGTGGCCTGTTTTGTGAAAATTCCAGTAACTTTTCAGGCCCGGAAAGCTCTCTTTTTTTGTTGTGTTTGCATTCAAGAGTAAAGTTTCAATAGTTTTGAGAATAATACAGTGAAACTGTCAGTTGATGAAGCAAAAGTGACTAGTTTGTGACAGGGTTTGATTTGAAAATTTGCCTTTGGGCTTGAAAAGTCTCCAGAAATTTTGAGAAACAGGCTCCTGGAAGCAGATCTATAAGGGAAGGACCCAGAGCCCAGGTCACCACCTTATTATTAGGCCAAATTGACGCCCTTTGAGCGGCCAATGGGTGGCACAGGATCTAGATAAGTGGGTATCCAACCTACTTGAAGATCTGAAGCAGCCACTGCTACAACAGCTATCTTACTGAAATAGAGGCATGCAACAACTTAAGGGCATTCAGTCTTTTCACAATGGCCATTAAAATGCCAATGATGGTCAAACTGATGCATGCCCTTAAACTCATTCCCACGCTAATCTTTACTCTTTGGACCCCCTCTCTCTCTCTCTGGGGTCCATGTTGGAAAGGACCCTCAGGGAATGAAGTTCGCACTCACTGCAATATACCCTAGTGAACAGTTTCGCTCTAAACATTTGTTTCCTGTTTACATTGTATATTTTGATTGTGAAACAAATTTCAGTTGCATTTTTTTTCAGTTGTAAATGCCTTTATATTTTCAAATTTAACCTTGTGAATGTGGTTTTTTTTAATGAGCCAAGCAAGTTGCCCTCATTATTTTTAACAGCTGCATCTTTTGCTGTTGTTAATGTCTATCATGATGTACCAGGATAGTAAAATTGAATGTCTGGGAGATTAAAAACCAACCAGCCTTTTAAACACTAACACTTCTTTATGAGAGAATGGCAGGTACAAGACACACTGGTCACAAGTGCAGTTCACTGCACTATTGATAATAAGGATATAACCAGTTTCCCCTCAAGCTAAAACTCTATCTTGGATTGGATTAGGGCTAGGAGACACTTTCAGTGTCGTTTATTTACTGTAGCACTGTAGTGTGACCTGTACTCTAACCTGCAATTGCAGGGGCAGATCTAGGGGGAGGGTGCAGGGGGTGCACACCCCCCCCTGAGATGACCTGAGGTTTTCTAATACAACTGGCATTCTGCAAAAAAAAAACTATGTGGTTTATTGGTGTTGAAATAGAGCAAGAGACGAGTGCACCCCCTCCTAAAAAAATCCTGGATCCGCCCCTGAATTGTTACCTGCGTTTTGTACCTGCCGATCAAAAACAATAAATGCCCAGGCAACAGACGTGTTCAGACTAGACTTAAAAGCTGTGTATGGTTATCTTTTTTTTTTGTAATTTCTACAGATAAAAATCTTCCCAGTGAACACAACTTATTCGGTCATTTGATATCTCATTTAAAAGAAGAGCCAGCATTACTTAACATCTGTGGACAGCCGTACATTATACCTCCTCAGTGTACTTTCTTGATGTCTGATTCAAGCAACTTACAACCTCTTATTGATCATGGTTAGTATTTTTGAATACTACCTGTTGTGCGTGTTAAAACACTCTAGTTATTTTAATATTTAATCACTTCCACCTTATGGTGAGAACCACACAACAGAGCGGGGCTCCAATTTAGGTGTGTCCTTAAAGATAACCCACCTAATCCAGGAGAGGTTGGCCACATCACCAGGGTCTACATCCCCTACTCTTTTCGAACAGTGGTGTGTTTTTTTTTTTTACTTCCTATAAGAACCAGATAGGTGAAAGTGCTGTGAGATGGGACCTATGGTTTCTCATCCTTATCCGAGAAGACTAGAAAGTCTAACCACTTTGCAGGTGTCGTTGCGAAGGCAGCACTTTCTTCTCAGTTATTTAACCCTTTAAGCCCCGATATCCATTTACAAATTCTCCAAACTGATCTCCATACATTTCCTTAAAGAATACCAGTAAGTTGAGAGAATTTGATAAGAGATAGCTTTTTCCCTGAGGTGATCATTTGATTACATCTCATAACCTTTTCTTTTGATCATGTATTGATATTGTGTGGAGAAAATTATTGATGTTGGTCACTCTTGAGAATAAAGGGCTGTGTCACGGCAGTTCGGTTCATTTTGTTTAATTTTGCCAATTACTCGCCCTCAATCGCTATGGAACTTAAAGTAAGCAAAGAAATTACATGGAAATGACAAAATCAGAGATTCGAGACAAACAAATATGTCTCCTGAACATTATTTTTGAAAAGCTGTTAGGCTGAACAGTTTTCAAAATTAAACCCTAATTTCAATCCGTTTCAATCTTCTTCAGTTTTTGCATGGCATCTGTTGTATCAGTTGTGTTATTTTAACTTTCCTAATTAATGTTTTAAGCGGTTATTTTTACGTTTCTCTTAATTTAACAGGCATTTTGTAATTACCTAATTTGGCTGAATTTCGTGACACAGCTCCTTTAAAAGGTTAAAGACCCTGAGTTGTGGTCCAGCCAGTGTTTGAACCTGGACCGCCTGCTCAGCAGACCTGAGCTCCCCTGAGCACTCCCAACTATAAAGCTAACCAGGTCTAAGCCTTGTCAACTCGTTTTTGTTTGAAAACAGAGTTTGTTTTCTCCAGTTTCAAAAAAATCTGCCTCCCTTTTTTTCAGAATAGTGACTGATTATGGTACTATCTTTTTCTTTTACCAATGGATGCCAGCGGTAAGATTTTACGTCTGTTAACTCATAATTTATTTTAATTATTTTCTTTTATTTTCGCAGCCCAACAAAATGGACTTTATAATCTAGTAGTGCTAGATCCCCCTTGGTATAACAAGTCTGCAAGACGAGGCTCAAAGTATGACGGTAACTTCTAGTTTTTCCCCACCTAAGTAAATGTATGCCAAAATCCTACTTAATATTACCCCATACCCTATAATTTATTACCCCTTGTGAAAAGGTATATGGCTCAATTCTCCTGTAACCCTTTTATTGCTCACATTGGCCAAAGAATAAAATCACAAACAAAATCAAATTTTTGTTTTGTTAAAATCTTGCAAAGTAAACAGTACTATGTGAAAGTTCTGCCCATGAGGTTTTATTTGAAAGGTAACACCGTAAGATTTCATCTGCAGATTTATAGGTTAGCGTGATAAATGATCTTGCTATGGTGTGGTCCGGGAGTAAAAGGTTTAAGAAAGGATTCATTAAAAAAGCCAAAGTGTGTGGATAGGGGAAGATAAAGAAAGAAAAAAATGGCAAGAACTCCTTGCCTCTTCCTGTCCTTGGCCACACCTTTTTTCACTTAAAGTTTTTTCAGCCTTGCTGTGTGGATATATTGTAAAGGCTGGTTTTCACTGGTGACAGAGTCAGAGTCAGAGTCATAAGCAGAGTCGTAAGAGCGCTTATCACCTGGTGAAAATCCAAAATTGGAGCCATAGGCAGAGTCGTAAGCACGACGGGATTGGAGTTAGTAGAATCAGCATGTTTCCATTTCTTCCTACTCCGCTTATGATTCCATCGCTTGCATTCCGCTTATGATCTAGTGAAAACCAGATTGTCGGAGTTGGAAGCAGAAGTGGCAGGATAAACCAATAACAATGCACTTTCCCGTGCTTTGTGATTGGTTTAGCTCTTCCACCTCTGCTTCCAACTCTGACGATCTGGTTTTCAGTAGATCACAAGCGGAACATAGGCGACGGAGTCATAAGCAAAATCAGAACGCTGTTTTCACTAGATGATAAACACTAGCTACGCTTCTGATTATGACTCCGACTCTGACTCTGACTCCGTCACTAGTGAAAACCAGCTTTAGGAAGCTGCCTCTGCCTGCCTCTCTGCCTCTGGCGTTTTAAGGCTCCAGTTTTCTCATCCCTTGATTCGGAGCTGTTCAAGTGTTTCACTTTGTTTATTTTCTGTTAAAGGTATTCCTTCATGTCCCTATGGCAGATCAAGGCTCTACCAGTCCCCCAGCTTCTTGCTCCTGGAGCTCTGGTGGGGATCTGGGTAACAAACAAACAAAAGTATCTCAGATTCACCAAGTCAGAGCTTTTTCCTCATTGGTCAGTTGAGTTAGTGGCAGAGTGGTACTGGGTTAAGGTCACAAGAAGAGGAGAACTGGTAACTGATCTGGATTCACCACATAAGAAACCTTACGAGCCTTTATTGATTGGCAGATTTAAACCAGAGGGGGATCATGGTTTGAGGGATTATTGTTCGAATTTGATTATGGATGACAAGTTTGATGAAGACAAGAAGAGGTGTAGCTTAGAGCAAAGGGAATTCTGGAATACTTCATCACCACAAATGAAAAGGAAAAGACTTGCAAGCAACGAAAGTGAGACTAATTTTTGCATCCAAGATTTAAACAAAATTACTACAGCAGCTGATGGGAGTGAAAGTAAAAATATGCATGACACCTTGCAAACTGTGACTTGGCAAAAATCACATGAACACAGGCTAATGCTTTGTGGATTTAAACACCAGTCGTGTAAATTAGAAAGGTCAAGTGATGTTGATGAATTTTCAGACTTACGAGTAAGTGAAGCGGTTTGCAATACTGGTACAGACATCAACCTAACAACAAATGTGAAAGGTACTGGCAGTTTCTTAGATTCAATGGAGTCATCAAAGAGAGGATGTGAAAGATTACCGTATGAACAAGTGATCTGTAGTGTGCCCTGCAGAATCCACTCCAGGAAACCACCTCTGAATGGTAAGTCTGGATGACAGATCTTCAGAAAAGTTCATTGAATAATAAATGAATGAAGGAGTACAATTTGTTTGGCAAAATTGTGAAAAACTACATTTCTGCCTGAGGTATGTAAGCTTACTAAAAGAACACCGCCGGATAGTACTGTTTACCTCAGATGTGGTGCATAAAAAGTATAATCTGGTCACCAGATTAATTTTGTTGGCAAGATTTTGTAAAGTAAAGTTGTTGAACAAAAAATTTGGCTTAATTTTTAATGTTGGCCTCCCTTTTAGACAAAGGAATGCAACCTTTTAATGACAATGTGTAAAATGGCTAATCTACTCTGATCAAGAGCCACTGTGGCTCGAGTGACTCATCAAGATAATTGCCATCATTTGGGTGTACTTATAAGGCTATTAACTCGATGTCAGATTTGTTTCACTCTTGGACTGTTTGTAAAGTATTTTTCTTTAAAGTCGTTTAGCCTTTCCCTCAACAGACACATGAATGTGTTTGATTTAAATTTATTATAAATTTATTAATGGGAGCTTCGCTTTTAGCCCTGGCTAAATCTATATATTAGTACAGTTTCAGTGTCAGTTTTGCATGTATTTCATCAGGGACAAGTCTATTTAATCATATAATGTCGTGAGTCACACCAATGTTAAATTTGGTGAACTGGGTCAATTTGTTATTGAGGGGATTGACGTGGAGGGTACTGTAAAGAAAGTCCACAGATTTTAGATCTCCAGAGGTGAGCGTCTCTGTACTATTTGGTTCAGTTATACAGAGCACATTTGGCTTGTTTTTCCCTAAACTTTATTTGACTATACTAACACTGATACCCCTTCTGCAGAAATTCTCTCCTGTTATATATCGCCCTCTTCTCGATGCCTTGAGATGTTCGCACGGAACTTAACACCACACTGGACAAGCTGGGGAAATGAGGTAAGAAGTTATTAGATTGTTATTGGAGGTCAATTCAAGATTGTACGGAGGTAGCTTTGCTGAGCGGTTAGAGCAATGGACTTGACTTGTATTTCCAAGGCTAGAGTTTGAGTCCCACTCTGACCAACAACTGGATTTGTTCTCAGTAGTCCCACGTTCAAAACCTTGGCCACATCTGTAAATTAGCTAACTGGTTTACCTCCTACCAGTTGCGATTTTAAGAGGAAATTATTATTATCAAAACAAGAATGAATGCTCTGTTTTTTGTTTACAGAAAGACATAATTTTTAATGTGGTTGTGTTACTAGTAAGAATAGGGCCATTTATACGAGGAAAATAAGATGCATCTTACACAGGATGCATCCTAAATAAGACACAAACTATGCCATATAAACAGCACATTTCTTCAGAAATTTAGCTAAGACGCATCTTATTTAAGAACAGCCCTTAACACCTGTTCTTCGATAAGAGGCATCTTGTCTTAATGTGCTGTTTATATGGGACAGTTTGCGTCTTATTTTAGGACGCGTCTTATTTTCCCTGGTATAAATGGCCCTAATGTGTCCAAAGAAAGGAAAGTGCTTCAGTTTGTAAAAACAAGTATTAAAAGATATGCTCAAATGAGCAGGAAAAATTAACGCGCAACTTGTTTTGCAACATTGCTGCAGAACAAGTTGAAAAGTAATGTTGTAGATCTACTTTTTACAACTTCCTGCAACTGCAGTTTAGATTCATGAGTGGTAAAACATGCAACATGCAAATAATGTTCCAAGACAAGTTGCACATTACTAATCGTTCGCTTTTTTACGACTTTTACCACAATGCACACCCACAGCGTCCTGCAAATGCTTTTACTCTCTCTAAGTCTAAGACAGGGTGCTAGTCCATCAAAGTGGAGCAAAAAGTATTGTGTTAGGAAACAACACAACAGTCATGCTTCAACCCGGACATACAGATATGAAGTTTGACTTGCTATCCATTACTAGTAGACACAACAACAGGCTGCATAGCTTCACAACTGTGTTGGAGACTGAGGTAACTTTATTTTCTGTTTACTAGGTGTTGAAGTTTCAGAGTATGGAGTATTTTACACATCTGCCAGCAAAAGAAACAGATCCAAAACTAAGACCGAGCAACCTATCTTCATTCAGCTCTATTAATAAATTTTTGTGTTCGTGATCACATAGCCTGCGCATGAGTTCGTCAACAAAGTTGGGGTGAGAGCAAAAAAGAGGCAAAAAGGGAGAGGGGAAGGGGAGAAAAGGAAATTTTTCCTCATTTTCCCCTCCATCCCGTCCCTGAAACACTTCCTAGGACGGCTAATGATCACATCACTTGTGATAAGTGCATGATAACTGTCAAAATATAAAATAAACGACTTAGTGTTGTGTAGTTTGTGTAGTGTGGTGGTGTTCGGTTTAATTTGGTGTAGTTTGTGTACTGTGCAGGTGAAGTTTAATGTGCTGGTATTTTTCACTAAACGACGATACAAAAGATTGGAAACGGTCGGTATTGGTAGCCTGCATCTAGCATTTTTGTTAAGTCATTAGCCCATGATTATGGGTGAAGATTTTTTTTCTATTACTTCTTTTTTTCTTTCTGTTTTTGTAACACGCTTATTCTTGCTCCAGTATTTAACCATACCAGTTTAATTTTGATCGTGGTCATTTTTTATTTCTGCAAAGAGGTTAACCAATGATTTTGGGTAACAATTCTTATTTTCTCCTTTGTTGTTCCCTTTTTATTTATTTATTTAAAGTTTATTTTCCTGTATAATAACTAACTACATGGTAACCCCTCCAAAAACACAAAACTTAGTCACAATCTCAAAAATGCAGTTAATTATCTTTACAGGCTCCTTTTCTATCTACAATGAAAACAAACAATAATTCTAGCAAACAATATTTCTAAGCCTATTTTGGCCAAAAACAAAGTATGGAAAAAACTCCAATTTTTGACCAAAACCATGGACTAACCCCTTTGCAAAAATTCGAATTTTGCCACTTTTTGAAAAGACATTTTTATGTTAAAGAATACCTTCTTTTCTATCTAGAATATCAGCAAACAATATTTCTCGGCCTATTTTGCCCAAACACAAACTATCGAAAAAAATCCAAATTTTTGACCAAAACCATTGCAAAAATGACAATTTTTCGACTTTTTGAACTTCTTGTTTTTATTGGTTAGAAAAGCGTATTTTCGTTCTAGAATATCGTAAAAGACATTTTCCTGGCCTATATTGCCTGAAAAAAAAAGTTGGAAAACTCGCCATTTTTGGACCAAAACCATAGGTTAACCCCTTTAGAAAAATGTCAATTTCTTCACTCTTTGAACTTCTTGTTTTTATAACCTAGAAAAACGTTTTTTCGTTCTAGAATATCTAAAAGACATTTTCTTCGACTATATTGGCGAAAAAAAAAGTTTAAAAAATACCCATTTTTGGACCAAAACCATGGGTTAACCCCTTTGGAAAAATGTCAATTTCTCGACTTTTTTAACTTCTTGTTTTTATACGCTAGAAAGGCGTTTTTTCGTTCTAGAATATCTAAAAGACATTTTCTTCGACTATATTGGCGAAAAAAAAAGTTTAAAAAATACCCATTTTTGGACCAAAACCATGGGTTAACCCCTTTGGAAAAATGTCAATTTCTCGAATTTTTAACTTCTTGTTTTTATACGCTAGAAAGGCGTTCTTTCGTTCTAGAATATCTAAAAGACATTTTCTTCGACTATATTGGCGAAAAAAAAAAGTTTAAAAAATACCCATTTTTGGACCAAAACCATGGGTTAACCCCTTTGGAAAAATGTCAATTTCTCGACTTTTTTAACTTCTTGTTTTTATACGCTAGAAAGGCGTTTTTTCGTTCTAGAATATCTAAAAGACATTTTCTTCGACTATATTGGCGAAAAAAAAAGTTTAAAAAATACCCATTTTTGGACCAAAACCATGGGTTAACCCCTTTGGAAAAATGTCAATTTCTCGACTTTTTTAACTTCTTGTTTTTATACGCTAGAAAGGCGTTTTTTCGTTCTAGAATATCGTGAAAGACATTTTCCTGGCATATATTTCCCATAAACAATAGTAGGAAAAATGACCATTTTTGGAGCAAAACCATGGGTTAACCCCTTTGGAAAAATGTCAATTTCTCGACTTTTTGAACTTCTTGTTTTTATAGGTTACAAAAGCGTTTTTTCGTTCTAGAATATCGTAAAAGACATTTTCCTGGCCTATCTTGCCTAAAAAAAAAGTTGGAAAAATGGCCATTTTTTGAGCAAAACCATGGGTTAACCCCTTTGGAAAACTGTCAATTTCTCGACTTTTTTAACTTCTTCTTTTTATACGCTAGAAAGGCGTTTTTTCGTTCTAGAATATCGTGAAAGACATTTTCCTGGCCTATATTGCCTAAAAAAAAAGTTGGAAATATGGCCATTTTTTGAGCAAAACCATGGGTTAACCCCTTTGGAAAACTGTCAATTTCTCGACTTTTTTAACTTCTTGTTTTTATAGGTTAGAAAAGCGTTTTTTCGTTCTAGAATATCGTAAAAGACATTTTTCTGGCCTATATTGCCTGAAAAAAAGGTTGGAAAAATGGCCATTTTTTCAGCAAAACCATGGGTTAACCCCTTTGGAAAAATGTCAATTTTTCGACATTTTTAACTTCTTGTTTTTATAGCCTAGAAAAGCGTTTTCTCGCTCTAGAATATCGTAAAAGACATTTTCCTGGCCTATATTGTCTACAAAAAAAGTTGGAAAAATAGCCATTTTTCGACCAAAATCATGGGCTAACCCCTTTGGAAAAATGTCAGTTTCTCGACTATTTGAACGTTTTGTTTTTATAGCCTAGCAAGGTGTTTTTTCGTTCTAGAATATCGTAAAAGACATTTTCCTGGCCTATATTGCCTAAAAAAAAAGTTGGAAAAATGGCCATTTTTAGACCAAAACCATGAGTTAACCCCTTTCGAAAAATGTCAATTTCTCGACTTTTTTCACTTCTTGTTTTTATAGGTTAGAAAAGCGTTTTTTCGTTCCCGAATGTCGTAAAAGACATTTTCCTGGCCTATATTGCCAAAAAAAAAAAACTGCAAAAATGGCCATTTTTTGAGCAAAACCATGATTTAACCCCTTTGGAAAAATGTCAATCTCTCGACGTTTTGAACTTCTTGTTTTTATAGGTTAGAAAAACGTTTTTTCGTTCTAGAATATCGTAAAAGACATTTTCCTGGCCTATATTGCCTACAAAAAAAGTTGGAAAAATGGCCATTTTTGGACCAAAACCATAGGTTAACCTCTTTGGAAAAATGTCAATTTCTCGACTTTTTAAAATTCTTGTTTTTATACGCTAAAAAGGCCTTTTGTCGTTCTAGAATATCGTAAAAGACATTTTCGTGGCCTATATTACCTACAAAAAAAGTTGGAAAAATGGCTATTTTTGGACCAAAACCAAGGGTTAACCCCTTTGGAAAAATTGCAATTTCTCGACGTTTTTAACTTCTTGTTTTTATAGCCTAGAAAAGCGTTTTTTCGTTCTAGAATATCGTAAAAGACATTTTCCTGGCTTATATTGCCTACAAAAAAAAGTTGGAAAAAAGGCCATTTTTGGACCGAAATCATGGGTTAACCCCTTTGGAAAAATGTCAATTTCTCGACTTTTTAAACTTCTTGTTTTTATAGGCCAGAAAAGCGTTTTTACGTTCTAGAACGTCGCAAAAGACATTTTCCTGGCCTATATTGCCAAAAAAAAAAAAGCTCGAAAAATGGCCATTTTTTGAGCAAAACCATGAGTTAACCTCATTGGAAAAATGTCAATTTCTTGACTTTTTGAACTTCTTGTTTTTATACGCTAAAAAGGCGTTTTTTTGTTCTAGAATATCGTAAAAGACATTTTCCTGGCCTATATTGCCTACAAAAAAAATTTCGAAAAATGGCCATTTTTGGACCATAACCATGGGTTAACCCCTTTGGAAAAATTGCAATTTCTCGACGTTTTTAACTTCTTGTTTTTATAGCCTAGAAAAGCGTTTTTTCGTTCTAGAATATCGTAAAAGACATTTTCCTGGCCTCTATTGCGTACAAAAAAAGTTAAAAAATGGCCATTTTTGGACCAAAACCATAGGTTAACCTCTTTGGAAAAATGTCAATTTCTCGACTTTTTAAAATTCTTGTTTTTATACGCTAAAAAGGCGTTTTTTCGTTCAAGAATATCGTAAAAGACATTTTCCTGGCTTATATTGCCTACAAAAAAAAGTTGGAAAAATGGCCATTTTTGGACCGAAATCATGGGTTAACCCCTTTGGAAAAATGTGAATTTCTCGACTTTTCGAACTTTTTCTTTTTATAGCCTAGAAAGGCGTTTTCTCGTTCTAGAATATCGTAAAAGACATTTTCCCGGCCTTTATTGCCTAAAAAAAAAAGTTGAAAAAATGGCCATTTTTGGAGCAAAACCATGGGTTAAACCCTTTGGAAAAATTGCAATTTCTCGACTTTTTGAACGTCTTGTTTTTATAGGCTAGAAAAGCATTTTTTCGTTCTAGAACGTCGTAAAAGACATTTTTCTGGCCTATATTGCCAAAAAAAAAAGCTCGAAAAATGGCCATTTTTTGAGCAAAACCATGAGTTAACCTCATTGGAAAAATGTCAATTTCTTGACTTTTTGAACTTCTTGTTTTTATACGCCAAAAAAGCGGTTTTTTGTTCTAGAATATCGTAAAAGACATTTTCCTGGCTTATATTGCCTACAAAAAAAAGTTGCAAAAAAGGCCATTTTTGGACCGAAATCATGGGTTAACCCCTTTGGAAAAATGTCAATTTCTCGACTTTTTAAACTTCTTGTTTTTATAGGCCAGAAAAGCGTTTTTTCGTTCTAGAACGTCGTAAAAGACATTTTCCTGGCCTATATTGCCTACAAAAAAAGTTGGAAAAATGGCCATTTTTGGACCAAAACCATAGGTTAACCTCTTTGGAAAAATGTCAATTTCTCGACTTTTTAAAATTCTTGTTTTTATACGCTAAAAAGGCCTTTTGTCGTTCTAGAATATCGTAAAAGACATTTTCGTGGCCTATATTGCCTACAAAAAAAATTTGGAAAAATGGCCATCTTTGGACCAAAACCATGGGTTAACCCTTTTCGAAAAATTGCAATTTCTCGACGTTTTTAACTTCTTGTTTTTATAGCCTAGAAAAGCGTTTTTTCGTTCTAGAATATCGAAAAGACATTTTCCTGGCTTATATTGCCTACAAAAAAAAGTTGGAAAAATGGCCATTTTTGGACCAAAACCATGGGTTAACCCCTTTGGAAAAATGTGAATTTCTCAACTTTTTGAACTTTTTCTTTTTATAGCCTCGAAAGGCGTTTTTTCGTA